ATAAAAATTATAATTAATTATGATATTATATTTAAATTTTCATGTTTCTACTTACATTCATTATATTTTTTTAAAGTAGCGAAGTAACGCGCTACTTAGCTACTTTTAAAAAAAGTAGCGCGCTAAAAAATTAATAAATTTAAAAAAAAGTAGCGGCTATTAGCTATAGCTACCAAAAAAGATAGCTCGCTAAGTAGCGCGCTACTTTAACAACTCTGCTAATTTTCCCTCGCAGTTTTTATGTCTTCAAAGTTTTCAACGTAGTTGTTAAGATCTCTTTCTTTAAAGCATGTGACTTAAATAAATATTCTCTTTCATGACGTCCCTACTGATTTTTAAAAACAGCTAACTCAATATTTTAGCCAAAGAAATATTGCTTAAGGCTCCAGATTTCGCTATATGTCTAGACCTTTGTGCCATCTATGAGCAAAATCTTAAGTCTTGGGTAATATTTTTCTGGATAAAATATTGAGTTAGCCATTTTTAAAAATTTTCTCAAATCGCCGTTTAACAACACTACCCTACTCGACACATGAAGAGCTCATTAATTGAATTTCGTTTTTAAATCAACAAAGGACACCACCAATTTTAAATTTGCACTGGATAGGGATAAATGGATCAAGGCTTTTTTCTTCCTCGGTCTGTACCTCAGTAGAACAATGGAGAATATCTATTGGGTTTCACAAATGAACACTCTCATTCCATAAATACACAATTTAGATAAAGAAACCCGCACGCCACCCTTTTTATGGTAAATTCTTTAAATATCGGCAAGGCTCTGAAAGGAGCCAACATTCTATGCTCCTCCAAACCCCTGGATTTCAGCATAACCGATGGTAAGAGACCAGGTTGACACTATTCCCTTGAGAGAATCTTCAATATGCATAAAAAATGGCAATCCTCCACTGAATATTACAAAATAATCTTTACTCATCAATATAAAACATAGACTTTGCCCCCACTAAATACCTCCACATTGGCCAACTTCGGTTATATATATCCTTAAAGAAAAATATTTTAAAAAATCTCTTTTCTTTCCAGGGGTCTCAAATATTATTTTATCTCTTCCCTAACATTGGCTTTTTACTGTTGTAAAAAGCCCGATTTTTAAAAACGACCCCCTTTTGATTTTAGAGAAAATAGTATTATGTAAGAAGATTTTGCCCATAGATGGCAGAAAGTTTGGACCTCTATTTGCCAAATCTAAAGGCTTACATACATTTTTGCTAAATTCTTAATCTGGCAGTTTTTAAAAATAGACCCATATTGAGTTTTATTTAACAACATTCGCTAAGTGTAATGTTGGCCAAAGTAGTGTTGTAATAATTTTTAAAATTTTTCTATAAACCTTATATATTTATTTTAGTTTCGTATTATTTTTTTAAAAAACATAGGTGTACTTTTATAACTTTTAATGTCAGAAAAATTATTAAAAAATACACAATTCCTTTAAAGATCAATCTAAACATTAAATTAAATTTTTTCTAAAATTACAAAATCGTTTTTCGGTTTGGCCCTAAACCAAATTTAGCTTTACAGTGAAAGTTAGATATTTTTATCAGATGTTGAAAACAAATAAAGCGATCCTATCATAGGCGTAACCGAGGGGGGGGGGGGAGGGGAAAGGGAAATCCCCTCTTCAGAAATTTATCCCTATTGTGAATATCATTTTAAGCTAATAAAAAATATCCCCCTTAGTCCTCCTCCCACACCACGACCCTCAAAAATGTAGAAAGAATGTAACAGTGGATATTTTTTTTATAAAACTATACATCATAATGTATAAATTTTTGGAAAAAAGCATTTATATATATAAAGTGAACCAAAAATGTTTTTTAGTAAATGGAATGTAAGCCAAAGATAAGTCTACAAAAGTGTAATGTATTTTAATTATTACTAATAGATCCATAAAATTATTAAATAATATAATATATCAAATATAACTTTTTATAAGTGAGTAATTTTAATTTATTTATCTTAATAAAAGTAAAATATAATTATAAAACTTTTGATAAAATTAAATCATAAATTAAATTAAAAAATTAAAGCACATTACAAGTAGTGGAATATTATATGTCGTAGATTTACAGTATAACTAATTTTATCAATTATCATATGATAATTAAGTAATTTTTACCAATATAGCGATTTATATTTTACAAAAAACTATAAAATATTGATAAGGACATCAGAAAATATCTTTTAAAGACAATGTGGGATAAATAATATGAAGATTAATTTTTAATATCATTTTTTATTTAAAATTAGATGGCCTTAAATAATTAAATTCTAATTGTATTTATTATCAAGAGCATTGATTAGTAAAATTTGTTAAAATATTAACTGTAATATATTCTCTAACTGTCAAATATGTCTGTAAAAGTGGAATTTTCCTAGTTTTTTGTAATTAATACTATAAAATAGAGGATTATCAACTATATGACTACTTACTTTTTATAAATAAATTTCTTATACTTGTTTGGAATAAATTATTACCATGCTTTTATATTAATGTATATACAAGTAATTCATTGTATTTTCTATAAACTAATGGAAATATATTTCATATTTATTCCAGGCTTTTTTTTTATTAAAATTACCTTGTATCTTGTAAAAATATTTTATAACTATATATAGACTAAGGTAACCTGGCCGAAGGCCGGGCAAAAGCGGGCCGCCCTCTCAAAGGGGGTCTGGGGGCGAAGCCCCAGTAATTTTTTAATTCCCCCCACCTTTAGGAAAATCATGGCCACGCCTATGGATCCTATTATATTTTTCATTTGCATATTTTAAACAATTATTAAATATTTTATTTAAAAAATGCCATACTTCATATTTGAAGTTAGTGCCATACTTGAGGTTAAGATATATAAAAAAAAATTTTTTTCTAAATAAAACCAATATATTTATAAATTTTTACAGTTTCTTTTTAAGAATTATTTCTCCCTCTTTATTTTTTCATATTTAACCTTTGAAAATGATATAAATTTAATTCAAAATTTTATTCAGTTAAGATATTACATAATAGGGATAACACATATATATATATATAATATGATATATAATGAAGGTGCTTGAGAATTTTAATTGTCATCTGTTAACTAAAGTATAATTATTTGTTGAGATAATTGCGGATGATTGATAATTGTTTTTCATTTCAGATAGACAAGAAAAATTTACATTTTGGAATAATTGGCAATGAATAAAAAATATTACTAGCGCTAAGTGATAGTATATAATCTATATTACACATATTAAAATAAAATAACACCACTTTTTAATTTTAAATCTATTACCGTTATTTACTTTTTTTAAACATAATTTTTCTTTTATTTACGATTTTTTTTATCATCTTTAGTATTTTATTAATTTTTTAATCGGTTACTTCTAATTATATCTATCTATTTTCATTTATAAATTTATTTATACTTTTTTAAAATTTTAAATTTATCATATCATGAATTTCCTTAATTAAAATTAAATCTTTGAAGGAAAATTGCCGATTTTTTCTTTGTTTATTTCGAAAGATTAATTATCAATTTTTGCAGATTTTATTTTATTAATTTCAGTAGGAGCACAATATAGCGAAAAACGCCACAGCAAAAAATTGGAAATCTGGCTTATATTTCTAATTTTTTTAAGTAAATTGAGATATTAATAGATGATTGTAAAGATCAAATTGAGGACAAAGATGATATTTCATCTATTTTTACCAGGGATGTGAACCCTTCGACAAAAAAAAGAGTCCGGGTTCGGTAATAAATTTAAAAAGGACCCGGGTCCAGGGTTCGGGTCCGGGTTCAGAGGAAACATAAAAATAATGACTCAAAATAAGACTTTTTTTCATTCATTTTTTATTATACAACATTATTTTGTAAATATTGTTGCTCTCTTATTTTCGTATTTTCTAATACTTCATTTGAAAAAGAACTTGTTAATTTCCCTAACAATCGACATCTTAACCATATGCTATAAAAATCCGATAAACATAATTGTTCAGCTTGCACTCTTAATGTTGTTATTTTTAAAGGAACCAGCACACTAGTAAGCTCTTTTATTTGATTTCAATCATCTTCTGACAAAATGATTTCACATGCTCCTATGATTAAATCATTACAGAAATCTTTCAAACTTAATAATCGCTCTAGCATCATACACATAGAGGACCAACGTGTTGTGCAATCTAAAATTGCCATTTACCTTTTCGTGGATTTTAATATTCTAACAATTGTGGGAGTTCTTAAATATTTTACAATATCCCTTGCTTTATCAATTATAGTTTTAAAGTGACTATTTTTTAAAAATTATATTTTTCATTAATTTAAAAAAAAAATTTTAAGTTAAAAATTTTTAACACCATGAACCTTTGGACCCTCCACTTTTTAAAAGGGTCCGGGTCCGGGTTCAGCCAAAATACGAGGGTCCAGGAGGGTTCAGGGTCCGAGTCCGGGTTCACATCCCTGATTTTTACAGATTTTTTTAAAAATTTAATTTTAATAGATGAATTTACTTAAAAATTTTCTAAGAGATATAAGCGATATTCCCAATTTTTCGCTCTTTGTTTTTCTATGTTTCACACTGAAGTCCTCTATTTTTCAATTTCGTTTTGTGTTTTCCACTATTTATCATTTTTAATCTGACGTTTCCTCTTCAGTCTTCACTACTGTAAAATATGGAATAATAATGATATTTAACTATATTTTATTAGATAAAAAGTTATCATTAAGTTAATGTTCCACAAAATTATAATATATATTAAAACAACATTCTATTTTCAAGTATGACATTTTTAGAAAAAATTGTTCAATATTTGATAAATATCATTTAATGTTTAAGTGTGAGAAATAGAAAAATATAATAAGATCGTTTCATTTGTTTTCATCATCTGATAAAAATATCTCCCACATCTTTATATATTAAAATTTATGACCAGCTAACATTTAGCACTATTTAATTACTTTTATATGCTAGGCTTCATCATATGCGCATTTTAAATTTTTTATGAAATACAAGAGGTTTCTTCACTGGGGACCTTTGATTGCTACTTTTATTATATCAACGCTAAGTTTTATTTGCATATACATTAATATCTATTATTTCCCACTATTTGCTTCAGCAAAAAATATTTTTTTAACTGCATTACTTTTATTGTGGACATTTTTAATATTCTCAAATTTCCTTAGCTGTATATTTATAGGCCCAGGTCTGGTTCCTTTGGAATGGAATAAAGTAAAGAATTTTAAGTTGTTTAATCTATTAGGTTTTTATAGAAAAATAAGAATAATATTGAATATCTGCAATGGTGCAATTTTTGTAAAGGTTATAAACCTCCTAGAGCTCATCATTGCAGAAGATGCCAAAGGTAATGTAAAAAAATATTATATTTCTTATTAATTAATTTGGTTATAGATGTGTTATGAAAATGGATCATCATTGTCCTTGGATAAATACTTGTGTTGGACATTTTAATCAAAAATATTTTATATATTTTTTGATTTCTGCTGTTCTAGGGTGTTTGCATTCATCAGTATTACTGATATACACACTTTATTTAATAATCAAAAATGTGAGTGATCTGAAAATTTATAACACTTTAATTTATATTACTAATCATTGCAATGATACCAAGGAACCTTTAATTTTTGTGGATACCACCAGAGTTGGGCAGTTCCACAAATACTTATTTTTAAGATGCAAGATCCTTTTGTATCTTGCTCACTGTGTCTTTTTGTTCACAATTAAATACCTATATTTGTAACCATAAAACTTTATTTATAAAAAATCCTGTATCTTTATTAATTTTCTTGTGATTCTTGGGCTTTCTTAATATTTTTATATTCACTGTTAACATTTTTCTGTAGAGCTTGCATTAATATTGTTATTTTTATTCCTGTCTTTATATTTTAAATTAATATTTATAAATATTTTTTATTCCATCCTATGAAATATGATGATGATGGTTTTAATACAATAATTAATATATATGGACAAGAAATCATAAAATTAATTTCTAAATTGAATACAATATTAAAGCTATCATGCTAAAATAAAAAATATTCATCTATATTTCAAAGTCCATTTTGGATAGCTTTGTACACACTATACTAAATATAAAAATTGCAATATTTAAAATTTTGATTTGGGCATTTGATACTTTAAAAATAATTTTAAATAATTTGAAAAATTTTGAGAAAACTTCTCTTGAGGAATAAATAAACTAATGGTTCTAATCTTATTTTTTAGTTCATTAAACAATTAAAATATATATGGTATTTCTCTATGTCTCATATTCATATATATTTTGATATAGGTAGGAATGATTAGGGATTAAGTAGCCATAATCCAACTGCAGGAGTACCATTTGCACAGACCAGCCTGGCCAGATTTTTTTGAAAAAATTTTTCTCAGCCTGGCCCAGGTTTTATATTTTCAGACCTGACTCAGATTTTTTAAAAAAATATTTTATTTATTTTTAATTTTTATAGCCACTAATGGCGATTTAAAATATACCCTGCTCTGGTATTTTAAATAAAATAATTCTCAGGCACATCCCGAGTGAACATATTTTATCTATTGCTGGCAATCAGGGACCCGAACCGTTATTTATAACGGTTCAGTATGTAAAAAATTATAATGGTTACGTTTTGGTTACGGTTCTTAAGAAGAAATTTATAAAGGTTCGGTTCGGTTCAGCTAATTATAAAGGTTTATAAAGGTTAATTTTTTTTTATTGAAGCAACACCATCTTCTAATTTATTTTTATTATTAAGCATCTGAAATATATATAAAAAAATATAAAAGATTCAAAATAACTCATTTTTAAATATATCATTTGAACGTATAAGTAATATATTTTCTAATATAAATGGATTCCTTTTTGTTCGTTGTAACGATAACACAAATTTTAGCCCCGAAAAAGCCCTTTCTACAGAAACTTGTGTTGCCGCCAGTACTATAAGAGCAAGTTTATATAATTCTGGATATTCAAATTATTTCCATTTCTAAAATATAAAAACTGAACAGGTTTAACTGTTTTTTATAAAGGTTCTTTTTACTCCTTCCAAAAATAATTATATCGGTTCGGTTACGGTTATGTTCAGATATTTATAACGCTTTATAATGGTTTAACGGTTCGTTACGGTTTACTCCGGGTCCCTGCTGGCAATTAAAAAAGATCTTCATTACATAACTTGGATAATATTTATAAATGATAACTACCATGATATATCATCTAATGTAAATTCAATTTGTATATTTAAATTTATATTTGTGTAAAATGCATTTATATTTGTGTAAAATGCATTTATATATATCCATTATAACCCTTTTCTAAAATAATATGCAATTTTTCAATTATCTTTTAGGCATTGTTTAAGTTGATGAGTCAATTATCTATCTTTTATTGAAGATATTTTAAAAACTTTTATAAATTTTTATGAAAATTTATTTATATTCAATGTGTAATAGAGATGTATTTACATTTTGATTTTATGCTTAATTTTGTTGGCAATAATATACAAATGAAATTTACACTCTTTTTCATATATTTTGTTTTATCGGCGCGCTATTACATCACCGATAAAAAATGCACACGTGCCGTCGCCGCTGAATAATAAATCGGCGCACGGGTCTGTGTTTTAGATAAATTTTTGTTCAAATACGCTAGCTAAACCGATAAGTATCGTAGGTTGAGAAACTGCCGTTTACAATCTTCAATAATCATTTCGAATTGAATGCTCTCGATGTTTATTGTTTTCCTATATTAATAATTATTATAATAGCAATAGGAATAATAATTTTAATACCTGATAGCTCATATTTTACTGATTTATTGTATGTTTTATTTTAATATTGTGGTTTTGGACATATTAAATTTTAAAATCAAAAATTAACTTTGGACGCACTAAAAAAAATTTTTGACTTTGGACGCGCTCCGAAAGATTTATTTTATTTAATCAAATTTAAACTTTAAAGATTAACAAATCACAAAAAAATATTTTTTTTAAATTATAAAAAAATGATCATAATTTAAATTTACAAAAAAAAAATAATTCTTGCTTACACAAAAACTCTTAGCATTTATTTCAGAGACCTGCTAAGGTACTATTTGCATGGCCCAGTCCGGATTTTAAAAAAAATTTCTGCCCGGAATGATTTTAAATATATTTTAAATTAATGACGGCGATTTAAAATATTCGGCCCGGGTATTTTTTTTATACCCGGCCTTGATATTTTAAAAATAATTAGCAGGCCGGGCAAGTCTCTGTTTTATATATAATTTATATTAGATAATTTGCATCTTCAAATATATTAAAATTTTAAATTAAAAGAATTTAATCTATAAATTTATATAAACTTGCAACAGACATAATTTTCTCTTTTTAAATTTCCCTCACGTGATTATTTTTAATAATGAAAAATTAGTTATATATTTTTTTAGAAATAAAATATTAAGCTCTTAACACCTTTAACGATGTAAAGATCGGCAGTATTGTATTTCTGGTCTAAATTAAATTTAAAAATCCCCAATTTTTTTTAACATGAATTAGTTAAAAGCTTAACAAATTATCTTTGCAAACATTACAATATTTTATATTCCTTTTTTTAGCCCTATGCATTTTATCTATTTCGACACACTGAATTTTACGTCTACTTACTGCATCTTTTCACTATTGGATTATCCATTGGTGTTGTATTATTTGTTTCCATCCTTTGTTATTTTCAAGTAAAGTTTAATTATTCATTTATATTAATGTATTTGCAAAATTTAATTATTTTTTTGTTAAAGTTAAAAGCTGTGCTCTACAACACCACAGAAATTGAAGATTGGATAATTAAAAAGGTTTTATAATAATATGCTCACTTATTTACAAAGATTTTTAGATACTGAGATTCGGTAATGAAAGGAATTCATTCAAAAATCCTTTTGATTTAGGAGTAAAGAAAAATCTTAAACAATTTTTTGGCTTGGATCATACAAATATTATATTAGACGGAATGAACTGGCCTGTAAGAGATGGATGCACTCTCTATTCATTATCGGTTAAATTTTAATTATTTTTAATTTTATTATAAATGTTTTTTTTAAAAAAAATATATAAGACAGCCATCTTTCTAAGAATGGACCCATCCTCGAATCTTTATTTTAAGCTTGCAAAATCAGGGTTGGTCAAATTCAAATAATCTAAAATATTATTTTCTATATTTTTGATTAAATATAACGATATAGAAAATTTTGAATAATTTATTTCCTGGAAAAAAATTAATCATTCAGAATTGATATTTTTAGATATGAATTATCCGAAAATATGTTATTTTTTAAATTAATATGTCGAAGACCATAAATGAAGGTTGCAGATATTATAAATAAAGCTCCCCTTTATCTATTGTTTCAGGGTGGAGCAATATCCAAAATGAAAGCATTATAAATTTTGTGGTAAGACACCGTTTCCCGTATTTTATAAGTAATCATCATACGGTAGATTATATTTACCAATTAAAAAAAATTGAACAATTAAATCCTACAGCAGTATATTCTTAAGTTTTGGATAATGTGGCTAATATGAAGGGAATTTTTCAAATCGGCCTTTAACCATATTCAATTATATGCATGTGCCGCACACATTACAATTATTTTTCGGGATTTTGAACTAGTAGTTATTTAATTCACATTTTTAGAAATAAACATATAGAAAGTACAGTATTTTTCTGCTACAGAAATCAATGTCATATCATCTACTATAAGTATAATTAGTTTAATTTCTTCTGCAACAAATACAAATTTTAAAAAAAAGCTTTAAAGGTGTCCGCCATTGAGATATACCTAACTCTATCTATACCATTGTTGAGAATTCAAGGGAACAAATGCACTTTGGTATTTTTAGAATATGTTATTTACTTGAGTCATGACCCAATTCTTCAGAAGAAAATAAAATATTTTCAAATAAGAAAAACTGATTTTAATACAAATGTTCATAAAGCTGCCTACTTATTAAATTTTCAATATGAAGGACAACTCATGAATAATGAAACGAAGCTTGTGATAATAAAGGAACTGGGAGTTCCTCAAGGTGGGAATAATTAATAATCTTAGGTGATATAATAAATTTCGCTGTCGGTATCTTTGATAGACAAAATATATGAAATGCGGTAGAATCCATTACCATTAATTAGATTTCGGCATCAATGGAATGAACTTTGGCCATCTTGCCCTTTAAGGAAATTAGCAAAATCTTATTAACCCTTCCAATTTAAACTCTTCTTCAGAAATAAATGGTTCCGTCTGAGATAATATTTATACAAAGAACTGAAATCTTTGATTACCGGAAAAATAGTTACGTTTATCATAATTTACGAATAATTAAGAAAAATGATGGTATAATTGAACCAGAAAACGAATCTATCACAGAAAGTGTATACGAAACAGTATCAAGAATGAATCAAAATATTACCAAATTTAAATATATGCATTTATGAATATATTTGTTATTACATATAATATACCTAATAAAATGAATACTATCATAAAAACATTTAATTGAATTTGACCTGTCATGCCAACCTTATATAAAATATAATGCCTACTTATATTCTAGAACCGTAAATTGACTTTAAAAAATAAAATTTTTGCAACTTAAAAAAATGCCTATATATATTTAAATTAAATATATAAAAACGCAATCTTTCATATGCATCCCATGGGAATATTGATATAAAAATGTGTTTTCAATTCATAAGGCTTTTATATTGTCATTATTCTTCTCTGCTTAATAAGTATCTTAGATACAATATAAACTCAAAAAATTTGTTATATTCAAACTTAGATATTTTTTTAATAGATATTATATTTCACCAGTTTTTTCGTCTCGTTGTCCATGAAATCAAGAAAGCTAAGATGGCTTATGGTTGTTTTCTGTTTTAGATAATAGGTCCCTTTTGATTCCCTTGTTCTGTAGCAAAAATTTCCTTAGTTCATTAAAAAACAATTCGACCTAGCTTAAGCCCTTCTAGAAGTCTCCGAGTCAAGGGCGTTTTTATTTTATTTTTAAAGCATATTAACATAAATTGTGAGCTCTTGGAACACATATAACTTATACATTCTAATTATGTTTAATGATAAATCTTAACTATTTATTACATTTTATTTTTCTCAATAAAATTATATTTGTTTAAAAATTTGATATAAATATTACAAAATCTAAATGAACTGGAACTTTTTCCAATTTTAAGCAACTGATATAATTTTTTGCCCCTGAGCTGTAACCTTTATAGTTAAAGAATGTAAATTTTATGATGAGTTTAATGAAAAAAATATTTATATATATTTACCATGAGCCCATTTTTTACGCCTATGGAATAAGGTAAACTTTTGCAATATTTTGTACATCAATAATTTTGAATCCGTAACACACTCATTAAGTGTTGTTAAATGGCCCGATTTGGGTCCATTTTTAAAAACGGCTCAATTTGTTTAAAATTATATTTCATTAATACTGTAATTTTATAAGATTGAGCAAAAAAAGCTAAAACAATTTAAAGAAGAATGCTCAATCCTCTATGTCTGCAAACATGACTACAACGCTAACCTATTTTCTTTACGGTTTGGGATTTTGACTTTCCTAAACGTTCCATGTACTAGTGAACCCCGATTATATTTGAGAAAAAATGATACCGTTCAAACTACTCGATGGAAAAAGTAAAACTAATTTTATCTTTTTTTATTTTAAAAGCAACTTAATTTTGTTTAATAATATTTTTTTTTAAAAAATCACCAGAATAAGGTTATATTTATGGATGGACCAATGATATCCAAAAACTTCAATATCAATAAACTAGAATACAAACGATTTTATGATTTAAAATCGAATAATAGACTCAGTTTTTTTAAAATATTGACTCAATTTAATGTTTTTGGCAAGAAGATTTTTTAAAAAAGTATTTGGATTGGTTGAGAAAAGATTTTAGAATTTAGGTAATAGAATTAGCCAGGATGAATGAAAAAAATCGAGCTTACGATAAAAGCTAAGTAGAAAATCAATATGGGTGATAAAGGAGAAAGAACAAAGGTCCCTTCCTTAGTTGGGTACTTAGGAAAAATGTTGCAAAATAGAAATAAATAGTTGAAGATACAAAAGGAACTGACTTATTGATATAATCTTTGATTAAAGACAGGGTAGAGGTAGTTGGTTATTTTTCTATATGAGACTATTTCAGGTTTCAGTTCTGAATATTTTAAAAAGACGATTCTGATATATGAATCACACAATATTTAAAAAATAATATAAATTAGTTATATACTTTTATTAGCACTGATTCAATAATTTTAGTTCCGGTTTCAATGCTAATATTATTGATTTTTTTTAAAAAAGGCGCTAATTTTTGAATAGTTTAAAATAAAAAAACTTATACCTTTAGTTTTTTCATAGATCTACAATGTGTAAAATTAAAATTATACACTTAAAATAAACTATTTTTTTTTAAATCGAATTTATTTTAGATATTGGCTTTACGGGAAAAAGTTGAATTCTATGGGTCAAAAAACGGCAGGTTATTTTTTATTACCAAAATTTAATTATTCCTATAACTATTTCTAAATTTTAACTAAATTGGTATTATAATATATTTTATTTTGGATTTATTTAAATTTTTTTGATAATTTTTATTTATAAATTATAGTGTAAATAAGAAAAAATTTTTTTTTAACTTTTTCTTAAGAAAATTATTGTTCCTTTATGGTAACATCAAGTATGTAAACATATTAAACGGCAAAAGAAAATCTCATTTCAATAGATGCATAGTTTATCTTTATGTAATCAAATTATATTTAATATAAAAAATTTATAGCATCTTTCCTAGTTGCTTACATTTCTAGCTTGAAATAATTATATAATTTAATCAATCATGTTTTTAGTGAAAATTATTTTAAAAAAAGACTAATATATATTAAAAAAGGATCAGTCAAAACGAGGGGAAAAAATTAAATAATAAGATTTTACAGATCAAAAGTTAATAAACGGTTATGATATCAGGAACATTGGGCAAAAATGTCGATTATTGATAGAAAATTTTTACATATTTATATTTATTTGAAAGATAAAACAGAATCTTTGGTAGTACAACAGTCTGATAACAAAGCAAAAGGTTGGTTTCCAAGAAATTTAGTAAAATTAAAAGAACTCTAATTTTAAAAAAACTTAAATATATATAATTTCTTTGATAATTGTATTTTTTTAAAAAATAATATTTATATTATTTATATAAAACTATAAAACATAATTTTATAATATTCTTGAACTATGAATTGTGATCAAGAAATATTTTAAATCTTTATTTTATTGATAAACATAGAATAAATTGAAGCTAAATCGATTGAATTTTGATGTGTCAACCAAGGGCTTTCAATTAAACCTTAATAAATAATAATAATAAATATATTATTAAATAAAATCTAATAAAATGATAGATTTTAATTTTTATAATAGGGAAAAAACAATGAAAGATATGGGTCAAGACCTGATGTGGGTTATTGTTGATCTAAGTTTATGAGTTTTTTTAAAAAATAATATTTATCAAAATATTTGTTGTTTTTTTTGCTTTGTAATTTATGGGAAGGAAAAGGTAGCTATAGCTAGGACCTGGGTTCCTTATTAGTTTCTAGATTGGATGATTAGGATAGTTCATTATTTATTGATTTTCCTTTTTCTTCAGAAACATGATTAAATGTGGTGCCTCCCTTTAGTGGGCTTGAGTGAGTTAAATTAGAAAATTTCAGAATTATGGGTTAGTTTATAAAAAATATTAGTCATAGAGTCCTCTTAAAAAATGGTGTATTTTCTTTTACTAGTTTAAGTATAAATATTTTTTAGCAGTTTGGATGCTTAAAGAACAATTTTAACATATTAGCTGTATTTTTTAAAATTAGTTAAAAATTTTTAAAATATATATAGTATAAATTAAATTATATTTTTTTATTGTATATATTTATTGTAAAATAGATGGGCTATAATAGTTTTAAGATGCAAGCCATTTTATTAATAAATATTTGAAATTTGGCATCTATTTTTTATATGTATATTTAGGGACTTTTTTAAAATTTTATGGTGCATCTTTTTTGAAGAGGGGGGGGGGGGTTAAGAGATAGTTTCTTTCAGGGGATAGTTAATTTTACCTGCTTGAATACATGCTTCAATTTCTTTGGCCATATATATAAAACCAACGTAGTTTTTATAAGTTGTATATGTCCCTTGAAAATCTAATGGGTAATCATAAACAACATCATTAATTATCATTTTGCTGGGTAGCCAGAATGGCTCGCATATCTTTTTTAAAATATATAAACAATTTTTAAAATACATTACTTACCTTAATATTACCTTTGGTACCACATATATAAGCTTCATTAGGCAAATGTAAATTAGATGATAATTGTGTAAAAGCAAATTTATCATTTGGATAAACCATAATTTTAGATATCATATGATTTTTACCTAAAATGATAAAGTTTATAAAAAAATAAATATTTATTTTAAAACTATTAACAGTAGAATTTAAAGTTACATTTTCTGGTAGTTGCTGATACACCATTTGTATTAGGTGAAGAGGGTAAATAAATGCTTCATCTAATTTTTTTACCTAATATTTAAAAAATGATATCAAAAAATTTTATCAAATGGAATAAATGACAAAAATTGTAGAAATAACGATTATGAATAATTACTAGTGGTGTTGATGACACACTTTGTTAAAACAAAAGAAATAATTCAAAATCCAGTAAAATGATTAACACCTAGAAGTCAAAGTGAATATTAGAGGAAGGAATACATTGTTTTTAATAGAATCAAAATAAATAATCCTTTAATGTTTATGTTAATTATTGTACAATTATATAATATTAACATGAATCACATATACTAAAATTAAAATATTACTGGTAATAATTTTTTATATGCAAAATATTTTTCAATATTTTTATAATTGCTAAAACTTATATTTGCTGATATAAAACTAATATTTCCAATGGTTTTCATTTTTAATTGATGTCTCAATCTTTGATATATTGGTAGAAATCTGCTTGGAATTACCTATTAATTAAATATTAGACTCTAATATTAATTTAACTTTACTTCCATAAAAAACCTTTTTTCTATATTTAATAATTTCAATATGTCAAGAAATTGATTACTATCCCATAATATAGGAGGTTCACATAATATGTGTTTTTTTTGTTGTATTAATTTTGATACTATATCATGTTTAAAATTATCAACGTTTCCAACATATGCTATATCTAAATGCAAATATTTATTATAATTTATTATATAAATACCAAATTTTTGATTTACAATGTCATCTAAGTTTTTAAGTATTAAAACCTAGAGAGGTATGTGTATATTATATCAATATAATTTAAACTCACTTTATGTGATATACATTTTAATATGTTAGCAATATCATTTGCCAGAGAATGATAAGTATTAATTATTCCCCAGATCATTAATAAAAATTAAAATTTTAAAAACTCACATTGTGCGTGCATGATTTAAATTTCAGTTTAATATTTATGTGGTTAAATAATGTTCCCGAATACTTTGTATTTTAATTTTAAATATTTATTATTCAGTTAATAGCCCAGAATACGATCTGCATTTTTAGTTTAAATTTTAATTATAAAAGATATAGATTAATATTACTTTACCTATTGAGCAGAAATGTCTAGGCCCCATTGCTCGATTAAGATTTTAGCGATTTGGCAAATAGAGGCCCAAACCTTTATGACATCTATGAGCCAAATGACCAAGCTTACATAAAAATTATTTTGGCTAAAATCTTAATCGGGGGTTTTTGAAAAATCAACACAAATCAGGTAGTTTTTAAAGTAAAAAAAAGTGATGTCAATATCATTAAGTTTTATATATTTATTATTCATACGTTAGTCATAAATGTAATATCACTAAATTATTATATTTAATATTTATAGACAATCATAAATGTCATAATCAATAAATTATTTATTTTATATTTATACGTTAGTCATAAATAAATATCATTAAATTTATTATATTTAATATTTAAGTGTCAGTCCTATACGTCAATGTCGCTAAAAATATTCTATTTAATGTTTATACGTCAGTCATATTTGTCAATATTACTAAAAAATATAATATTTAATTTATGCACGCCAATCGTAAATGTCAATATCACTAAATAAGTCAGTATATTTTATACAAAGTATAAATCACACGTTGCACCAGGCCTGAAATTTTTTTAAAAAAAAATACCCGGGCCGCACCCTATATTTAAAATTGCCAAATACAATATATTTTAAAAAAATCCGGCCGGGTCTAAAAATATAAACAGGGTATGGCCGAAAATAATTTGTAAAAAAAATCTAGGCCGCTGTGCAATTGGTACTTCTGCAGGTCTCTTGTTAAAATAAAGTAATGTTTCTAAAATAATGATGAAAAATCACTTGATTATATACGCTTACCAATTCGCACATTACCATTTAAAATACATTATTTGAATAAAACGAAAACATAAATTTATGAGCACTATAACTCTGGTCAACAATGGCGTATTAAGGACGGAAAGTTGAAAGGGAAATGAGACATGACGTTAGCCATACCCGCATATTTTTTTTAATATATATTAATGGAATCAGCGGTCGCCTCCGATATTTTATATATCATACCCCCAATCGCGATGCAAAGTAGGGATGTGAACCCGAACCCTCCTGAACCCTGATATTTTGGCTGTACCCGAAACCTGACCCTTTTTAAAAGTGGAGCGTCCAAGGGTTCTAGGTACCATAAAAAAAATTTAAAAACAAAAATATTTTTATATTGAGGTGTCATAGAAAATATTATAAATTTTATTAACCTTTTTCGTGGAATTATTTATTTTATCTTCGTGTTTTTCTTTCAATTCTTCCTATACTTTCATTTTATTTAGAATTTGATATCATAAATTATTTTCTAGTGTAAATAATATTTTATTATGCAAATTTATTAATAGATTTCCCCACAAATAAATATTACATCAGATGTGCAGCCCATACTCTATAATTGGCTATTAATGATTGCCTAAAAATAATCACTTTGAAACTATCATTGATAAAGCAAGAGTTGTTGCTAAATATTTATGAACTCTCATAATTGCAAGAATATTAAAATCAATAAAATGGTCAATGGCATTATTAGATTGTTGGTAGAACGATTATTAAGTTTGAAAGATTTCCGCAATGAACAAAAGAAGTCATTTTGTCGGAAAATGATAGTGCCAAATAAAGGTCTTTACGAGTGTATTAGTTCCTTTAAAAATAATGACATTAAGATTACAATTAGAACAATTATGATTATCTGATTATGGCATATGGATTAGATGCTGATTAGATTAAGAGAGATTTACTAGTCCTTTTCAAACGAAATATTAGAAAACATGTAAATTCGAGAGCAACAATATTTGTAACATAGTGTTGTATACGCTTCTATATATTTAGACTCTCGATATCAAGTTTTATTGAGTATTCAAAAACAAATGGCTAAAGACCATCTTAAGGATTATGGCATACGCAAAACTCCATTATTTACAATATATTGGAAGCTACGACAATAATACTTACTGGTAGTCGTGATAATAACGATAATGATGGCAACATTGATGATCTTGAAATTTTACTATTAGACAGAGAAAAAGAAAATCAAATTATCATCAGATAGAAAGGAGGATCAAAAAATGCCTATTGCATCTTTAATAAAAAAATTCTCATAATAAATAAGGATACAAATATTTTAAAGTTAAGGGAAGAAAATTCTTCAATGTATTCAGAATTATATATATCTTGTCTAGAGTAGTCATGGCTGTACCGGCGACATAAGTACAATAATTTATGTATTATAAAGATAACTATCTATTTTAGGTAAGCGTAGAAAGTAAATTTTCATCTTTGAATTATATATTATCTAAAGAAGGCTCAGGGATAATATTTTATAAGATATTATGATTGTGCGATTGAATAAAACATTTAAAATATAAATTATTTCATTTTTTATTTGTAAATTATGAATGTGTATACATTGAAATATAATAATAAATGAATAAAAAAAAGTCTTATTTAGAGTCATTTTTATATGTTCCCTGAACCTGTACCCCTTTTTAAATTTTATTACTGTACCCGGACCCTTTTTTTTGTCGAAGGGTTTACATAATGATACAGTCTTTTTACGTGAGCCGATTATTTTAAAAAGTTATCTCAATATTTTGGAGAAAATATTGTCTAGGCCTCGAGATTTTGCTAATATCTATATAAACCAATGTGTTATCTCTATGAACTAAATGTTCAGGTTTGCGTAATATTATTTTGGATAAAATGTTGAGTTAGCCATTTTTAAAAATCGACTCAAATGGAGCGATTTTGCTAACCACCAAGTCTTTCTTTCGCTAATAGATATACAAACCTATGTGTCATCTATGAGCAAAATATTCAAGTTTGCGTAATATAATTTTGGATAAAATACTGAGTTAGCCATTTTTAAAATTGACTCAAATAGATAGATTGTGCTAACCACCAAAAAAGGAACCACTTAATTGGCTTCAGAAAAAAGGTGGTATTTCTTAAGAAACCACAACTATTGGATTGTGATACACATACTGAATCGACTAGGCCACAAATGCAACTCGAAAATTTTTTTTTTCAATATATAAATATACAATTACAATGCTACCTTATATTTAAATAAAACACATAAAAATCAATAAACGTTCAAAGCTATACATTATTACCGGGAAATCCCCTTCCCTAGAAAATTTCCCAATTTTTACAGACTTATTAATCTAATAAAAATTTAAATGAATTAAATATCTCATTATGAATAATATATTTTTTTAAAAAAATGTTATCATTTTTTAAAATATGATTATTATTAAAATTTTTGAGAAAAAGAGTTTATAACCAAAATTATTTTTAAAAAAATAGTCTAGCAAAAGGTTTTCAAAAATCGAATCTAAAATATTCCGAAAAAAATTAATAACCCCCCCCCCCCCCTTACGAAAATCGTAGTTTAGCTAATATCTGTCGGTCAATTTTATATCTGACAGAAATCAACGGAAAATTTATATTCATGCACAATCAATTCCGGTATTTTCGGAAAAAGTCAATCAGGCGTCGAAATTCAAAATTTATTCACGCTGACGTGATTCATAATATAACTGAGATTTTTACGATCAGCAGAACTAAAAAAACAGGTTCAATTAATCCTACACATTCATTATCAACAATATCATTTTAGATAAATAACCATTCATTATAGTGAATAAGATTCAATAAGTTTTTATGTCTTATACAATTTTAAAATGGTTTGTAAATGGCTTATGTCTTATACAATTTTAAAATGGTTTGTAAATGGCTAGTTATGAACCTCTGAAAAATAGCACTTATCTTATTAATTTTTTATAGTAATTTATACAAATTTTTTCAAATAAATTGTACATTATAAAGAATAGGGTTGGATCTTTTAAATAAGATAAGTTCAGAGATCTGAGACAAATCTAGGAACTGAAATCCTATTTTAAAATTTCCAATGAATCGGTTAAAACAAAATAACAGTAAATTTTAACGTATTGTTCAAAAAGTTGTAATTCATTTTAGAAGCTTTATAAATTGATTAATTTTTTTTTGAATTTGAACTGAAACTATCAGAAGAGCGTCAAATTCGAACCGGATCCCACTCTTCAAAATTTTAGTAACCAGAACCACTTCTTTTAAAAAAAATATTCAGAATCAAAACCCCTTTTAGTTCAGGTTCTAAACTCTGAATAAGTTATTAGATAAATAAAAACCTCATTTTTTTTTTAATTTTTTAAAAATTGCAGCATTTGAAAAATTAGTCGTGGATCTGAGGGTAAAACACCATATATATTATATTATACAAATTATATATATATTTTTTTATTTGCTATTAAAATCCCAGGGCTCACAAGAACCCTAAACTCATAAGATCCCCGATCTACCCTAGGAAAAGCGCAAAGAGAGCCAATGATGATGCTCATATGTGGAAGGTGATGAAAAAGAATTAAAGGAAGAAAAGCCGTTTACCGAACAGAATGACCATTTGGTTTTTTATATTTAAAAGTAGAAATACAATTATTAATTGAACAAAAAACTTAAATCTTGTTGCAATTCAAGTGTAAATTGCTAAATTAATTTATGATATTAATAAATACAAATTGTAAAATAAGATTCCCACAATAACATATTATTTATATAAATATGTATAAAATATAAACACAATTTTTTAAAAAAATATGCAAATAACATGTTTTACTGAGTTGTCCAATTTTGTAGGCCGAATTGGAAATATATTTACAATAAAATTTCCGTAAAACCTTTTAAATACATTTATAATATCACAATTTTAAAGCTAATTTTCCACATTTAAAATTTATCCTTAATGACATTTTATCATGGGAATTAAATAAATAAATAATAAATAGTTAAATGTATTATATTTTTCCTTATTATCTATCTTTGTTAACAAGTTTATCGATCAACTCCTGCAAGGGCGCAAGTTCTCGTTTATCTATCATATTAAATTCTTGGGTGAAATATATGAAATGTTTGAAGGAAGTGTTCAAATGCGGTTCTTCTCCTTGGAATTATGTTTTTGATTAATTAACAACAAATATGATTTATTTTAATTCTAAAAATGATCAAATATATTCATATCAAACAAGTAGAGCCCTACGTGGACCTGTATCTGATCCGATCAAAATCGGATAGGTTGTATAGACAGACAAGTCAGAGCTTTTTAGACATATTTATATCTCCTCAACAAAATATATTTCATTATCAATAATTAATTCTTAAAAGATATAACTATTAAACATGTCTTTTATTTTTAAAGGAAATTAATAATCGGTAGTCTTTCTAAATAAATAATTACATTATAAATTTGAACCTAGTTTTATGATTTCCTGGAAATGTTGATAATAAATGTGGGCGTAAACTCGAAATAATCTTTTCAATATAACTTTTGCAGTCGATATAAAATTTTTGGGAAATGGAACACCTTAATTTGTAAAAGATTTTATTAGAATACCGAATGCTCAAGCAAGATGATATAGCATATATCTATTAAAGATTGATAATAAAAATAACTTACAGTAAAAAAAAAATAACATATAAAATTAGGTTATAATAAATTTATAATTTATAATTTTCTATTTTTTTTTTAATTTTTCAAAATTTCCGGTTAATTGAAACCATCATTTGGTTAAAATTTTCTTTCTTTCTTTCTTCATTAAATCTATTGATTATCTTATCAATCAATCTGTTTTATAAAATCTCTTGGCAGTAAATAAGGCTAGTACAATAGAACAGAACGGGCTTAATTAAAGATTTTGACTTTGGGTATGGTTTCTTATTTTTTGATTTTGAGATCATCAAAGTGTCGGGCATATTACAAAAAAATATTATAACAGATTGGTAAGAGAATCAATAAGAAAATAGCGAAAAGAAAGAAAATTTTGAACTGAGATGATAGCTCCAAGTAGCCGGAAATTGTTTTTTTGTACTAACATTTTTGTGAAAAAGTTTATATTTTTTTTAAAAATTTTTTTTATATTCTTTATATATGTAAATAATTCTTATTTGTAGATTTGATTGAAAAATGAAATTAGGTTATCAAAATATCTCGAAAATAAAAAACATTTATTTATTAGTAAAATACCCAATAGTAAGAATATATCTATGTAAAAATTTAAATATCATCAAAATAATTTTAACACTATAAAAATATCTTTCAAATGCACTGATATCAATTGTTTTTTGGTCTTAATGGATGGATCTAGGGGGAGTTGAAGGGGTTAAACTTATTTTTTTTAGAAATTTTGTTAAACCATCGCTCTATGTGAGGTTGGTCTAAATCTATAAATCATTATTGCTTTTTAAAAGGTATGTAATTAAAAATTTGAGGTGGATATCATTGAAAGCGAGTTATATTTTTTTTATTGCAATGTTAATCAACACAGTGGGCTGATCTAGTCTATAAAAAAATTATATTTATCGAAATATAGTAGATATATATTTAATTTAAATTTGTAAAACGAATGAATGCTTATGAACCTATCTTTGAAGGGAAAAGAGTTTCGTCGTCTAATTTTTCTTGTATCCATGTCATGAGAAAATCGATGTATTGGGGAGCTGAGCATTTAATAGGTTTTTTGACCGTCACCCCATCGGCCCAATGATATTCGTATTTGGGACCAGCGCTCATAAGAGGGCACTTTGTGGGCCTGCAAAATTCGGTTATGGTTCCGTACAACATGTTGATTTGATTAAAGAAATCGACAACTTAATAAAACATTTTTTTAAAAAATAAATCATAAATTTTGGATCATTTCCCGATTATAAGATATTTTTTCCCCGTAATCTCTATTTTCCGCAAAAAAATATTTTTTTTATTAATAATATTTAAGCTTATAAAAATGTCTTTTTCAAATGAAACTTGTAAATTCATCTTTTATTCTTCACAATTAAAAATTAATTCTGCAACATAAAAAAAAATGGGGAAAAAAAATTAACAAAATTTTCTTTCTGTCTTTTATAATCTGTTTAAAAAAATTTGTAAATCAATTTATGACTTGATTTAACCGATTTTATCATTTTAGCCAAAATAATATTATGCAAGCCTTAAAATTTCGTTAATAGCTGTCCAAACTAGTGGTCTGAAATGCAGGACCGGGTAAAAAAAAATAGAGCCGTTTAACAACACTAGATCAATTTTCCTTATCATTTGACGGCTTAATGTAAGCTAGGGATGTACCGATATTTTTTAGGATGGAATCGGGCGGATATTTCATCTTATCCGATAAAATAGTCTTAATTTTTAAAAAAATTAATAATACACTTATATTATTGTGTAAATATATTAATGTCATTATTAAATAAGTGTTTTATCAATATCGCTTCATTTGAGCCGATTTTTAAAAACGGCGAATTCATTATATTAGCCAAAAAAAATATTGCCTAAACCTTGAGATTCTTCTAATAGATGTCCAAATCTTTATGCCATCTATGAGCAATTTTCAGGCTTGCGTAATTTTTTTCTGGATAAAATGGTTAGTTGTTTTTAAAAATAGACTCAAATGTGATGATTTTGCAAACTAGATTTATGCATTAAGAATTAAAAAGATTAATATGTTTACAGAATACAAAATCAGATATGATATCGGATCGGTAATCGGCTGATATAAATTTGATATAGGTAATATCGGATCGGATAGCTCCAAAAAGTGGTATCGGCATAATGTAGGAATTTTTTTATAATTTATTAGGATTAATGATTATTTTGGATATCGGTCACTTGTATCAGTTAAAATTTTAAAAAATCAGCCAATTTCAGCCTTTATAAAAGTATCAGTACATCTCTGATCATTTTTAATGAGTAATATAAACTATTAATATAATGAAATGAGATGAGATTTTTTTTTAAAAAAAATTGTTTGGATATAAATATAAGATTTTTTAGGTTTAAAAATATATTATTAATAACTATTTTTTTTACAATTTATAATTTAATTACATTTTACCAGAGTTGTTAACGCTCCTTTTTAAAAGTAGCTAGCTCCCGCTCCTACCTTCTCAAAAGTAGCTAGCTCCCGCTCCTACCCTCTTAAGAGGAGCTAGCCCCCGCTCCAAGTAATGAAGTGCCACTCCATAACCGCTCCTTTGATTTTCATTTTTTGTACACGAAACAAAATCATATTTTTTTTTCAAAAAGTTTTATTTATATTAAATGATCTATCAAAATATATATAATCATTTATTAGCCTTAAAAGTAATAAATTTTTAAAATTAGAATCTAACAAACATCCACGCCTCTCCCCTAAGACGTGTTTTGCAATACTAAACAAGCGTTCCACATGAGCACTAGAGGGAAGCGGGGTATTGTATTTTATAAATATATTTTTTAATTCAGGTATAAAAAAGGAGGTTGAACAAGTAATGAGAAAATTAAAATAAATATTAAAATATATTTAAAAAAGCATCATATCTAACAACCCAAGCTCAACTATAATGAACTGCCCAAAAATAATTATAACCATTTTTAAAAAAATTATTCCAAAATAAAAAAAATATAGTTAGCATTTTGTATAGTTTTTTACATTAAGATGATTTTTCAGATTAAAGCTGCTCACTTTTGAAAATGAAATACTTTTACTTAAACACAAAATGCATTTTGCCCTTAGATTTGTTTGATCATTTGGATCAATATCTTTTAGAAGTTTAAAATATTTTTTGTATGATGGAAATGGAAATTCGATTTCTTCTTCTATGATCTCTAAATCCATAATATCTAAAACTATTTTTTATTATATATCTATAAAATGAATATTAATATGAGTTACAAGATTTTCCAAAAAAATTTCAATATAAAAATGAAAAACTTGATGTTTAATATTTAAAATAATTAGATGAAAACCCAATTTAAAACTCGGCTCAATATTTATTAATAGATAAATTTAAATAAAATAAAATTTCATTTTTATCGAATTTTAATTAACAAATATTATTAATATTTAAAAAATAAATTAATTTATACCTCCAGCCATAAAAAGATCTAGCTCCCGCTCCTCATTTTTAAAGCGCCGCTTATGTAGCTCCGCTCCTTAACAACTCTTTATTTTACATAAATGGGACTTGAAAATTATTTTAAAAATAACGAGAAAATTGATATCATACATTATAATTCTGGTGACAAGATAACAAAACTCAAAATATTTATTTTATTCTCTATTTTAAGTGTGTATTTTTTTTTCTCTTTAGCTTTCACCTTTTATGGTGGTAAGCTCCTTCAACATCTCTCTCCACTTTATGTTATTCATACAATCTCTTTTATCTAATTTATACTTCTTTATATTGGCTCTAACTTTATGACCCCATTGAAGTTTTGGCCTTCCTCTTATACGTTTGCCCATAACTTCCAAACTCTTAACTTTATTTCCTATGTAGTTCATAGACCTTCTCATTGTGTGCCCATATCACCTAAGTCTGTTTACCATTAACTTAGTCTTAATGGGCACAACCTTTAAACTACTTAGTATTCTTGTAATGCGCACTTTATCCTTTCTAGTTACCCCAGCTATCATCCTCCTCTCCAGTTTGTAGACTTCTCTCGTCTGATTCCTTGGTTGGCCATGTTTCCGAACTATATAGAATAGTTGATTATACTATGGAACTGTAAATTTTTCCCTTTAATTTGTGTGGGATTCTTTTGTCAAATAGCACTCCAGATAAAGATCTCCACTTTAACCACCCTTGATTAATTTTACTCTTTATTTCTTTTTCTACTGTGCCGCTTGTTTGTATAGTGGAGCCCAAATATTATCAGCTTTCAATTGCCGATATCTGCCATTCATTTATATCAATACTCTCTGTTTCATCTCCTCCTTCTTTTCTCTGTGTATTAAATTTAAATATTCAGCAAAAACTTGGATAATTTAATGTTTATTTTTTTCCCTATTTATTACAAAATATTATATGAGGCTGTATTCAAACCCATTTTAAATTTTTTTTAAAAGTTTTAAAATATCGCCAAATTTTAAAATTTTAATGAAATAGTATTTAAAAATTTATAAAATTTTCTAGAACTAATTTTTGAAAATGTTTATATTTTTATATTCAAAATAGCTTATTCATTTATTTTTCATTAAAGTTTCGAAAGTTGTGAATTTATTGATTGACACAGCCTGGAAAAAAATGAAATAGTAAATATTTCCCACCTCCTTATAATATTTTTTAAAAACTTTTCCCTTTTAAATTCATAATTCACTTTATAATTGCGATATTCAATCAGGCAAAAAAGGAAAAATAGGAAGAAAATATATAATCAATATTTTTAGAATATTACCGAATAATTTGATATAATGGATAAAAAAATTATTATATATTTCCATTATGTACTCAATTCAAATTTTCGATTCAAATAATTTTGTTATCTTAAAATAGAAATCCAATTAGAAGTAAACTAAATCGAATAACAAATAATTATTTTAAGTAAAAGTTTTGGCATCAGTATTTTTGAGGGTGAGAGAATATTAGAATTCGGTGCCGCATTGGAAATGTTGTATTCAATACCTATCGTGGATTTAGTTGTGGGTAATCTTATAGTCAAGTTATAAGAAAAGAAAGAGAAAATTTATCCCAAGGCGAAAGGTCTGGAAGCTGAAGGAGGTGAAATGATTATAATGCTTGATACGGTTTAGTTTCCAAAGCTTCGGGTGTAAATAACTACAAGCTCTTGATTGAAGGCAAAGGAAAAGGTCTGTAATTTGATAAAAGAATCACTAAGATACAAATAGATATGGTCGTGGAATGTTAGCGGGGTCTAGATCGTCGAGAGGGATGCTACTAAGAATGAAGAAAAACTATGGTGGAAAGTGGCATGCAGAATATAAGGCTAAAAAAATGGTTAGAGTACAAATGAGAATGGGAAAAGGATTAGCTTAGAATTGCAAAGCAGAGAGTGAAGGTGGCATAGGCATAGATGGGTTGAATGGAAGGCAAAAGATGATTGTATAAATAGATGCCAATGGGTGGAAGTGAAGGGAACACGATTTAGAGGGTGGCCAAAGACCAGTTAGATGAAAGTTGTAGATATGACAAGTAAATGTTAAGTTTGACAAGTGAAAATGTCCAGGGTGGTGTAAAGTGGAGAAAATGATTAGAGGGGAAACTGGCCTACCTGGGAAAAAATTAAATTATTCTATATTTAAATAAATTCGGGCCGGGAGGACAATTAATTTTTTATTTTGGGTCGGGTTTTTCGGGACAAATAAAAAAAAAATTCGTTTGGGATCGGGCCAAGCAGGACCAATTCTTTTTCAAAAAAATCGTGCCAAGCTGGGCTTGAAGAATTAGGTCTGATGCAGATCACTAATTTAAATGATAAATCTTAAGATTTATTGTGAAATTGATTGAAAAAAATAGAGAAGGTCAAGTGGCCATCCAGGACATTATTTTAACATGGATAAGATGTCTTCTCCTAATCATAGCATCCTTGGGAAACATGCGCTTAGGGGTTATACCCCATTTTTCAAAAAAGAGGGAATAATTGTATTTTAACCGAAATTTCCAATTTTTATATAAAACATTCAATATAGTAAAGGGAAATATTATAAGAAAACTAGTTAGTATTCATATTATTGCCGTTAAACGCATATTATTTTTATTTAAATAAATGTCAATCAAATTTAGTTAATTGTTGATTGGTAAAATTATATATTTTTTATTTATTAATTAAAATGTATTTATTCGATAATTATTGAGAATTCTCTTGTAATAGTTGTTTATTTAACTGGTAATTTTACCTATATTAAGGATAGTTCCTATTAATGAATTCTTAGACATGCACCTCATCATCTAGTAGGGGATTATACTGTACCGGCGTCTAAGCTGATAAATAGATCCTCAGTTACATATCATTTGATAAAAAAATTTTATTGCCGAATTCTGATGGAAAGACTTTAACAACTAGATTAATTCAAGAATCCAGAAAATTGGTGAGATTGGATGAAATAAATGCTTTGCCAAAATCAATAATTGAATATTCAAGATTTTGCAACCCCAATGAATAAAGTTATACAAGAGATATGTGGTATGAATATTCAAGAGAATCAATTTGGTATACAAGAACAGTCCTTTAACATGGCAAAAACGTCCATAAATTTAATACAAATAAAGTAAGACTATAAAACAATATAAAGGATTATATCAAACAAATCAAAAAATCTTATAAAAGTAAAATGTCTTTTAGTGATTTTATAATTAAAATCCTGAATAATAAAAATGAGGTGGAACAATGTCTAAAAATACAAACTTAGAATTCATTAATAGAAACTAATGTTTTTACAATAAAATTATGGTAAAAATATGAGTAGATAAAGATTAATTATTAAATAATTATAGAATGAATACACTTTAATTAATAAATGAAATATATATAATTTTACCAATCAACAACTTAATATGATTGGTATTTATATATTAAAATTTAAATAATTAAACAACTAAAAATATATGTGTTTTATGATATGCCACCCTTTTACAGCTAAGAGTATATGCAGCAAATTACTGGTGCAAATAAGTTCCATAGAGCATATCTGGTGTGAGGATTGATAGACATATAGTTTCTATGATTACTACTTATTACGCTGTTTTTAGTTTCAGAATCTGTGCAATTTATTGCATATAATGTGATTATGATATGTCATATAATTTTAAGAGCAATATTAAGATGTAATTCACATATTATTTTTAATTTATCTTTTAAATTTAACTTTTTCTCTCAAAATAAAATATTTCTATAAAACCTTTCATTTATTATTATCCTCTTCATGAAAACTATCATAATTATGATAATATATTGTGATTCCCATGAATCACTTTCCCTTTGTTTTATTCTTTCACTTTTTCTCAGTGTACAAATCACAATTTAAATGTTAATCAAAAGAATTGTAAATGAATCAACACACTAGTCACCCTTCTCTAGGATTTCTTTTGTCCAATAACTCCAATACTTATGAGGTAAACTTAATTGGAATATAATATTTTCTTGATATCATCAATTTTTAATCAATAAGGTTCTTGTTCCCAGTAAACCTATCAAATCTGGTCTAATATTTTTTTATAAAACTAATTGGATTCTGGTTCTATAATTCAGATTCCAGTTTATGATGGTCAGCTTTAATTCCTCATATAATAAGTGTAAAACATTTAATTTGTAAATTCATATTAATATTCTTCTAATTATTTATTAAAATCATGATGCATCAAAAAAAATTAATTTTTAGGATATGTTATATCTATATAATAATTTTTAATATTTAGGCAACCAATAAATGATAATCAAAATAGAATTTTATACCGTTAACGGCTATCCATTCGTTTAAATCTTCTCCTTCAGGTAATGCAACAGCTTGCCTTAAATTTCCACTACCTAATGTAGTGGCTGCATGCTTCATTAGGTCATATTGATGAGTTCCTTCAGGTATATTTTTCTTAGGCTTAAATGTTTTTGATGATCTAGAACCGCTATATTATATATAGATAATATTATTAAAATTTATTATTGACTTACAATAAAAAACTCATATGTCTCTATTTAGGATGGATGAAACATAGTAATTATTTTAATTCTAAACCATGACATGAATGCACATATAATGTCTTCAAATTATGTTATAATTTTATACAGGTGCATAAGTGAAGCTAAAAGAACAGAAGTCAATTAATTTCTGCCCCAGATATTAATATATTTTTCATTCATATTTTATTCCTTGATAACAGAAGTCAATTTCTGCCCCAGATTTTAATATATTTTTCATTCATATTTTATAATCCTCATTCTTACCCCTAATCACATATATATTCCAATTAACATTTATATGTCACATTTAGAGCAGTTATATATGCTATTAATTTATTTGAAAATTAATATAGAATTTGAAATTTTCCTAGGCGTTACATTTATCTATAATTTAAATTTCCATCAAATCATTTGATTTCTTCACTGTAAAGCCTAAGAAAAAATATTAAAAAAATGGCATTGATATGATTGAAACTACGAGGTTATATGAAAACATTAGAGAACTTATGGGAATTAGAACAAATATAAGACAAATTTCTAAATTATATGTCATTGTTAAATCAAAATCAAAGCCCTATAAATTTAATAATTCATCCCTCTTGTTTATAACTCTAATAAAATTACCAAAGAATAGTGCCATCTATTAACGAAATCTGGAAGCTTGCTCAATATTTTTTGTAAAAAATTGATTAACCACAAATGCTGAGAAATCTCGAATACTATTCCTTTCACATGAAAATCATGATTTTGACTTTGTCATTCATTTATCTTTTCAATTTTATAGGTTGATAGAAATTATATCAAAACCTCTTCTGGGTCAGAAATTGATCTCGTTGCGTGATACTTACCTTCCAAAGTTCGTATTGCACGCTAAACTAATCCATTAGTTTTAAGATGATAAGGTGTCGAACGTATATGTGGTATAATTAACTTCTAGCTATTTGGAATAAGAATTGACATCAATTAGCTAATATTGCGAATCCTATGATCCAGCAAAACCAATATAGACAAAATTCCTTACCTATAGTTAGACCTGTGCGTTTTTGGTTAGGCCGAAAACGCCGCCGATTTTCATATCGGCGGGGCATGGCCGGCGCAAAAATTTCTTTCATATTTCATACCTTTTTATTCTAATAATTGATCAACATCACTTTTAGTGTCAATCAGGATTTTGATGAATTTTTATTTTCGACTATTTTAAAATCATAATAATATTGACGTCATTATAGAACAAAAATCTAAAATTCCAAAAGTTACCATAATTTTACATATTTTTAAAATGGATGCAACTACATTTAATAATTTTATAAATAATTTTATTATCCTAACTCTGGATAATAAAAAATTCATAGTCTGGAAGTTTTTTTGCAAAAGAATTAGAGAAATTATTTCTGCTCTAAGATATAAAACTGCAGAGGGTGAAATTGAATATCAAAAAAATGTCTAAGTAAAATAGATTTAACATAAGACATGTTAAATCTAGACAGCGATCCATACCCAGATACCCGTTTTCAAATTGGCAATTCCAATGATAATTGTTGTAATATGTAAATTACTTTGAATTAAATTAGAGAAAAAAGAAGTAATATTCAAAAGAAGGAATATTCAAATCGATTGTTTAACAGAAAAACAAAATTTATTAGATTATTTGAGTAAAGACGATGCAAATGAATAGGAAAGAAAAGTATATATAATCGGGAATATTTTACTTAAGAAAATGATCATGATTTTATGAACTTAATTTTTAATTTTAATTTATATTAATTTTATTTTTCTTTTATTTTGATTATTTTTTCACCTTATATTTAAGTATTTAATAAAGATTTAGTATCATTTTAGTTCTAACTTTTCTTTATTTGACAACGGTTCTAATCTCCCAATCCTAAATTTTACTAAAATTTTACATTAATGTTGAAAATAGGAGGCGACAGGGCTATTACAACAATTCAGTCTAGTTAAACTCTGAAAATAAATTTTAAATAAAGGAGGAAGGAGATATATGAAATGACTATCGACACTAAGACAAAGAATGAGAGCAATAAAACAATGGTAACAATATTAATGGTCGTAATTCGGAAAAGAATAGAATTAGTCGTTTAGCAAAAAGAATTCGTCACAAGAGATCGTTATAGGTACAAGTAATCGTTTATATATAATATTAGGTTGTGGATTAACCAAAAATCTTCATAAAGAGAAACAGCTTTTCGTCATTAGAAATTTTATGCCGCAATCGAGCTCACGTAGAGATCGAATTTTTATTTGAGATCAAAAGATAAAAGAAATATTTGTCGTATAAGAGATCTTAAGACGAAGTTGATATAGTGACTAGTGACTAGGTAGAACAAGTGGTCAATACCAGGATGCAATCGTTAATCGTTGACAAATTATCGCCATTGCTTATCAAAACTTTAGTATAAGATACAAAATAGATGATCTAAGAAACAAAAATTCGTGAAAATGGCAGATCAAGCATCGCACATCCTTGATCGAGATAAAGCAATGATCATTAGTTACAAGATAACGTTAGAAACAAGCAAAAGACCAAAATTCATTAGGAGAACTTAAGACGTAGTTTAGATAATAGCAATCGTGTATCATTTAAAAGCATGCGTTAATCAAGTTGTCAGTGCTAATCGATCATAGACAAGAAACAGGAATATTGGTATTTCGCAGAATGTGGGGTCTAATCTAAGTGTGTTGTAATATGTAAATTACTTGGAATTAAATTAGAGAAAAAAGAAGTAATATTCAAATTGATTGTTTAACATAAAAACGAAGCGATTTATTAGATTATTTGAGTAAAGACGATGCAAATGAATAGAAAAGAAAAGTATATATAATCGGGAATATTCTACTATAGAAAATGATCACGATTTTACGAACTTTATTTATAATTGTAATTTATATTAATTTTATTTTTCTTCTATTTTGATTATGTTTTCACCTTATATTTAAGTATTTAATAAAGATTTAGTATCATTTTAGTTCTAACTTTTCTTTAATTGACAACGGTTCTAATATCCCAATCCTAAATTTTACTAAAATTTTACAATAATAATAACAATAATTCCACGCAAAAACCTTAAAATTAAATGTCCCAACACGTTGGCATAGTATATTAGTTATGCTAGAAAGCATATCTCGATTAAATAAGAATTTAATTAATAATAGGAAGCACTTTCTCAAATTATCAAATTATGAATCTGAGCTGGTAGAAGAACAATTAGCATTTCTTTCAAAATTTAACAAAACTGTCGAATTTCTTTCGCAAAAAGGGCCTACTTTAAACTTGGCGTTACTTTTTAGAAGTGAAATTGAAACAAATTTAATAGTAAATGATAGTGTCACTTAAGGAAAATATGCTAAAAAAACTTGCGTTATGATTTTCGGTGTGTAATCTGCAAGTAATAATATATAAGTATATTCTTTTATTTTTTATTTAAAATTATCTAGGTATTGGCTTCTCTTTTAGATCCAAGATTTCAAAAATTGACAATTGTGTCAAAGTATTTAATAGAGCAAAATTGTTCAGATTCAGAATTTATAATAAAACATCTTAAACTTACAGAGAATGATGATAATCAGGTAGTAAATATAGCTAATGAGGATCAAGATGAATTATTCAATTTAAGTTATTTGACAAAATTGGCAAATAAATATTCAACAAATATAAATTATGATTCCAAGTTAGGTGACTTAGAACAAGAATGCCACAGTTTTCTTGGGAAACGATATTCACAAGATATGTACGTTCTGAATTTGGAAATAAAAGAAGAGTAAACTTCCCAATCTTTCCAGGCTTGCCAAAAAATTCTTTGCATTCGGATGACTAGCACACCTAGTGAAAGAGTTTTCTTTACATCTGGATTGACGTTAAATTCAAGGGGATTATTATTATCCCGAAAATTTAAATAAAATAATTTTTATACATGATAATTATAAAATTACGAAATTTGGATTTATGAGTTTTCTATAATAAATATTAAAAAATATGCTGAGATATCTGTAAAGTAATGTATATTCGTTTTTTTTAAAATAATAAGCAATTAAAAAAAATTATGTTATAAAAATTTATAACTGCGCCGATTTACGCTGATTTTGCTGACGGCGCTAAAAATCGGCGCGCCGCCGGCCGTCGATAGGATTTTTTGAAAATTAGCCGGCCGCCGATAGTTTGTCGGCGCACAGGTCTACCTATAGTCAAAGAATACAGAGATACTTAAATTCCACGTTTATTTTTCTGTCACCCAAAGAATATTTTGATTAAATTTTCTCTATTAAATACCTAGGCTATCAACAATATAATCTAAAAATAGTCATATTTCATTACATTTTCCCCAGGATGTTTACGGTTAATCATTTCTAGTACTGTATTCCATAATTTTTTAAGTATAACCAATCTTCCGTGCTATTCGATAATATCACGATTAGATAACTCTTCCCCTTGATTATAAAAATTAACAATTTCTTTATCTTTATGACAAGTTTGGTCAACATTTCTGAATATGCGTTGCTATTATTTTTAAATTATCGTCTTTTTTGTAGAATATTTTTGCATGTTACCCAAATTAATACTTCAAATCTCCAGGGCATGTTTAAATCTTGATTTCCACATCTAATATCGGAAGCCTTGATAATGCTGCGATCACATATTTATTTTGAGGCCTATATTCCATTGTGAAGTTATAAGAAACAATTTCCAGACCCAACTAGCCAAACAATTATTAAAAATTTTAGGTAGATCGCATTTCCCCCTAAATAATTGCATATCATTGTTGCCAAAAAATGTTTATAATATATTTGTATATTGTCATTCAGTTGGACTTTTTTTTTTAACGAAAACTAGGTTCCTAAGTTGAAAAATAACGGGACATTAAACTTTCTCCATCAAATTTATCAAATTAAATATTGGATAGGCCTGCTAATATTCCTTTATCCGCAAAATTTAATCCATTTAAGGAATTACCATTTAAGGTCCATTTTAGATATTTCCATATAAGGCATTACCATCTAAGGTACTACCATTTAAGGTATTGCCCTAAAATATTCATATAAGAATGATTTTTTTATCATTTATTTTGTAGCCATTAATAAAATGACCAACGATTAAACTATATTGATTTTATTTTATTTTAAAATTATCACATTACATTTTAATTTTGTTCAATAGCCTCCTAAGCTAGGCAATTCTACCCGTCTCAAAAGCTTTACTCTCGACCCCATAGATTGTTCAACCCTATTTTCTCTAAAAACTTTCTACCCCCTCCCCCCCCCCCACCCCCATTACCCACATCTATTACCTACAAAATCATAATTCGAAATGAAGTAAAGTTTAATCAAAATAAGCAATAACTAATATATCGTAATCAAAACCCCAGCCCTCCTTCCTTACTTAAATGACGATAGTTTAATTTCGAATAATTTTGTATTATATCAACCCCCTAATATCCGGGTACTAATCACAGCTTAAACCAATATATTAGAGTCAAGTGGCATCTCTGGTTATCATATGATATCTGTCCACCATTTTAGGTAAAATTTACTTATATATATTTCTACGTAAATTTAAAGGTAGACATCATGCTAGCATAATTCACATAAGACATTAATGGATTCATCATGACCTTTAAAATGAAATACAAATATCGTTTTCGAACACCATTAATCATAATATTAACTTCTTTATTCTGGATATTTATTGATGTATTTCTTATCACGATTTTTACCGATAAAGCTCCTTATTGCATAAATTTTAAGAAGGAACTAAATTATTCAAAGCGATTTAATCCACTTTTCAGTGTTGACGTGAACCCAAAGATAATTCCAAATTTAGCTCTATCATGTAAATATTTATGATGAATTTAAATTATATATATAAAATAATAACTAATCATTGGTCTAACAAAATATAAAAGGAGATGTACTTATTTATATATAAAAATTAGAAAATGGAACTTGAATAAAATTGAGTTTTACTTCTGGTTCTGAATATTTTTTACAAGTGATTCTAGTTTTAAAAATTTTGAAAATGGGGTTCTAGTTCCAGTTATTAAATTTGATATGGTTCCAGTTCCAAACTCTGTTTAGGCAATCAAAAAAAATTCAAAAAATAAATAATATATAGACTATCTAGATTTAATCATGCAACATTTTTAAATATATATATGTAGAGTTTTGCCAATATTAAAACCTAGTTATAAACATGTATATTTTTGGAGTTGGCCCAAGATGGGCAGTAAATTTTTAATGCATAACCATTTGGAATATGATTAAAACTTTACAAATAAATAATATTTTATAGGATAGTCAGTGTCGATAAATGAAATTAACCTTTTTTGCGGATCAAATCCTTAACAAATTTTATACTGACCAATTCTGGCACCATAAGATAATTTTTTTATGACCAATTTTAATTTTATATCAATAACATGTTTATGCATAAAAAAAATTAGCTGCCATTTCTAAGACATGCACATATATAACCAGGTCCATTTAATATCAGCACACCCTAATCAATAAATTATTTGCACTTTTCTTATAACCAATTTCTGAAACTTTTAAATGAGTCCTTTATAAACCTTCTCATCATTTTGCCTTGGTTCAAGATTCTGGTTTCCAAATTTGATAAAAATATACCACTTCCATATTAGCAGAATTCTTCCCACAATATTTTCATGAAATGCCTGATAAATTTTGACTAACTAATTGTTAAATTTATATTTATATAATAAAATCATTAAATTTTTTTATTTGGTTGTTTTTTTTAAAAAAAAGATTTGATATTTAAATCAGATTAGATTGCAATTATTCTTTGAAAAAAATACTTTAAATATCAACTATTAGTTACCAGGAATGCATCAATACTACTCTTTTAGATGATACCAATACAAAAATGGTATTGGGCAATACCACAGATACTAATGTTAGCAAAAATTATGATTTTTATAAAAAAAAGAAATAATTATTTTTTGATGAAATCATGATTTTTTAAAATTTAAATTATATATTTTGTGAAATTTATAAAATAATGCTATTAAAGCTTATTACATTGATTGAAAAGTACTATATCATATATAATTATAAATTTAATATATGTCCATATATATTTAATTATAATTAATAATTATAATATAAACAATGCTTGATTTATTTTGATTTAATTGATATTTTATACACTAAAATTAAAAATAATATATAGAAATAGCTACATGAATAAATCTTCTTGGTATTAAAATATTGTAAATCAATATATTTAATAGGGTATATCAAAATAATTAAACTCATTATTATAGTGTAATTTTCAATGATTAAATTTACATTTAGTTAAACTTATATGCAAAATATTTTAAGAATAAATAATATATTATATATATAAAACTACAAAAAAAATCATTAATTTTATTTGAAAAAATAATAATATAATTTAATTATATTTATTCAAAAGAAAAACAGGGATATAATTCATCAATATTATTATTTAAATTTATAATTATTGAATGAAAGAGGAAATGGGAAATAAAGATTAACAGCACCTTCTTTCTTATTTTCAATTTAGAAATTTGAATGTGATTTTTTTTTATAAATTTATAGCCTAATTTTGACTATTTTTTTAAAAATTTGTGATGATTAATTTTGATCTTTGCTCATTGATCATTGCCAAATAAATCACTTTAATTAATTAATATATATTTTATTTTTAGTAAAAAAAATATATATGAGAATTTTAATTTATTTTAAAACATCCTTAATATGATAAACAAAAACTTCATTTAATTTATCAACTTATATCACTTGCACATTTAATATTGTATTTGTCTCTAATTATTATGATATCTTTAATAAAAAAAAGATTCTGGGGTGGGATTGGATTTAGTAAAATTCTGAGGGTTCGAGTTCTTAGCTTTAGCTATGATATATTTATTACCTAATTCACATTATAATCATAATCTACCCAAGTTTATTGAACCATATGGTTGAATCTAGTCAACATAAGAATTTTAGCACCCAGAGCCTACAATCCCCCCCCCAATAGAAATTCTAGCTGTAGAGTCCCAGTTAGAGGTCTGCACTGGGCGTGTTTTAGCCATCAAGAAAACCCACTCATTGTTCTTAAAGAAATTTTTTAACCAGCTCACCTACCCATAGTTTTTTTAAAATTTAGCCGCCCATTAACCCTTTTATCTAGAAATTTTATTTAGCCCGCCCGCCAAATGTTTAAAATTATTTTAGTGGCTGATTTAGCTCTTTATTTATTTATTATAATATATTTTTTATAAGGATATATAATAGGTAGGCAATATTATGAAATAAAAATATTATTTAATATATTGAAGTCTTTTCTACTCATTTCACAAGAAAAATATTAAAAATTGCCCACTCCTGCCCATTACTTAAAAAAGTATTATTAACCCGCCCGCATCTGTCCACGCCCGTAGTATGGGCGGGCAGGGTGAAAAACTAGCCCATTGCAGTGTTCCATATAAAAATGTTTTTAAATATTTGTAAAATGCGGGCTTTGTTATCATGTAGAAGTATAAGCAATTCAATTAAATACAAAGTTACAGCACCGTTTCTTCAAATTTGAGTGACGGAAACTCACTATCACAAATCAAGATAAATAGCCTAATTGATGGGTAACTCTAAAAATCAGAAAAATTAGGACATAGAATTTGAATTTTTATTAAATACATTTTATGCCTGCCTCTTTTCCTTCGTTTGAATTAAGTTATAAATCCAGGGTTCTGTCGTACTCGGATAGATATTTTCTCGGACTTTGGATCCGAAACTTCATTTTGGTATTTATTTTCGGATCCAACTTGAACCTCAACAAAACCTTTTAAAATATGTTTTCCTAAAATGTTTCTATGAACATTCATTTGCAAGGATGACACCACAAATTGTTTATTTATATTTTAAGCGCTAGGGCCATGTCCTAGTTAGTCTTATTTTAAACAATCGTCTGTTTAGTAGGTTCTAATATAGCTTCCTCTTAACAGCCTAGAAATAAAGAAGGGCTATTTAGATTAATATAAAAATGTCATTCATACATAATATGAATAACAAATACTATTTATTTAAGGCTGTGACTAAAAAATCATTTTGAAAATTTTCTAAAATTTCAAAACTTCAGCAAATTGTAAAATTTTAATGAAATCATTATGATAAATTTTTTCGAAATTTATAAAATATCCTTAGAATTATGTTTTTGGAAAGATGTCTTTTATTTTTATATTTAAAATAACTCATAAAAAATGTATCGGATTCGTTACCTATTTCTAAAATAAAATTTTGAATCGAACTAGGAAAATTTTCGAATCAGTTGGACAACAATTTCTAAAAAAATTTTCTCGGGTCGAGCTGGACCTGAAAAAATAGGTCAGGGACTCTACCCGATATTAATACGGTATTGTATTAAATATACTCCTATTTTTTTTTAAATTTAAATTTTTGGTTGGGGCACGCTAATTTACTTTTTTTTCTGGATCGTGCCATTGCTTGCTCCTCCTAAAACAGCGCCGCACATTTAAATGTGAATTAAAACATAATTTAAAAATATGACTTCTACTAGCCCCCCCCCCTTCCATTCTCTTCTTTAGACCCTTATTAACGATTAAAATTTTAGATTTTCTGGTAAAATATTAAACTACCTTTCCTTTCAATTTCTTTTAAGATATGTTTTTTTTATACTACAATAAAAATGTTTCCACTGTATTTTTTTTATTTTCTTTATACATAAGCGGACTTGGCCTAAAAAAATTTTTTTAAAAAAAAAACTCGGGCCGGACCGTATATAAATCACCATATTAGCTATAAAATTTAAAAATAAATAGAATATATTTAAAAAATTCGGGCCGGGCCGAAAAAGTTGAAAATTTTTTTTTGGAAAAAAAATTTGAGCCGAGCTGTGCAAATGGTACTTCTACATGTCTCATATTTTTACATTAGAAATAGCTTATGTTATTTTTTTCTTCAAAATTGATAAATTTAGTTATTTATATTTTTGATATTTTAGGCAGAGCCTAAAGAAAAGTCTTAAAAAAGATTTTTTTTTGCATAAAATTTTGGGACTCTTAAGGGGCTATAATAAAAAATAACTTCATATTATTCAAGTCAGTGTGATTATATAAAAAATGGAAAATAATTCGATAATTGCCTATAAGCGAATATAGAGATTAATAATGTCTACAAATTCAAGCGTTTTGGGTTACATTTTATTTCAAATAACGTATTTTAAATGGTAACGCACAAATTATAGTAAACCTTTTTTTTTGCGTTAAAAGTGCAAAATAGTTTGTTTCTAGCATTTAAAAAAAAATGAACACAATGCATAACTTCTGCTCAAAATGTAAGTACTATAACTTTATATAATAACTAAACATTTATTTTTGGTTACTCTTACTATCCCACCAGGACATAATTATTGATAGGATGAAATAAAGTTAAAAGGGAATTTGTAAAATTTTGAATTTGAAAAAAAATTACGGTATTACCCATTTACCTCTCCAAGATGCGCTATTACGTCATATTTAAATAAAATGTCTTTTTATGCTTGGAATTGCTTCAAAATCCACTCCCCGCTTATTTGACCTTAACTAATGTTAATTGTTACCAGAGATCTGCAATACCCAGCACGTTACGTCCAAAAAATATTTTTGAGCCGGGCAAAAATATAAACGGGCAGGGCAAATATATATATTGATTCTCATACTTCATAGAAGTGATAATCCATAAGTATAATGTTTTTAATTTAACCACCCAAGATTATAAATATTTGTTTATGTTGGTATTCAGCTACATATATTTAGGTTTAGGATTGTATTTGAAAACATAATTAAAACCGGGCCGGGTAAACTTAGTAAAAATTTGAACTGGTCGGTATTAACTAAACGCTGAAATTTTTACCATTTGCAGACTTCTGATTGTAACATTCCTTCTTAGCTCGACCCACACTGCACAGCCCGAAAACGTTGGGACTGATTTTTTTTTAGCACGGATTGGTAAATATTATTATTTTTTGAACGAAGATCATAAACTTGCATTATCAAAGATTTTATAAAAATTTTGGACCGGAACAAATGGATCTTCTATTTAATATATATATATTTATAATATATTATATATGTTACACGTGCATGCACAGATTCCTCTTCTTCCTCGAACGCTCATAAAGATGCTACTACTACCAAAAACAAATCGCGCTCATTCAAAACGATACAAGTTTTTAATTTAGACCTGGCTAGCGACAGGAACAAAGCTATGAGTTATTTTTTTTACAAATTCTCCAAAACATCAATAATTTATTATGGAAACTTTTAAAAAACCTATCGAAAAACACCTATAAACCTTTTTGTAAAAAAAATAAATAGAAATTGAAGTATATTTTTGAAGTATATTGCCCAAAACATATTTGTAAAATTCGCAAAACGTATCATTTAGGTTTCCTTAAAGTTTTAAAACTTAAAAAAAAATTTTCAAACAAGATTTGGACGCAGCCTTAATAAAGTCGCATTAATCCGGAATTTAATAATGAACGAAGAAGAAAGAAGGATGGCAAATAATTTTGGAAATTGAAATATATAAGGTTTTTTTTATCTCTTCTAGTAAGAATGTATTATTTTTCATTTTCAAATCTCCAATAATTCGTTGATTTTATACACGAAATCTTCTATAAATTATTTACGATTTCTCACCCAAATTTCACTGTGCTTTTTTTAAAAAAGTTATAATATGTCGTTGATGTCATCTTTTTTTATTATCAATTTTTTTTAAAAAAAGTGAACTCAATAATACTCACAAACTGGGACCTCTTGGCTCCCCCTAAGATAATGACGTAAGACCCACCTAAAAGATTACCATACCATTTCAATGACGCGGTAAGCTATCCCTCTTTGAGCCCCTTCCCCCCATCATCATAACAAATCTTATGAATTTTAATAGGTACCATACTAACTAACCAATCACCTAATTTTTTTAAAATTTAAATGACACATCATAACAACATCATCAAGGGCGTGCCGGACAGGGGAGGGGGGGGGGCTTTAAATTTTTGTAAAACAGGGATCTCAAGAATCTTCAAAATCATAGCTGAATATAGTCCAACTCAAATCCCACTCCTTACTTTAGACCAAATACCTGCAGGCCCGGCCCTAAGCCTGACCCGAATACACGGGCTGGGCCATATTTTAATCTTTTTAAAAATATCCTGGCCGGGCCTAAAAATATTATTTTTAAATATCCGGCCCTGACCGTATATTTTAAAACCAAATATTTTAAATCGTCATTATTAGCTATAAAAATTAGAAATAAATATAATATATTTTTAAAAAATTTGGGTCGGGCCTTTCAAATGGTATCTCTGCAGGTCTCAACTTTAGATACTTGTTTAAGATTAAATATATTTGATCTACTTAAAAAATTCCCTTCAGTTGAACATTCCTCGAGTTGGACGATTATGATTAATAGTAGGGTATAGTAGGATAATAAATTGCGAGATCCCTCCGAACATCACACGAACATGACTGGGAAGCATTGCGTTATCCTACAATATTTAAATTGCACAGTATAAAAGCACGTTGGATAATATCTAAATTTGTTATAAATTGAATCAAAAATATATAAAGTCAAAAAAAATCTTCCTATCTTTTCCATGATTATGCCCTTATTGCGTCACTTCCACCCTTCTCGATGCAAAATGGATCTGCTCGCGGAGTAAATTTAATATCATTCTTTAGAAAATAAGACTTAAATAAGTAGGCCATCCTATGAAAAGTTTCAAGGAAAAAACTAAAATAAAATAATTTATTCTTCGACTTTTTTTTATAGAGGTTTACGGTGCGGGCGCGTTTGGATTCCCTGTTCAAGTGCCCGAGAATTTAAAATCTCAAGAAAAGACCAAATTTTCCCTCAATCAATTCAACCTGGTGGCTAGTGAGATGATTCCACTCAACAGAACTCTCAAGGATTATAGGATTCCTGGGTACGTTAAATTTTAATTCTTCAAAAATATCTAAAATATAAACTAAAAAAAAATTATTTATCTTTTTTTATTTGCGAGAATATTTTTTGTTAAAGGATTTGAAAGAATAAAAATATTCTCAATTTTTAATATATTAATTATCATGATGTCCTTATGAAAGCCTTTTGAAGGAAATAAATTACCGTCCATCACATTATCAAATATTTTTAAAATCAAATTGCTAACATATGTTTAAGTTATTATTAACATTAACTAAGACCATTTCTAGACAGAACGTTTTTCAAAGCGGTTTTTGGGTAATGTTACCAGTTTTCCAAAATAAAACTAAAAACAATCCAAATCCCTATTTTTTTTAATCGTAAATAGAATACAAACTGGGTTGATTTTAATAACGATTAAATGGCTTCTTGATATGTGCTCCGGATTGTTATTTTTAAATATTATATTATATAAAAAAATTAATTAAACAAGTTAGTACCGCGTTTACATTTTGTGGCGAATATTTTGTCAAAATGGATATAAAAAAACTTAAATTTAAATATAAAACCATTTATCTTTTAAACGATGCTTTATAGATTCCCTCATTGGGAAGGTTTGTAAGCCTTTGATTCTTATAATATATTAATAATATATATTTGAGAAAGTTTTTATAAAAAAAAAGCATTTAGAAATCGATTAATTATTTGTAATTTTTTTTAAAATTCACAATTTATTTTTATTTTAATAAAAATCGAATCTAATCTTTCTTTCTTTCTGTTTGACCAATATTCACTTTTAAAAATAATGTGAAATGCCAAAATTTTATTTTTATTTACCAATGGTCCGACTGACAAATTTATTTGAATCTGGTTCAAATTAATTAATTTTATGAATTATATATATATATTTATTTTTTAAATGAAAGTTATAAATTGAAATACATTATACAATCCAAACAAATGCTTAAAATTAATATTTATGAATCCAATTAATTAACAATATAAAATACCAATATTCCATGATAAATCATATTTAAAAATTTTGATTTTATATTGAAAGAATTTTTATACATGAAAATTGCAAAAGATTTGAAAAGATTTTGGTATTTTCAGTTAAAATTTGATATCAAAAATCTATTCCTTCAACAACAAAAAATAGATTTTTGCTCAATTTTCGCTATTAAGAAAATTTTTAAATTTGTTCCAGACTGTTGATAAAATTTAGTCGGAAGATCTAATTTTACTCCTGGTTTGCATAATAGCCCCTTATTATAAATCATGGGCGTTTGGCATAAATATTGTAAAAAAAATCGTCAATAATTATTAGAGGCCTGCATAGGTCAAAATTTTCGGCTCGGATTATTATTTTCAAACCTAAATCAAACTCGAATTTTTATTTTAAAACCCTACCCGTCTTAAATTATTTTGGCCCGGTCCGGATTTATATTTTTGATTATTTTTCGGACCGATGTTTTTACTTTTCTTTATTTTGAAATAATTTTGATTTGTATTTTTGCAAATTATTTCAACGGAAAAAATTAAAAATATGACAAGTAAATGAATATTAAACGCTTCATTATATGATTTCCCAACTGAATAATACTTTATTAAAACTTTTTTAATTTAAAAAAAATTTGAAATCATATTTACATCTCGGATAAAAAAAAATTGACAGGAACATTATATATATATCTATATATTTAAGAAAAAATATAAGAGTGAAAAATTATAAATTTTTTTAAAAAAATCTCCTCAGTCTGTTTTTTAAGCTCATCCCAGATTTCTAAAATCACGCTATTTTTCGACTCGTTTTGGGTCGGGTATGCAGATCTCTTATAATTTGCATGTTCAGAAAATCTATGTTTTTTTAATCGGTTGCGCATTTATACTTTAAGGTGTTAATTAATTGCACTTTAATAGATTACGATTTTTTTCTTGAATACTATAGTTGGGTAATAAATTACTACATTTTTAGCTGTTTGAGCCAATTTTTAGCTCTCTAAAAAATCGGTTAAACCAAATTTTTAACCGAAAATTAACACTTTGGCCTCGGGGTTTTTCATAAAAAGATAGCAACTTAAATTGGGAAAAACTAATATAAATTACGCCTTAATGTTCACAGATTTTCTCCGGCAAGCGCCTGGAGATTGAACCGAATTTGCCGACATTTAGACATAGCATAACTATATTGATTACCAATCCAAGCGCTGGGATCTATGCCAAAATGGCGAAGAAGGTTTTTTTTTAAAAAAGAATATTTGCTTAGATACAATTGAACTCTTTTTTACAAATATAAATCATAACCTGTTTTCATTATAAATATTATTAAAGAAAAAAAATATACATTATATATTAATATCGATATACTACTAGGGGAGGGGTGATAATGAGCGAACTCACAATTAATTAAAAGCTATTATATTAATTGTTATTTAGGAGCGTATAAAGGGTTAATAAAAATAGAAAAAAATATATAATATCATAATAATCATTTTGTTATTGTCGTTTGTAATGACGGGGAAAGAAAAGTCAAGATATTCTGACTCGATTCGAATTTTTTCGGAGGATCTACCTACAAATTACACAACTATACATAATAATTAACACACCATTTAAGCGCGCATTCAATTATGTGTGAAAATTATTTAAACAATAATTTGATGCTTTTACAACAATAATGGAATCTGACGTTTTTTTTTTGCAATAAGATAAAATATGGAGTTAATTCATTATAATAAAGTTATATTGATCAAATCAAAAATTATTTTTATTTTTTTTCCAGGCGAAATGTCAAAATAATAACTTGATTATTTATACCATTTTACCATAAATTTATTTCCAGGTAAATGTCACCCCCTCCAAGGCATATAAATATAACTACCTTTTATAATTTATTATTAAATTTTAATAAAAATAATAATTTTTTTTTTCAATGTTTTTTAAAGTATTCATTGCAATATAAAAACTTGAGTAAATTTGTTTGCCATGGGTCTGTAATTCAGACGAATACTCATCAGGACCCTCCCCCCCTCTTTCAACTGTTAAAAAAGCCATAAAATTTTTGCAGGTTAATATAATTACTTGTTATCCTCTTCATATTTCTAAAAATGATAAATAATTATATTTATCATGTCTGTTAGAATTATATTTTTTTAATTATTTTAAAAAAGATTTTTATGTATACCTCTTTATGGCACACCAACTATGAAGAGGTGCACTGGCCTTTTCTATTTTTTAAATTTTAGAATTTGCTTATAAAAAAGTCAATCGTGATTTCTTTCTATGAAATGCTATTTTTAAAATTATTTAAAAAAAAAGTTTGAACATGCGCATGCCTGTTTTTTCTACTCAGTGGAGTTTTCCAACTTCTACCGCAATGCAGTGATATCGTGAAGAGAAAGATAGAAAACAATTTAGTATATAATTTTAATCTTTCTGATGTATAAGGGATGACAGAAATACGTTGTGATGATTATAATTATCAGTAATTTTTAATTTCGCTGAACAACTTTTGCTTCTTCTCTAATTAGTAAGCGATTCAAATGCAAACTCTTAATCATTTAAGCGGAATGGTTATTCGCCCTTTTTTCGATGATGATCTCTATTATTTTATATGCAGATCGAATGAATAGAATTGCTGATTTTTATTATTCCGATGCTGAAAGGATTTATAAGAGTTTTATAGTAGGTGTTACTATCTTCCTTAGAAGCAAATGTGGTCAAATATTATAGATATATCTGTCGTGATGACGTTTCACGATGATGACGTGTGACGTTGAAGAAGTGATATGTTGTCAATAATTATATTTTATATATATAGAGATACATTGTATATGCATATGGGAATATTATTCATACAATAAAAGATAATCTTTACGATCAACTACAAGATAATCAGTACATTTGGTGCGAAAACTATTCAATTTCTTTCTTTTTTTCAATCTTCAAATTATGTTTACCTTCTTTTCCATAATTTTCCTTTCCAACCATCATTAATCCTTTAGTTATCCGAGCCTTAAACGCTAAAAAAGATATATATTTATCATCTTTCTGTTTGATGTGCGTCTATAGAGTAACCACGAATTCACCACACAGGAATTTAATAAATGAAAGAAGATTCGCATGTAAAAGCGCTTCCATTTTATGTCAATTCTGTATAGTTCAATTAACATATCATGGAGATCCACTCCGCCCATACCAGCATTATTGTATTGATTATCTTGTAGTTGATCGTAAAGATTATAAAGATTATCTTTTATTGTATGAATAATATTCCCATATGCATATACAATGTATCTCTCTATATATATATAAAATATAATTATTGACAACATATCATTTCTTCAACGTCACACGTCATCATCGTGAAACGTCATCACGACAGTATCTATTGCGGAAAAAAACCTTCTCTCATACAAATTTAAAGCATAAAACAAAGTTATTTTAATTGCATTATCTAATGACGTTCTATAAAGCCAAATAAGATTTGGGACATTACAAAACATAGTCGATTTTTTCATAAATATTAATTTTTTTAAATTAGATTCGCGTAATAAATTGTTTTTTTTAAAGATTTTTATTTTTCGTGATTGAAGAAGTAACATTAATTTCTTTTCGATTTGATAAAATTTAGACGTTATTTAGCAAATTGCTATATGTTGACTTGGGTATGGTTTAACATCAACCGGAAATTAGTCAACGATCTTCTTCCTCTATACTTCATTATTTGATGTTGATGTTATTTTTTAAAATAATAAACCTAGATATTTTTTTCTCATAATTACCTATCACATGGAAACAAGAAATATATAACCCTGAGGTGTTTTAAAAAACAAATAATTATTTTATAATATAAAAATAAGTATAATTTTATTTTATCTGAGAGCTGCAGTCAAAATTTTAAGCCGCCAGGATTTGAATTGATTTATTTATTTCCAAGCCTGGACATGAATTTTTTTTAGCCAGGATCGGATTTTTATTTTCAATTTACCACCCAGCTAAAAAATTAAAAACCGGCCCAGCCCTGATTTTAAAATTATATTATTTTTCGACCCATTTCTTTAGCCGAGCCTGCAGGTCTCTGATATTTTATTCGAAGTCGTCAAAAGGAATATAAATTTAACTTTTCAAATAACAAAATTATAATTTTGTATTATATTAGAGGGAGAGTGTTCAATCTTAGAACTCTCCCCTCCCCCATCTTCCCAAATTACGTTACTGAAAGGGTTATCCACAATTTTGGAAAGATGATAGGAAAAAAGCAGATATTATTTTTACGGAACCCTGCCTTTAAAAAATCTGGGTGGCGCCCATTTAAAAAAAATGAAATTTAACTTTCATATCAATTGATCAGTTGGAAAATCATGGAATGAACCGTTTAATTATTCATTTTACCTCTTCATATTTTCAATTTACCCTTGAAACAATTTGCAAGATTACAGTCAAAATTATTTAAAATGGCGAAGTGTTTTTTTTAAATTACGGGCCGACCCGAAAAATAATCGAAAATAAAATATTTCGACCTATCCAGATCTCTGATATAATCCAACCCGAATTCTTTGAAATAAATTTAAAAATTATATTTTAAATTAATTTAAAATTTTCTGAGCCTTCATTTTTTATGTCGCAGTTTTTCTAATTCACTAAAATAGGAACAGAATGAAACAGAGCAACGAGAACATTACCATGTCTTGTATGACCTGATTTTTATTATTTATATATAATCTTATAGAAAGATATTTAAATAATTTATAAATAATATTAACAATTTTTTTAATGATTGTACTGTTATATATATAACATATTATAATATTTTATAGAGGTCATCATTTAATATAATATATTCTAGAGGGGTGTCATCGTATTTATTGAAATAATATTTGATTTGAATATAGAAGTTATCGTTATATAATATTATATCAATCACTATACTTAATATAAATGTAGAGGTCATTTAAATTTAATTATATTATCGTTGATCCAAAAAGCCAGACCCGGCATGTTTCAGTCCGTTAATATTTTTTTCACAAATTACTTAAATCCTTATTTAAATATTTGTTCAGCCCACCCAGGCCTAATTTTTTGACTAATTTACCCGACCGACCCATTAAAATTTTACGGGCCAGGACCGTTTAATTTCTTATAAACGAATTTACCGGCCAGAAGAGTTTTAACACCTTTAATAGTTATTTCCATTGTTAAATAAGGCTCTTTAACTCTAATCCATAGCTATCTGTACATATTTTTTTTAAACATTATTGTTATATTTACATTATCTCTTGTTATTTTTACATTATATTTTTACATATTTTCCAGAATTTGTCACATGCTCACACACGTCTTCTTGAGAAATAAAAGAAGAAAGAAAAATTAATAATTATACTTATACATATTTACGAAAGTTGAAAGCGTTTTTTCTTATCAAATTGATTAAGTAATAAATGGAAAAAACATTTGAAATCATTTACGTTGAATCGAGTATTATAAAATGTAAAAGTTAACCCCCCCCCCCACTCCTTCCATGTTTTATTTGAAAGCTATATAATAAACAGATCTTTTTTATAGTCACGCTATCTTATTATATCTTTTGTAAAAATATTAAAAAAATCATGTCAGAACTTTTGACTAAAAAAAAATTAGTTTTAAAATTGTAATATTTTCATTTTTCATTTATTATAATTACATTTATAATACTTATAATATAATATTGATTATTATTCATTATATTTAAAATGTACATTTTAATTTAGATCAAGATAAAACGGATTTTCGTTTTGTATTATTTAATATAATATTAAATTTTATTGTAACGAAAACAATGTCAAAAAAAGAAAAGATAGGATTTATAATATACTTTAATATTTTTATTATGAAGGATCCAATAATATAAATAATTTTATTCTACTTTTTTATCTCTTACCCTCACCCCCCCCCCCTTCTTCCCGTTCACTTTTAATTAATTAAAATCAAAATATATTTAATACATTTTATAATATCCTTAGAAGTATGAGTATTTTATTTATATTGATTTTGATCTACCAGTAAAATAGAAAAGTCAATATTTACACCTAAAAATCGATTGACACCCAATAAAAATTAATATAATTTTGATACAATTTAAATTTATATAATTATCCAGTAAATATAAAAAGAACTATAAATCCTCTTCATCTCAGAAATGCGTCTCACCGATATCCCTTTTTTTGCATATACTGATGGCGATGTATTGGACAGATACTATACTCAATTTTTTAAAATCCAGTGTTTTAAAAATAATCCAAATAATTTGAGCGTGGCATTTTTTTTTCATTTAAAAAAAGTCTTGAAAAAACTCCCGTAAATTATTACAAAGAAAGAAAGAAAGTAAGTTTTACATGTAATTTACCTGGTTAATGATGCTTACTACCAAGTGAATGTATGGAAATATTCTAAATACCAACCTAATTTGCAAAATACCGACCAAAATTTATTAAAATGTAATAAGACCCTTATTATTTTATATATTAATACGGAATCACGTGGTCGAGTCCGGCCTCCTATATATTATCCCCCCAAGGATGGACCACCAAGTTAGAATAAGAAAAAAAACATGATCATTACCGGGATTCGAACCCGGGACCATGGGATAAGTAAGCCAAGCTCTTGCCTACTAGGCCATAGAGGCTTTCCAAAAATCGCGATTTTTTAAATATATATTATAAATATATTTGGTAGTGCCTATCCAAATGAAAAATGAACAAAATTCAAATTTGATAGATAGTACCTTAAGGTAGTAAGCATCATTAACCTAATTTACCTCATCCCAATCAAAGCCTTGAGCCTTATTGTTTATTGCAAACATAAATCATTTAATCTTTATAATTTTTCGATATCTTCTCTAATAGCTGCGCTACCAAGCAATATCCAGTGGCGGATCTACCGCCCACGACCGTCATAATAGTATTCCACAACGAGGCTTGGACAACTTTACTTAGAACCATTATCAGCGTCATCAACAGATCTCCCCCACATCTTCTAGCTGGATTTGTTTTGGTCGACGATGCTAGCGATAGAGGTGGTATAGTTTAGTTAGAGTTTAAAGAAAAAGATAATCCAAGCTTATTATTATTAAGCATGTAAATGTAATGACCAGAATTATAACTCTGCTGGAGGTGATCCTTCGAAATTCTATTTTATATCCTTGATTTTATAAACGGATAACCCAATATTTTAGCCAATAAATCATTACATAAGCTTGGAGATTTTGCTCATAGATAGCAGATTTGGGCATCTATTAACAAAATTTTGAGGCTTGCATAATATTATTTTGGCTAAAATATTCATTTAAAATCAGTTAAATTTAGCCAATGAACAATTGGTCATTTGTATTTGTTTGGCGGAAGGAGGGTGGCATGGGGTTCGCTGATATGTATTCTTTTTATTTAAAACTAAGAAAAATAGTGGTATCGGCGCAACTCTGATTTAAATAAAGAATCATAACGCGTTACAAATTTTTTCGAAAAATCAGGTAACGGCGTTATTCGAACAAAGTAACATATTAAATTAGCACGTTACTTTTTACATTACTTAATATTTTATTGTAATATTTTGATCTTTTTTTATTATCGTTTAATGTTTAGATATAATATTTTTATATAAGGTGAATTCCATATCAAATCAACCAAGGTTTCAACCCGATCCGCTCAGAATTTTTTATAATTTTGTAAAAACTAAGAAAAAAATGAAATTTTACTTCCTTACAATAAATTTAAATATGATGATATTTTAGCCATATAAATGGTCATAACTTTTAGACCAATGTGTAGCCCAGTTTAAGATTTTATACAAATATAAAGCAATCTAGTATACATCTATTAAACATATTTGTAAAAAATTCTTTTTTTTCTATGGCCATATCTGTTGTACTTCTGGTATTTGGTATTAATCGGATTTCTATCGCATTTATTAATGTCATATTAAAGATATATTATTAAGCTATATAATAAATTTATTGCTCTAACTTAGTTTATTAAATTCGTGATGTATAAAACATGATAAAATAAAATAAAAAAATATTATATAAAAACCGTGGTGGGACTACAAGTTCCCAAAAAACAAAAATAATTATATTTTAAAATTATGCATAAGTTTAAAAATTAATAAAGGGCATTTTGTAAAAAAATGTACCATTTTTCCTCTTTTTAAACGCCCATATCTTAGCGAGTAAGTTGCATTTCATTTTTTTCGTAGTTATAAGTATATACTACCAATATACAAAATTAAAAAAGATTCTGAGGGGGTCGGTTGAAAATCGACTTTTTTTGTTGATTTGATATGGAATTCGCCATAAATAAATAAAAACACATATATATATATATATAAATCGGAGTTTTTAAAAGAAAGGGCACCTCATTTCATTTTATCTCTCAGCTATTATTTTTAATGGTCTGTTGCAGAGTTGTTAAACCTACTTTTAAAAGTAGTGCGCTACCGCTATCGCTATTTGTCAAAAAAGTAACACACTATCACTATCGCTAGTCATCAGAAAAAAATGCGCTTGGTTACTTTTTAGGCTACTTTTTATAAAAAAATTTGGAAATAAATTTGTTTTTTTATGTAACAAAAATAACTATTGTTAATATTCATTTTTATTTATTTCATTGCATTTTAATAATAAAATCATTTCTATAATATCATTCCCAAATCTAGAGCGACTATCAGAAAGTATAAGTTTCGCCTTACTAAATACTCTCTCAACACCAGCACTTGAGGGCAAGGCATTTAATTTATATACATATTATATAAGAAAAATTATCAAAAATACTCATTTAAAATTTTTTATATTTTTTTTTTCTCTTTAGCTTTTACCTTTTCTGGTGGTAAGCTCCTTCAACATCTCTCTCCACTTTATGTTATTCATACAATCTCTTTTATCTAATTTATACTTCTTTATATTGGCTCTAACTTTATGGCCCCATTGAAGTTTTGGCCTTCCTCTTTTACGTTTGCCCATCACTTCCAAACTCTCAACCTTATTTCCTATATAGTTCATAGGCCTTCTCATTGTGTGCCTATACCACCTAAGTCTGTTTACCATTAACTTAGTCTTAATGGGCACTACCTTTTAACTACTTAGTATTCTTGTACTGCGCACTTTATCCTTTCTTGTTACCCAAGAAATCATCCTCAGCATTCTCATCTCCATAGTTTGTAGACTTCTCTCGTCTGATTCTTTGGTTGGCCATGTTTCCGAACTATATAGAATAATTGGTTGTACTATGGAACTGTAAATTTTTCCCTTTAATTTGTGTGGGATTCTTTTGTCAAATAGCACTCCATGTAAAGATCTCCACTTTAACTACCCTTGATTAATTTTACTCTTTATTTTTTTTTCTATTGTGCCGTTTGTTTGTATAGTGGAGCCCAAATATTTGCAGCTTTCATTTGCCGATATCTGCCATTCATTTATATCAATACTCTCTGTTTCATCTCCTCTTATCACCATAACTCCGTCTTTTCTCTATTTACTTTTAGTCCATGCTTTTCTAGGATATTTATCCAACTCACTAATCTTTCTTTCATTTCATCCTTGGATTCGGCAAGTATCACAATATCATCTGCAAATATCATATTCCACGGGACTGTTTGAGGTATAGACTGTGCTAATACATCTATTACTGTAATGAAGAGAAGTGGGCTGAGAGCCGACCCTTGATGAACTCCTTCGGCTATTGTGAAGCCTACTGAAGTACCTGTTGTGCTACGGATATACATATCCCGTATTATTCTTATATATTTTTCAGGAACCTTTTTGTGGCGTAGCGCCCACCAGATAAGTTTTCTTGGGATTCTATTGAATTGAAGGCCTTTTCTAGATCGAGAAAGACCATATGTAGCTTTTTGTTCTTTTCCCTGTATTTTTCACTCATTTGCCTAATTGCGTGGATAGCATCAGTTGTTGATCTTCCAGGCATAAAGCCAAACTGAGTCTCTCCTATTTCGATTATGTCTCTTAATCTTTTTTCTATTATTTTTTCGTATAGTTTTAGACAGTGTGACATTAGTTTTATGCCCCTGTAATTTTGACAATTGTGTGGATCCCCTTTATTTTTGAAGATAGGAACTAGATAGCTCTGCCTCCATTTTTGGGGAACCTCTTCATTTCCAAGTATTTTATTGTACAGATTTGTGAGGAGATGTATTCCATCATCTCCTAGTGCTTTAAGGCTTTCTATTGGAATATCATCTGGACCCCTAGCTTTGTTGTTTTTCATATGCTTGAGGCATGTGATTATTTCTTGTTCTGTTATAGGTTGTACAAGGTTTTGACATGGGGAGTGTTCGTCTAGATGTAGTATGTGTGGATTAAAGTTGAGAAGCTCCTGAAAATATTCATTCCATCCATTTATTATTTCTTTTTCCATTATTATCAATTTCCCATCTTTATTTTTGATTACTTTCGGAGCTCCATTTATATCCCTACAATTCTTTTCTCGCTGTTTGGCTAATCTGTATATTTTATTTTGCCCTTCTTTGGTACATACATGTCATTGTATGCCATAGATTTGGCCCTAGCCACCGCCTTTGTAGCTAATCTCTTGGATTTTTCGTATCTTGTCTTGTCATCTGGGTTTTTGGATTTGTACCATATTTTATAAAGGGCTTTTTTCTCCTGTATAGTGGTTTGTACCTCTTCATTCCACCACCATAGTTCTTTGTATGATTTGTTGCCTCCCCTTGTCAAGCCTAGTGTCGATTTGGCAGTGTCTATTAATCTGGATGAAAGGTCTGTCCACATTTTTTCACTGACTTGTGAGGAATCTATTGTTTCAATGTTTGCATTGATTGCAAAGGCATCTGTCTTTGTTTTTAATTTGCCCCATTTGATACATGGTTCCAGTTTTATCTTGTTTTGAGTGGATTTATTTGAGATGTGTAAATCCATGACTAGTAGCTTGTGTTGCGCGGCGATATCTTCTCCTGGGATGACTTTGCAGTCTATTACATCTTTTAATCTTCTGCGAGAGATTAGCATGTAATCTATCTGTGTTTTCCTTGTACCACTTTCATATGTTATTAGATGACTGTGTTTTTTCCTATAGTAGGTGTTGGTTAAGGCAAGGTCGAAGGCTTGCGTAAATTTCAGTACATGCTCTCCTTCATTTTCTTTCTCCATATCCAAAACCACCATGATGCCTTTTGTAGCTATCTCTTGCCTTCCCCACATGCACATTTAAGTCACCACCAATTATGACTAGATCATCCTTAGGGATATCCATTACAGCTTCATCAAGGATAGCTCTAAAGTCATCTTTCTCATCTTCCTTGCAACCCGTTTGAGGAGCATATACTGAAAGGATGTGTAATATTGATTGAACAATCAGAGTTTTATCTTCATTAGTCTATCAGAGATCCTGTTGACTTCTACTACTGAGGAGGTTAGATCTTGAATGAGGATGATGCCAACACCGTTCCTATTGCTAACAATTCCATTATAGTACAATTTATACCCATCTCCAATCATCAAAGTCGTCCCTTCCATTTCGTCTCTTGTATGCACGCTATATCAACTTTTCTCTTGTTCAACATTGATGCCCATTCTCTCGTCTTACCTTAAAGATAGCGCACTACTTGTAGCGAGCTACTTTAACAACTCTGGTCTATTGGATGTCTTAAATTATATTAAAGTTTAGTGCTAGTGAGGATAATAATGTGTGAATTATCGTCTTCATTACCTTAAAGGCCAAATGAATATAATGCAGAGATCGACAGCTCGAATTTAAATTTAAAGCTTATCAGCCTTTTATAGATTTTTTCAAAGTGGTATTGTATGTCCTATTAGATACTTAATCAACATTATTATTAATTACAATACTTTGATAAGGCTTGTTAATAATTTAACCTTAATTCTTATATATATCTTAATACCATATTTAAATGCAAATTAACGCACATTTACCTTAAGACGTTATCAAAAGGCCATTAGACGACTTTCTTGATACTCTTAGATCCAAAGTAGACATAAAAATAGAGAGACTACAGAATCGATCGGGCCTCATAAAGGCCCGCCTTATAGGGGCGGATTTAGCCAAAGGACCCGTATTAACATTTTTAGACGCCCATTGCGAAGTTACCATAGGATGGCTAGAACCTTTACTTTATCAAATTTATCTCAACAAGTTATTAAAATACACGAAAATAAATAATCATTATAATATTCTACTAAGATGGAAACTACTTGGCTATACTTTTATTAACATTGTGCTAATAAATTTGAATACATCAAAAATTATAAAAATATATATTAAATATTCTCCTTTTTTATAGAAGGGAAAAGAGAAGATGCGAGATATTTATTTTATATATTAATTATATATTTAAAAATGAAATAAACACAAATTAGAAGCACGGCATCAATGCCCATAATAGATGTGATAAGCGACGACACGTTTGAGTACGTAGCAGCCTCGGATATGACTTGGGGTGGTTTTAATTGGCACCTCAATTTTAGGTGGTATAACGCACCCCGTAGGGAATTGGATCGAAGGAATGGAGATAGAACTATTCCTTTGAGGTATATATATTTATATATCAATGATTTTTTCTGGGGGCCAGGTTTGGGGGTTAACAATTTTTTTTTTGGGGGGGGGGCTACCCCTCGGACCCCTCTCCCCCCTTGGCTACGGCCCTGTGTTTTGGGGTATCTCTGTCCAATGTCTTTTTGTACTAGTATTTTTACGTGTTTTTTTTGTCCAGGACATTTCTGTATGTGATTCTTAATATAGATTAGTTCTTTTTTTTTAACATTACCTTTTGTTTTTGTTTTATTTTTGATTTTTGTTTATATAAAATATGATAGATATTTGACAGTTTTTAGTAGTTATATTAAAGTAAATAGTTTATTTTTTGCAGAAAAATAACTGTAACTAGGTACTTTTTCACTTATTATCTTTAGAATCATGATTTCCTCGAAATTTCTTTTTATTTAAATATAAAATCTTCATCAATATTAACGCTCATTGTATTATATTTACGTTATGCCCAAAATCAAATATATTTGTCACTTAGTTTCCTACAAATAAATAGAATTTACGAGATGCGTGATAAAAAAAGTTTTCCTAGTGGATACAATAGAGCTACGGCATTCTTCATTTCCATCAATCTGGATATTAATAAAATTTGGGGAATTTTTCAAAAAATATTAGACCTGACTGAGTTCGAAGCCTATTTATTTTTCAATTATAAATGTCTTACTAGGATTTTTTGTAGATTTATTTTTATTATTAATGTCTTACTGGGATTTTTGAGTAGATTCATTTTTATTATAAATTTTAAAATAATTATTTGTTATTTTTACAAAAGATTAATATTTTCCGACAATATAATCATACCTATATATATATCAATATCTAGTTTTTTATATATATTTAATATATCAATACACGCAAAGGTCTCCCACAATGGCTGGCGGCCTTTTTTCTATCGACAAAGAATATTTCAATCATATCGGTCGTTACGATTCAGGGATGGAAGTTTGGGGAGGCGAAAATTTGGAAATGTCTTTTCGAGTTAAAAATTTATTAATATTATACTTACCCCATATATCAAATAAATACAAAACATTGGATAACTTTATGTTTACCCCAATAGACATTTGGCCACATCTACCAGTGGACATTTTGCCACTAACAGATAATTAATTTTTTTAAATTCTTGTTCTTATTTAAGAATATCTTAAGTTACAAAAATCTATTAGTACTATTGACTATAAAGTATTAACAAATTCCTAATACTCAAATTCAAATAAAAATTAAAGATAAAATATTAAATGTTTATAATCTTTATAGAAAAGTATTTTTTAGATTTCAAATTTGATATATAAATTTAAATTATATTTTAAAAAAATTATTGGAAATATAGATTAATGTACAAAAATATTCTTAAAAATTTTGCCTGTATATATACAAATTATTCATGAAAAAAAAATTATTAAAATATGGGGAAATATATAATTAAGAAGCATATTATTAATTTATAAGTAAAATTCAATCTTTATGGATTTAGCTTAGCTAATTTTAAAATGATTTCATAAATGCTTGGCAACTCTCTAGGTACAATAGTTAATCTCTTTTCAGGGTTACTATTTCTCAGTAATATTGTTAATCTGTTCAAATCGTTTGACAACATACTTCTCAAGTATGTTTTAATGTTCTTTCATTTATAACATCCTCAATTATTTTTTTCTCTCTCAAGATTTAAAATATATTCGGAAGGATTCTGCGGTAATAATATTTGAAGATTTGTAAGTGCTGCCTAATTAATCAAAAACATTTTATTAATTTGAGTTATTAAAGAATCCAAAAGAGAGATGAAGTCATTTATTTTATAGTCCCTATATTAATATTAGAATGATTGGGCTCATCTTTATGAGGGTCGAGGAAGACAAAATTAAATTCATAAAGCTCTACTTTTGACTCAAGAATTACATTTAATTGTCAACTGCATTTGCCCTAATTTCCACAAGTCCCAATAATGCCTTCAGTAGGAATGTTAAACGGCTTGATTTGAGCCATATTTTATACAGAAAAATTTTACGCAAGCCTGAAAGTCTTACTCATAGGTGGCAGAAAGGTTTGGACATCTATTAGCTAAATCTCGAGACTTAGACAATAAGAGGTAGGAATCAGTATAATATTTTTGAAAAATATTTTAGCCGGCATCTGAGTTTTTTTGGCTGAGGAAGGGGGGGGGGGTTCTGAATACGCCAATGATAGAAATATTTAATATAATTATACTTACTGCGCCGTTTTAGGGACTCAATTATGTTTTTCATATCCCCCTCCCCCTCCCTTTTTAAAAAAATAATTTTGATTTTATACCATTTTTTAAAATAATACAATGGTCTTTAAATATTAAAATGTATATTTGAAATAGTAACTAATAAGTATATTATATTATAATTCAGATCTGGATGTGCGGGGGTACCATCGAACTCGTAACTTGTTCAAGAGTGGGCCACGTATTTCGCAAAACCAGCCCTTACTCCTTCCCAGGCGGCGTCAACATGGTTATCAATAAAAATCAGAGGCGGACGGCCGAGGTGTGGCTCGATGAATGGAAAAGTTTCTTCTACAAAATCAGCCCCTGTAAATAAAAATATTTTGCAAAATTTTAAATTATTTTTTGTTTTTGGTTATGTTTTGAAAATCAAAAAAATTTTTGTTTTAGTTTCTCATTCCATTTAAAGTATTTAGGAGAGAAGGGTAGTCGAGATAAATTTCCAAAGGGTTAACGTTTTTAATTTAAAAAAAATTTACAGCAACTTTAACCGTAGATGCTGGAGATTTGACGGAAAGGTTTCAATTGAGAGAGAGACTCAAATGCAAATCTTTCAAGTGGTATTTGGAGAATATTTACCCGGAAGCGCAAATGCCTAGACAATTTATCTCTTTGGGAGAGGTTATAAGAATGTATTAATAAATTTGGACATTTTATTCTATCACCCATATGTTCGGTTTAAGGCCCCCCCCCTACCATCTTATAAATCTCAGAAACAGTTTTTATAAATATTATTGATGATACCAATTTCTAACCTGATCGGAGTTTTGATTATATAGATTAATAATATTGTTATAATTAATAAACTAGAAATACATACCATATATTCTATATTCTATGAAATATTTTAAGATAACCAAATCTTAACCCCTTTAAGTAGATTTCCTGCCAAAAGATAATAGAAATGTTTACCAAAAGGTTACTGCCCTTGTGCTCACTGTTGAGAACCATTGCCTTATTAATTTTTAGTCTCTTAGACTTCATTTGTTTTTCACTCTATTCTTTTTATATCTTATATCATAGGAAATCTACATCTTTTTATAGCCTTCAATATATTTTATACACAATTTTTTATTATCCTATAATTTATTTTTGATGACAATTTTTTATTTATTTAGTCAATTCTTACGAAAATCTTTTTTTACACTTTATTAGAATTAAACATGAATTTCAAAATATGTATAATAATTAAATTCCATCTACGTTGTTAATTAATAAATATTGAAAAATAATCTAACTATAAAATATGAAATAAATGTATTCAAAATCTATGAATTATTGGTCAGCTTCTAACATAGCCTTCTCAGATAAAAATTTACTGATTACATTTTTTTATAATTCTAAAACTTCAACATTGTTCAGACAATTGTTCATTATTACCCAAGATCACGGGTGCGAATGCCATTGCTAAATCCATTAGATCTTTTGGAAATTTTACGGGCGATACCGGTCTTTATTATTGCCATTTGAGATCGCCCTCTTATATCTACCATAAGTCGTACAATATTAACAATATTGCTTATTAATTATAAATAGAGGAAAACTTTGATGGTAATATATTTAATAGATCTGCATTAGCTCAAAAATTATACAATAAATAATTAAATATACTATAACCATGTTACCCACCAAACAACAATGCGATAGCCCCATAAAAAAACTTTTGAAAATCCAATTAAGTCTAAGAGAATCAAATTTAATATAGTAACGGTTCTCAACATTATACCTTATGGAGGTTTCCTTTTGCTGTAATAATCCAAGATAATGTTAATAATTTTTGTTAAGCTTATAATATTAAAAAGTTGTGAAATTCAAATATTTGCGGTTTTGAGTTAGAACTTTTTGAAGGGTGTACGTAATCTTATTTAAATAAATTATTTTGTATTATCCACACCAGATAAGACAAAGTTCCCTTAATATGTGTATTGATACGATGGGTCGAAAATTATTGGAAAACGTTGGCTTATTCACTTGCCACGACCAAGGAGGAAATCAAGTTATATATATATAATGCCTCTGGATTGACTATAATATTAGTGCTATATTCTCCATTTTGCTTGCATCTAAGTTTTTTAGACGAATTTTGAACGTATTCCTTTTTTTGACAAACACGTTAAATTTTTATTTAAAGAAGCAAAAATATTTATTTTTTAATAAAATATTTTATTTACTTATCTGTTTTATTCAAGTATTTTTTAGCACGATTTCCTTTATGGCTATTGTCTTGCTCTAATATGGTTTATATTTTATGTTTAACTCGATCACCTAATTTATTGTATTTCAATTTGATTCTTAACAAATATTAAAACAAATTGAATGAAAATATTGAATAGTTTAATGCATTTTTCATTTTAGAAAATGACGATAACATGTTTTTGGGCTATTTACGATATCAAATTATAAATTATATATTTAACAATAGATTGGGTTGATAAAAGTTAAATTAACATTATCAACCAATTATACTTATATTTTGTAATCTTTTTAAATTTAATCTATGTATGAAGATCAGTATATTATTTCCCCCATAATAAATCAAGTATTAAAAATTGTATTGTTTTGGATAAAGCTTTCAAAGAATGAAAAAATCATAAATAATATTTAAAGAAAATCATAAAATTCTTATATGTAGAAGCTTCAGAACAGACTATTCCGAAATTTCTCTTCTTTTTTTTGACGAATTAGTAGAAAATGAAAATGATTTTCTATCGAAATTTTTTGAAACATAATTAATAGAAAAAATAAAATCTTTATTCATCAAACAACACTGCAATAAGCCCAACTCTAAGGGACGCCTTTTTATTGGTGCAAATTCAGTTTTAACTAGCAAAACGTTCTTGCTTATCGGATGCAAATTTTGAAAAACAAAATAAAGATGTTAAAGACGGCTCATTTAACTTAAATATTAAATGTATTTTTTAAAAAAATATATTTTTAACGCTGACGCGTTCACGAATTTTAATATATTCCTTTTTTTGTGAATGAATTTTGAACGCGAATGTCATTGAACCATGAATTCGTTTTTTTTAAATATTTACAGCATTAATTAGTAGCTTCATTTTTTGGCTTGATACATAAAATTTTAATTTTTTAAAATTTTACGCCAGACCTGTCCAAAATTTAAAATTATGAAGAATATTTTAATATTTGCACGCACTCATCTTGTTTATTAGACTTGGCATAATAAATCTCATCTTTTTTAAATATATGATTTTCTATTTTTATGATAAAAGATTTTTTGACAATAATTCTTCAGATGAAAACTTAACATGATCTCTATAAATTTTTAAAACATTATCAAATGTCATTTAATTTATAGAAGTGCAAGATAAATGAGTTACATATTGTTTTCCCGTAATTTATTCTCAAGGTATTTATGTATAGTCCGGAAAAGTTGATTTCAAATGACGACGTATGCCTACAACCCGATGATAATAATAAATTTTTAATTATGAACTCCTGTGATTCAACCGTTAAACTTCAACAATGGATATATGATAAAGAGGTTTAATTCATATATAAATATTAATATTCCTATTAATATATCATTCAATTGTACCCCCTCCCCCCTTCCCCCAAGCTTTTTCTAAAAGCGCAAATAATTTCTAAAACATACTATTTGACTGGATGATGATGGAAAATAATATATTTTAATGTTGTAACAAGATATCACGATATATGATTGCTTTCCATTTTTTTTATTTTCTATTGTATGCACTTTAAACATTTTTTTTCCCTTTTTCTATCATTCAGCATATCATCGGTTAGATTTGGGGTACTGTATGCCTTATTTCTTTACATAATTTCTGTTTTTAAGTATTTTATGATATTTCCATTTTTTTTCATTTGGAGGCCCTAATTTACCTTTATCTCCAACTTCTATCCTCTAATAAGAATTCGTTATATTTTATAAAATAATACATATAATGATTTACATCTATATTGAAATTATTTACATAAATAATAAAATACAAAGAGCAAACTATTACTGAATTCGGGGAGTGGATTATGCGCAACCATACACGTTAATTCATATGACAAAATACCGATGCAACAGTGTGACAAAAAAGACGATCTTCAAAAATGGCAATTTGTTAACCTTTCTTTATAGCCTTGACATTACATGCCAGCTTTTTATGCTCGAAAGAATTGAGTTTTATCACGTGATCGATGATTATATATATAATTTAAAAAATTATAAAAAAATGCTCTCGGAAAGTCGCTAAGCTCAAACTTATTTAATAAAATAAAAGATTCCATAATTTTCATTCCCGAAATTTATTATTTACTTTGAGTTTTTAAATCAAAATATAGATTTTTTAACGTTTCCTTAAGGTGCTGTAAAAAGTTTAAATTTAGTAAATGAGGCCTGATAAATGTATAAAATATAAGTAACTTAATGTAATATAAAGAAGACCATATAAGGTGCTGTAAAAAGATTAAATTTAGTAAATAAGGTCTGATAAAAGTATAAAATATAAGTAACTTAATGTAATATAAAAACCATATATATTTTAGTATTATTGTACACACTGTTATATATGCCTGGATCACTTGCACCCATTTATATTTATTATATGTATAATACATACGTATTTTGCAAAAACACTTATTTATTTAAATATTGATTAAATGAACATAATTATATGATTATGGATTTACTTTTTATTTATTATTAAACAAACTCGGTGAGTATTATAAATTCTAACTTTTTAAACTTAGATGTTAGACATTCGCATTTATATTATAATTTTATTAAATATATTTTTTTATACAAATATATTATATTCTTTAAGACATTTTTTATAGCCTATTTTTTTCCTAACTGTATCTCGTATAAATCTCTGTATGGTTGCTTAAATTTGTGAATATCTTGGGTATGAAAGAATAAAATAATTTTTAGCCTAAAATAGTCTCAATTTTAGATAAATATTTAATTAACAAGGCTTGGGTTTGATCATAATTTAAATTTATACTTACAAATATTCAAATAAATTAATTTCTTTATGTAGAGTAATTCTGCAATGCAATTTATTATAAAATGACAAGTTTATATTTTCTGATCCAATTATTTTTACAGAATTTATTGATCAGAGCGGAAACCGGTTCTCACAACTGATTATATATATATGACTCTTACAAAAATAACATAATCGAATTATACTCCGCCATAAAAATTAGAGCAAAAAACCCTGAAAACCCAACATTAAACCCTGACACTAGCTCAGATTCCCCCTTCCATTAAATCGAAAGGAGTTCGATTTATCTCACCCAATGAACAGATCAAAAAGGAAACTAATAGATAAATAAACATGTACCCATATAAATTTATTGAAGTTATAAACTCCTCAAATTCATAACTTATTACTACTAACCCTATTAACAAAAAAATAAATCTTATAATTAACTCATAGGAGACAGCCTGTCTTACTGCTCATATCCCCCCAAGTATAGAAATATTTTTAAAAAATGTTTTAGGCCATTTTCAGACATCTAAGGGGTTTTGGGGTAATGTTACCAACAAATTTTTTTTATTTCCAAACAAAGGATACTAACTTGTCTAATTAATTTTTTTATATAATATTTAAAAAAACAACAATTCTGAACCATATTTCAAGCGCCATTTAATCGTTATTAAAATCAAGCCATTTTGTTTTCTATTTACGATTAAAAAAAATGGGGATCTGGATTGTTTTTTTTTTCAAAATATTAAATTTAAAAAAATTAACTGTATCTAATTGATACAATTTAAAAGTTTCCGATAATTAAATTATTAATTTAATCAAATTCATTTAAATTACAAAAATTCTAATATATGTATTTAAATAGAGCTTTTGTTTATAAAAATGTTTTTTTTTATACATTATAAATATAATCATTGGCCCGTATGTATAATAGCTTTGAAATAATGACTCGGGGTAAAAAAAACATTCCATTTAAAAAAAATTAAATATAATAGTTATATGTGCGCGTGTTATGACTAAAAAATTAGTTTGTCGAAGAATAAAATAACTATATCATTATACAAATATTTTGTGGGTAATTTATATATTTAATTGCATTAAAAAAATTAAAGTATGGTTAGAGAGAGGCGAACAAATAAAAGATTAGATTTAAAAATTTAGTTTATTGTTTGATATCCAGACTATCTTTCATTAATTGATCAAATTCGCTTTGATGTTGGAATTTGTTACCCGTAGCTGGTGAAGATGCAACTTGTCTACCTATATACCTATAATTTCATATTTATTATAGTAACAAAATGAGATTAAGGCTCAGTTACTCACCTCAGAGACCTGCAGGTCCCGGCCTAGGCCGTATTTTAATTTTATAAAATATACCCGGGCCTGATCGAGTTTAAAAAAATTTAACCAGGGCAAGGAACTCTAAGTCGTGGATGCCTAGTCAATTGACCGAAGGAGTATTTGACCTAAAATGTTATTGGTGAATAAATATATTGATTTAATTAACATGTATTTAAAGCATGTTTACCAATCTAATTAGGTTACAATTTATTTAAAAATATATTTGTCATCAATGCATCGATTTAATTAAAATTTTATATTAAAATATAAGATTTTCTTATTAGAATATTAGAATTTCATTTTGAAATGTAAAAATTTGGATCTCAATATATAAATAATAATTCTGCTAAAGCATAAATTACCAATTTATATAATTATCCAAACAAGATGGGCATCATCAATAAAATGTAAGGAGCAAATATAAATCTGTAAGAAAGCTCTTAAAACAGCTGTTAAAGTTGAATATTTACCAGAAAGAAATTACCAAATATATTAAAAGAAGTTTTGGAAACCTTCCGGGAAATGTAGGAATATATTGTAATATGCTATTTATACATTATGAATTAATATATTCGTCAATTAGATATGGTTATGATTGTATATACATTTATGATTAATATAATGGATGAAGGTTAACAATACCTAGCATCCATAGCTTGTAATAAATGCCAGTATTTAAAGGCCCTTTATCAAGATGTAGAACTCAGCTGAAACTCTAAATACAATATGCTCTATAGTGTTTATTCACAAAATGAAAAAATTATAAAAGTTATTCAAGAACATGGGGGTTCGGAAAAGTATTATATTATGGACTTTCCGATTCTTGAGGATCTTGGAAATTTCCACAGAGCTATTGAGTTACAGTCGAACTCTTGCACTCTTTTTTAAAGCGGTTGGTATTATGAACTTCTTGAAGTTTGTAATACTTATCAAAGCGATAAAAGAAAGATAAAATTGATTCTACTTAATATAAAGCATTTTTTAATTGAAAAATTTGTTTTACATAAACATAAGTATCATTTTATCTCTTTTTCTCTGTCAGGCAATTACGTATGTTGTCAGGGGCAGATCGCGAGATGACGGAAAACTATATAAAAGACTAATAAATTACAAGAAGTTCAGGAAGTTAATGATTACCATCAGTCGAATTACCACTGTTGTTAAAAGTCAATCGTTTTACGATAAATGGGGCGATGGTAATTCTGATAATACCGAAGATGAATTTAATAATTACCTAAATGTAAACATAGATGAAATATTTATACCTTGAGTCCTGATATTTTTTTTTATCCAACATTTTATTATTTTTTTTACAATATGATATAATACAATTATTTTCTTTTGTTAATTCTCAAAATACTATTTTGAATTTCTTTAAATAGCGATTTATTTTTATTTTATAAATAGTAAATACAATATATTATATTCTCGAAATATTATTAACTTCCATTTTTATAAATATTAGTTTATTTTTATAAATGCATTATATAATATAGTATATTCTCAAAATATTATTTACTTCCATTTTTATAAATATCAGTTTTATTTTTTTTATAAATACAATATAATATAGTATATTATCAAAATATTAGCTTTACCATTCATTTTTTAAATACTAATCACAAATACAATATATTATATTCACAAAATATTATTTATACAAATTTTTATTGTATCAATTTGTAATATACTAAATATCTGTTTAGAATAAAAAAGATAAAATGTGTAATGATAATACTCGCTGAAAAATAAGGTAAAATACCGAATAGGTGAGTTTTTGTATACATCAGGTTAAATATAATTTTAAAAAATTAAACGCCAGGCTGTAAAAATTTTTTTTTTAAAATCCGGCCAGGGCCGTGCAAGTTATACCTCTGCAGATCTCTGACTCACCTTATGATTAATGATAGAAATATGTGAAAATTTATCTTAGTTAAAAATTGTAAAAAACTATAAACTTTATAGATTTTTGTTTCCTGAGAGCAGTTTTGATTCTAGGACATATGTACTGCCAAGCCCCCATATTTTTCGGTTCTTCTTGAACCCAGACTAGTTCGGCGTTTGGATATTTGAGAATTTCATCCTCAATAAGATCGAAGGGAAATGGAGAGAGCTATAAAATAATGAACCATAAAAGGCTTAAACGGCAAATATGTTTGCTATGACTTTAAAAGAAAAGAATGGATAGAAATGAGTTTATTATAATTTTTAAAATGTATAGTGGCTACATAATAATATACTTTCAATATTTGAAATTATTACTTGTTCGATTCGCGTTATAACAATATCTTTCTCTTTATTCTTGTCCTCTCTTTCCTTTTCCAAATCGAAATAAACTTTACCAGTACAAAGAATGTGTCTTTTAACCGATTCTGGACTACTCTGCCCCGCACCAATATCGGGTATTATACGTTTAAATGCCGTTCCTAAATTATAAGATTTAGATATTATTAATTTTTCTGTATAATATATTCTGGCTATAATAATATTTAAAATCGCAAAATTGAAATAATATATTTATAAGGGGATAATATTAAAAAAAGTACTAAAAGTACAAAATAATATTTGTTATTGTTGTAATATTTAAATCTACTTTTAAACAAAATCAAGAAAAACGAAAGAAATGTCTTATGCAAATTATTATATTATTTAATTTCAGACTATGTAAATGAATATTATAGAAAAAGATATATAATTGAGGATATTTTTACTTGTTACTAAACTTATTATTTTTCGCATATAATTTTTAGTATTTTACTTTTACTTTTTCTTATATTAATTTTCTTTTATTTTTGGTTATGTTTTCAATTTATATTTAATTATAATTAATTATTAGTATTTAATAAAAGATTTAGAATTTATATTTTAGTATTTAATTATATTTCTATTTTATTTTTAGACTCTAATTTATCAACTACAACAGTTATGTATGGATCGGGTTATGATGATTAAATTAGAAGGCTTATGCCAGATCTTAGGTCTTCTGTAGAAATCGATTTATACTAATTATTACAATAGAATCAATTAACTTTGTAATAAGATTAATTGTTATTCAAATAAATTTGTTAATTGTGTGTTATGATTAATTGATGTATTTATATTGATTTGTAAAAGATACATAAACTGACGAAATTAATTAGAAAGTTTCACGATAGTTCAATGGCGCACTTTCAAATGGAAAAATTCAATATAAAAGAGTACGAGATAGAAGTGTATTTATCAAAGATGGAATTGATTATCACAATCGCCATAATAGAGGACAAAAAACCGTTTTTATTAACAAATATTGGATTAGAAGTTTATTCAAAATTACTTTATGTTTAGCGAAGACATTAGCTGAAATATCATACGATGATGTAATTAAACTTTTAAAAATTTATTACTCGAAGAAAACTAATTTTATACAGGAGAGATATTATTTTTTCAAAACGGAACAAGGAAGAAGAAAAACCATTAAAGAATATATAGATAAATTAAAGACAGTGGCGTAGGCATGGGGGGTTTTAACCCCCCCCCCCCCAATGAAATTTTTTAATTTTAATTTACTAAATAGATAATAAATACTTGAAATATATAAAATATCTATTTTTATGTTTTTAATTTATTATATATATTGGATTCGTTTCTCGAACATTAAATGCCGCCGAACGAAATTACAGTCAGATTAAAGCGTGAGACTTTAGCAATCATATTTGGATTAATTAAATTTAAACAATATTTTTATGGGTAATCATTCTACTATAATAACTGATCATAAACCACTTATATCGCTACTTAACCCAATAAAAAAATAACAGAAAATCGTTAAGATTAGTAAGATTTATTTCAGCGTTAGACATAAAATCACACACAAGAAATGACCCGGTACTATCAAAAGTTTCACGTTAAATTACAACTGGGTGGCCACGCCGAAATGAACCAACGATGAAATCAGGATGTATATTTGGGGGTTTAGAACCAAAATTTCAAAAAAATTACAAGTAAATATTTTGTCTTTTTTACATATGGGGCATCAGGGTTATACTAAAACAAAATTATTGGCCCAGACATTTATTGCCTAATATTAACGAAGACATCGATAAACGGTAAGAATTGTGAATTATGTAAAACAAATAACTCTAGCGGTAAAACGATCATAAGGAAATGACCCTCTGCAAATAAACCTTAGGAAAGAATTCATTTAGATTTTGCCGGACCAATTAACGGAGATATATATCTAGTAATAATATAGTTTTAGTAAATGGCCTGAAATACAAAAATTTCGACAAATAATTTTACTGAAGTAAGAAAAATATTGTTAAGACTTTTTACTATTTTTGGTTACCCCAATACAATTGTTACGGATAATGGGCTCCCATTTTAAAGTAGAAAATTCAGTATATTTTGAAAACAATTAGCAATTAGAAATGTATATAGTGCCCCCTATCACCTATAAACCAACGGAGAAGCGGAGTGGTTAAAAGTTTTTTTAAAAAACAAAATGATTAAAATACAAGATTTTCTTTTTAATTATCGAAATACTATACAAATAACCACAAAACAATCACCAAGTTCCATTATGCTTAAATTTCAACCCATAGGACCCTCACAATTAATAAAACCAATTATCCACATATATGCACAATCCAGTTACCAGGTTTTTAAAAATATAAATGAGAAAATATAAGAATTTAAAAAAAGATATTTGGATACGAGGTATTATTGTAAGGAGAAACTACGCAAACCATACCACGAATGGATCTCATACAAAATTCGATAGCCAAAACATTGATTCTATAAAAGATTCGATAGCCAAATACATTGATCCGATACAAAACTCAGCCAAAGACAGTGATCCTATAAAAAACTCGATAGCCAAAGACATTGATCCTATACAATACTCCATAACCAAAGACACCATCATAAATGAAAAGATTGAAATCGATAGTATGGATCAACCCGCAATAGGGAACGAAAGTACAAGTAGTCATTATCCAAAACGGATAAGAAAACAATTTATATCGTTTCAAATAGAACCTAAAAAGGAGAGAATAGATGCAATAGAATTAATTAACGTTGAAAATAAAGGCACTTGGTAATAGGATTAATTGTTATTCAAATATATTTGTTAATTTTGTATTATGATTAATTGATGTTATATTGATTTGTAAAATATATATAAACTGAAGAAATTAATTACAAAAATAAATAAAATTATTCATTGTTTTCATGCTAGTTCAATTATAACCTCATGTAAATTAGCCTACCCTGACGTAACTTTAAGAGACGTTTTTTTAAACCTATAAGTTTAGAGGAAGAGTTAGTTAATTTGTATTTTATAGGAAAATTTATTTTTAAGAATTTATCAAAAATAAATAAATCTCATACATAGTATATTATACCTTCAAGCATATCATCAAAGCTCGACTTAGCCCTCGGATGTCTTAGTAGACTCTTAGGCGTAAATATAATTAGCTATTGTGTTTTTTTTTAATAATAATTATCTATTTAAAATACGTTAAAATTATTTAATGCTTTACTTCCTAAATGATAACATAATTATGTTATCTTGTATTTATGCATTATATTTAAAATATTCTTTCTTCTCAAAATGTATTTTATTATATAAGGAAAACCGGTTTTCGAAAGGGTAAAGCTAATTGCCGCCTCAATATATGGAAAAGATTGGCGGGGAGGGTGCAATTGGCAATGATCCAATTGATATCGTGCAATTGTTGCAAATCGAAGTTGGGATCTTTAGGCTAAGATAAAAAAAGAAAAGAAAGAAGCGTCTTTTAATAGTTTAACAAAAGATATTATGAATAATTTTTTTAAAATATGAAATGTTAGTTAATAATGGCAAAGTCAAATAAAATACAATATATTTATTAGCTTCTCTCAGTGTGTTTCAGAGCTAGAGGATAAGATAATGTAACACAATTTTTATTAAATTAATGTATATATGTCTACGTCGATAAACAAAATTAGACTTATAGATGGGAACCATAAAAACTGCATATGTGAATGAAATAGAATATATCGCCGAGTACAAAATTACATTTATACAACATGTATTTTCGAAAGGGAGGATCAGAATCAAATAAAATAAGGTTTAATTTTTTTTAGAAATATAAAGAAAAAATATAAAATAAAATAAATCACTAAAAATTTTAGATAAGTAAAGAAGGTCAAAAGTTCTCAAGCATTTAAATTTTATGGGGGCGCGTTCAAATGACACTTAGAAGGGTATAAAATGCCAAAGGAGAGGGAATGGTTAGCGTGAATTGTCAAAAATGAGAATTACGGGATAATAATCCTGGTCGTCGTTACAACCCTGTAAAAACCGTTCAATCCTAGCGCTGCTGTGTTCTGGTCCCAATCCTTCATATCCATGTGGCAACAAAAGCACTATGCCACTTTGTCTGACCCATTTAGCTTGCCCACTGCAAATGAACTGGTCTATTATACATTGGGCGGTATTGTTGAAGTCCCCGAATTGGGCTTCCCACATTATAAGAGAGTCAGGGTTGGTGAGAGAGTAGCCTAATTCGAACCCTATATTTTAAAAATAATAATGGCGCATTTTAAATCAGGTTTATTTTTAATTTTCACAAAGGGGAATTTAACAACTTATCAATTAAATTGACTTTAAAATTTGCGAAGTTTAGAATGGAGTTTGTTATAGGTCTCATCAATAGGATCTAAATAAATCATAAGTGGAAGCGAATTTAAGAAAGCCAATTTTTTTTGAAATAAGTTTGACTTTAAGCTTAAGTGGTGATGCCTTTTTCTTGTTATAAAAAATCATAGGACCTTTAACCTCTTGGAGATATGTTACTGGATGAGTCATTAATTTGTTAAATTTTTGTGAGGCAATCTGCTGAAAGTGTTATAACCAAGGTGAGAAATTTAAGACACACCTCTTCGCTATTAAAGTTTTTCAGTAAATATGATGCAATCAGAGAGACTTAGCGACTTGTAACCTAGTTCCTTTGACAATTCTTGATATGATGTTTGGTTTTGTGGTGTTAAGAAATGTGTCTGAGAAAGAGTCATTAGAAGAGCGAGTTGAGAGAAAGTTGTGACTAGAGCTCTGCAAAATTTTTTGCTGCCCGAGTCCAACCCGAGCCCTATTTAAAAATTCCGTTGTCCGAGTCCGATCCGAGAATTCAATCCCGACTAAAATTATTTTAGAATTTGGGTTAAAAAATTAAAAATGATCTGTATTTATTCACATATTTTTACCTTAAAAAAAGCATATTTAACCCCCATAAAGAGGCTACAATTATCAAAGATAGTTGCAAAACCGAGTATAGAATTTTATTTAATTTGTCACATAGACATATTAATCAGGGATGTGAGCCCGAACCATCATATTTTGACTATACCCGAACCCAGTTTTAAAAGTGGAGAGTCCAAGGGTTGTGTCAAAATATTTTTAGAAATAATATTTAAAAAAAAATTTTCACTTTATTAAAGAGAGTGAAACTTCTGAATATATAAAAAGAATGATACTAGAAACATTAAATAAATCACATATTTCTATAAGAAATGTTTATATAATTACTATAGATAATGGTGCTAATCTTGTAAAATCAATTGATGAAATTAATTTACAGGAAATAATAGATTTCTCCACAAATATATATTGCAACAAATGTGCAGCCCATACTCTACAATTGGCTGTTAATGATTACCTAAAAAATATTCACTTTAAAACTATCATTCATAAAGCAAGAGGTGTTGCAAAATATTTAAGACTCACCCAATTGCAAGAATTTTAAAATCAATGAAAAGGCTAATGACAATATGAGATCGTACAACACGTTAGTCCTTAATTTTTAAGCTAGACGAGTTTGAAAGATTGCTGTACTAATTTTATTAAAGCATGTGAAGTCGTTTTGTAGGAAGAGGATAGATGCCAAACAAAGAACCTTCCTAGTGTATTAGTTCCTTTAAAAATAAAAACTTTAAGATTACAATCAGAACAATCATGTTTATCTGATTCTTATGGCATATGGATTAGATGCCGATAAGATTTAGAAAGATTTAATAGTCCCTTTTTATAAGAAATATTAGAAAACACGAAAATTCAAGAGCAAAAATATTTGCAAAATAGTGTTGTATACGCTTCTATATATTTAGACCCTCGATATCAATTTTATTTGAGCAGAAAGATGGCTAAAGACCATCTTTAGGATTTATAGCATATGAAAAACTCCATTATTTACAACATATTGCAGCTACGACAATTAGTGTTCTGCATCGGGCCTAATTTTTCAAGCCCGGCCCGAAATTTCTTTTAAAAGTTTTGCCGGCCCAGCCAGGCCGGAATTTATTTAAATATAGAAATTAATTTTTATAATTATTTAAAATAAAAGACATATGTTATATAGCGTTTAGTTTCATTAAATTAAATCAAAATTTTTTATTTTACATAAAAAATACAATATAAAATTGATAAATTTAGATACATTTAATAAAATTTCCGCCTAACTGCAGATCTCTAATGACAATACCTACTGGTTGTAGTGATAATAATGATAATGATAGCAACATTGATGATCTTGAAACTTTACTTTTAGATGAAAAAAAAATCAATTATCATCAGATAGAAAGGAGGAAGAAAAAATACCTATTACATTTTTAATAGAAAAGTTCTCAGAAGTTAAGAGAATAAATAAGGATACAAATATTATAAAATACTGGGAAGAAAATTCTTAAATATATCCAGAATCATCTTGTCTAGAATCGTCATGGCTGTAACGAAGACACAAGTACAATAATTTATGAAAATAACTATCTATTTTAAGTCAGCATAGAACGTGCATTTTCTTTGAATTATTTTCATATTTACGTGGAAATTTCAAGTATGATATTTTAGAAGATATTATGATTGTGCGACAGAATAAAACATTTTATAAATTTCATTTTTATAATTTGTATATATGAAGTATAATAAATGAATGAAAAAATCTTATTTTAAGTCATTTTATTTTTATGTTATCTAAACCCTTATCCTTTTTTTAAATTTGATTCCTGCACCCAATCCCGGATTTTTTGTCCAAGGGTTCACATTCCTGATATTAATAGAATCAGAATATGAATATTATGACATATAAATAATGTCAAGTTTATCAGGCTTCGTGCTAGTCCTCCTTTTTTCAAAAGAACGACCCAACGAAAACGGCCTTAGCTGGGGTCAGGCTCAGGTCGGGCTACCTCTTACAGACATATCCCAAGTCCAAGAAAAAGTTTTCAATGTCCGATCGGGCAGCCCGTGCAGGTTTCTTGTGACTCTAGGATGCGGGTAGGCTCAGGAAGAGATTGAATGAAGTGGCACCTGTTAATTATAAGTCCATGAACCCGTTAATTATACGTCCATGAACCCGGAATAAACGTAAAATTTTTAAACAACAGATTTTGAGTTTAAAAGTGTTGATCATTGAAACGTATATGAAGCGAATGAAGAAAATCGACTGTAATATTAAAGGTGCTCTCAAATTGGATTCCACTCATGATTCACTTGCCCACAGATGGCGCCTATCTAGAATTCCTTCCCAAGCACCCTTTATCCACTTTATCTTTAATTAAGTAAATTGAAGATTGAAAATTTTTAATTTTATAATTTCACTTCTTAATATTTTAAAATATTTTCGTAAAGTTACTCATCATCCTAAAATTTATATTTCAATTTAAAAAACAAAAGAGTTACATAATCACAGATGTTAATGTGGTTAAACGGTTCGATATAGCCAATTTAAAATTTTGATTTTTGCCAAAATAATATTACGCAAGTCTCGAAATTTTGCTAATAGATGTCCAAACTTTTCTGACATCGATGAGCAAAATTTCTAGGCTTGCACGATAATTTTTGCTAAAATATTGGGTTAATCTTTTCTTAAAAATTAAGCCGTTTAACAACACTAACAGTTATATTAATTTTAAGATTATAAAAAAACGTATTTTAACACCTAAAACAGCGTACTCCGATAATGAACTATTGCAAACTGTGTACGGAGGTTGGTTAGGCCATAAATTTTGCAAAGGAACTACGGTTACTTTATCCCGCAATTGGTCGTGTAAGATGTGATGTCGATGGCTAGATGGGAGTGAGAAAAAATAAATAAAAATGTTAATTTAATGAGTGGGGAGATCCGCATCTAAAACAAATAAATATACTCCTCACGTTCTGGCTAACATATTATGTAGTTTTATATTGCATTTATCCTATATTTAAAAAAATAAATATATGTACTTTGAAAATTATACAAATATTCTTTGAAGCCTAATACCGAAAATAAAACTATCACATTCCCAGACCTTTTGTCTGTGGACATTCCCAGACCTTTTGTCTGTGGATATTCCCAGACCTTTTGTCTGTGGACATTCCCAGACCTTTTGTCTGTGGACATTCTCTTCTAACAGCAAAATTTTATTCACCATTAATGGTATTAATTTGATTTGTAATAATAGATTGGCCTAGTACCGGATTTAATATCTGGAATCCTAGCACCAAAATTTTATTGACCATATATTATATATCCCCAGTAATGGATTGATTTGATTTGTATAATAGATAGGCCTAGTACCGTCTGGAATATCTCTACTTAAATCTCTTTCAAATTACTTTAAGTAGATTTTAAACAGTTTTTCTAAAAATTTAGGGTAAATCTTCTGCCCAAACTATTTAATATAATCATTGGATTCCATACTTAATTCCTTTCTCCGACAGCATTTCTTACTGTCCTTAATTGCGATAATCATAATAACTTTTGTTGTACAATATATAAGAGCACATAAATTAGAAGCAAAGAATGACCTGAAGGTTCCCCTCTCGACATCTTGCCCACTAAGTCTGACCTGAACTCCGTCCTTTAAAAGTGAACCATAAGCAAAGGCCTCCGCCAGAGCCCAATCTGCTTTTCTTTCTGACATCATCTCAGCTCTTTGCTTCAAAACACGTTTAAGCCCTTTAAATTTAATATAAATAATATATATTTTTTTTAAATAATTTACTTTTAACAAGAGTAAAGTATTCAAAATAAATTAAGGAAAGTTCGATAAAACTAGGGAAGGCTAACGGTTCTTTGGTCTTAGATTAAACCAGAACAGTTAAATCGACCTATATAAAATAGGGCGGATTCTGACTAGATCAAAGACCTGGTTTGTAAACCAAAGGTATAATGATCGTGATATCTACATAAATAAAAATTAGCCAGAATTTCTTAAAAGTGAATGAATGACACAAATAATTATTTTTTTTAAATCTTTCCCGACTTATTTTATTTTAATTTGGTATAATGTTTTCTAATCCTCGTTCGTGTTTATTTAAGTAATATAAATATAATAATACGAATCATCGCTAACCGCTATGCAAACTAAAAGGAGCTGGTGGAAATTCAGAAAACTTTTGGCCAATGTGATTTAATACAGTTTCGGGAACACCGGTAGAGCGGGTTTTTAGCGGATCTTTACCTTTGAAGAAGCCTTTGAAATTATCGGATGGCAAGAGGGGGGGAATAAAAAAACATAAAGTAATAATGGTTTTCTGTTGTATTTTTCATTGTATATGTATTCATAATAGTAATACCATCCCAAGGAGAATCCAGCCATTGAGTGTGCATCATTTTAGTTATTTGCTTGACAGTGTTGTGCGAACCTTCGCATATCTTCTTGTATTCTTCTTTTTCCGTCTTAATTTATTTTTTTTAAATTTTTTGTTATAAAGAATAGATAAATTTTAAAATTTTTAGATGTACCTAATATTGATCGATCTTGAGGTCCATAAAAAAAATTACCCTTCTGAGGAAGTATAGAAAAACTTAGCTACCAAAAAAATGAAAATTTTCTAGGTTTAATATAGTCTTGTTTTACCACATTCGTCGAATTACAAATAGTGAAATTCATAATCGTTACCTATCGAATTTACCATGAAATTATTTTGCTCTTAAAAAAATTATATATTTTTCCGTATATTAAATTGTGCACCAGACATACGCCATCGGGAACAGTTATGTAATATATATGATGCGTAGAACTTAATGTATCGTTGAAATAAATGAGCGATTTGTTAAATTTCTTTAAATCCAAAGCAGCACCGACCAGGCCTTTGTAGGAACATTTTTGACATTAAAAAATTGGGACTAGAGATTAAAAAAAATTGGTGCGGACAAGGTTACAATATAGAATCAAATAGAGGATTCTATAAAAGGGTTCAAGCTCTAATATTTTTTTCAAGGATTATGTAATTGATTCTGCTTTAAAATCGTTATCTAAACAGTAAAGGTCATAAGATACCCAGTTCGTAATATTTATAATTCATTAATAAACGTATTCCAAATGCTGGAAGGAATTGGAAATAAGTTTTAAAGAGCAGTGCTTTCCTTCAATAACATCGATTCGAATATGATGAGTTCAAAAGCAATTTTCTTATATAGATAAATTAGCCTCCCACTTCCCTCATTATATCAATCCCAATTATTAAATGGCATAAAAGTATTACCTCGATTTCGGTGTTACTGACTATTCCCTGTTTTATGAGTTTTTGAGCGTATATTTGCAACTGCCTTGGATGTTTCCTTATCTTTTGGTACATCAACGGTTGAGTAAAACTGGGCTCGTCAACTTCATTATGGCCATGAAGCCTGTAACATATCTATATATACAATAAGTATTAAATAATATGAATTTTTACTGATGTTAGAGGTGGAAGAAATATAGAAAAGAGCTCATTCGTTTGGAATGAATTAATAATTATTCCGAAATCTTTTCCCATCAAATTAAGTTGTCATAAATACCTTTATTATTTTAAGATACCCAGTTGCTTTTAAATAATTTAAGCTGTTTAATTTAGAGAAATTCCATTAATAATCTTACCAAATCGACAACGACATCCTTCCCAAATGTGTACCTCCATTCGGCTGCGACTTTGCATACGTAGGCCACGGCCTCGGCATCGTCGGCATTCACGTGAAACACAGGCGCATTAACCACGCGAGCTACGTCCGTGCAGTATGGGGATGAGCGGGCTACACGCGGATCCGTCGTGAACCCGATCTGATTATTGTTATAAACAAGTTTTTTTTATTGAATATAGAAGTCATATTGTCAAGCTAGTCTCTAAATTATTCTTATAAATTCCATTGATATTAATGAATAATTCTTAGTCTTATTATAAAAGCCTATTTGATTTGTTAGGAATGAGAACCTGATTATTGACGACTATGTGAATTGTGCCTTTCGTGGTGTAATTGGGCAATTCGCTAAGATGGAAAGTTTCGTAAACGACTCCCTGACCTGCGAAGGCGGCATCTCCATGGATCAGAATGCTCATCACCTTATTTGAAAAATTTCATATAGAACACTTGATAATGAGCAATCTTTTTTCTTTTAAGGCAATGGTGGACCACCAATTTAAAAAAAAATGAATTAGTTAATGTAGAGCTAAATCAAGAATTCTTCTCTTACACAAGTTGCATTGCAATTTGTATTACCAGCCCAGAAATATCCTTAATTATTTTTAGGGATTAATAAATAGTTCAAACTATTTCTCGAAATTTTTAAGGAAAGATAGCATTGAGAGAGAAGAGAAAATAAATATATATATTCATGGCATACCTTTTTACCATGAGTATCGCCTCTGTAGAATTGCTCGGAATATGTTTTACCTTGCACTACTGCGTCAACGGCTATAAAAATATTTAATTGATTATAATGATTAAGAGTTCATATAATATAATTTAGAGAAAATGTATTTTAGGGGGGAGATAACGTAAAGCTCTGTTATTCTTAATCGAGAATTGTTATATTATATTTTAGTATATATTAATCGGTTATATCAGGTGAAAAGGAGGGTAAAATTTTAAGCAAAGCTAGAAGTTAGAAGTATACGTAGAAGTGGGCCAAATAAAAAAAAATAGCAGATTTGTTTATGAAAACTAATGGAGTCTAAGCCCAACTCATGGTATACGTAGATGGTTCAAATAAAAAAAAATGACAGGATTTGCTTGATGAAGATTAATAAAGTTTAAACCTAACAGATGCCTCGGAGTGAAAGAAGCGAATTGAGAACATGAACTGGGGGGAAGGGGGATCTAACCATTCGTTTGAAAGATATTAAAAAGGAGTGTTATAAATTACCTTGAAATTGGTCCTTAACATTAGGAGTTTTAATGAAATCCGTTTCTATGAATTCCACTACTTAAATAAATGTCGGTATAGGGGGGGGGGGGGGTTACAAAGTGAGCATCAGTCCAAATTTAAGAGTAAATTATGGATTCCTTTAAAAGTGTTTAAAAAGGAATAATTATATTGTAATCGGGTTTTACTTCTCCTAGCAAATCAATTCATAATACTGGTTCAATAAAAAATTTAAAAAAAACCTTCCAGGTGGGATGGATTGGCGACGACAGACATGCGGATTTTTTTGCCATTGATTCGATTTATGCGTTCGTGTGACATACCTAAATGGTATTTGACATCTCCTGAACCCTAAATAATATTATTTTTTTAACATTACGTCGTCACGGAAACTCATTACATAAGATAAAAGAATTTCTTTAGAATATAATTAGGTTAGCAATATTATTATATTAAATTTTTTAGAAAATAGATTGATCATAAAAAGTTTAGATTTATAACTAAATTAAATTATTTAAAAAATAACTTTTTTGCGAAAGATCTCATTTAAAAAATACTTTTTAATATAAATCTTACAGAATTGTAATAAATTATGATATTAACTAGTGAAGCAAAATCGCTCCATTTGAGCCGATTTTTACTCTGTATTTTATCCAGAAAAATATTATGCAAAATGAGAATTTTTCTCATAGATGGCACATTCGTTTGGGCATCTTTTAGCGGAACCACGAGGCTTAGGCAATATTTCTATGGCAAAATATTGAGTTAGCGGTTTTAAAAAATGCTCAAATGGAGCGATTTTACATCACTAATATTCAACATTAAATTTATAATGCTTATTATACCTCATCGACAGATTCAAGAGTTTGAAATTGAGAAAATATAGCTTCTAAAGGTTGTCTGCAGACGTTAGCTAATATGTTCAGTCTTCCTCTAGATAATGAAGAAGTAAGTAAAACTTATCATGTAGATATTTATTTCATAATATATACCATTTATTTTCTAAAAAATATCATTGTGAATCGTAAACCCCTTTTACAAAACGATATTTTTCGAATTTGAAGAATATCATTGAACTATAAAAAATAAATTAATAATAATTCAACCTATGTGGCATTCCCATAACGAAATTTTCGATTCCCAATGAACTTGAAGTGTCTATGATTTGTTTCAGACCCGGGATAAGCACTTCACAGCCTTCGAGCCCGAACCTTTTTTCGGACGGGTATTTCTTCTCCAAAAATTCTTCAAAACTTATTTAAGGGTTAATGAGTAATAAAATTCGATTTAAAATAAATATATCGACCACCTCCACTCATAAAGAGCCAATAATAATTCGTGTTGATGATTTGTGATTAGTTATGTTAGCATAATGCATATGAATGACCTTTTTTTTAAATCGTAAATATAAATAGATCATTGACTTGCACTCCTTGTATAATTTTTAATCTCAAGAAAGTGACAATTTGATTATCATTATTAAAACATTTTTTTGATGAAAATAGATTCAATAGATATTTTAAAAGTTTTATTCCTATAAATTTCAAATTTTTTCTTTATGAAGAAATTAAACCAAAACTTGTTTTAAAAATATATATTTGTATTTTCTCAACAACAAAAAAATTGAACTTTTTTAAAAATGATAATTACACCTAGGCTTCCTTAATTTTTTTTTATTATATGGCAATGGCCATAAGAGCGCCATATCTATGGCGAACAGAGATGTATGCATGAAAATTTGATAGCGTATAAGCTTCTAAAACCATAATGTCCAACAGAGTTGTTAAAAAATACTTTTTAGATGGATTTAGATACAGATACATCTTCTAAAAAATTATCTAGATACAGATACAGCTCTAAAAAGTTATCTTGTTACAGATACAATTAAAAATGTATATATTTACTCTTAAATAAGGTTTGAATAAACCTAAATTAGTATTATATTGTGAAAATTCTTGAAATGATCTAAAAAATTTATTGATTCGATATCACATTTATCAAAATATAACTAAAATAATGATTTTTAGATATTAATATAATATATGATTAATATAAATAATTATTATATATCATTAATAAAATAATATAATATATGATTAAAAGATTATAAATAATTATTAGATTTCAGTAATAAAATATTTTCAAAATTTTGGTCATTAAGACATCCTCGTTTATCTGTAAAGACATTTTTAGCTATACTAAAAAGTCATTCAACAGAGGCGCTGGAAGGGATTGTGGTGTTATATTTAATGAATAACATTTTTATATCAGGATATTGTATAAAAATACTAACATCTCGGCATTCATTTTTGAAAAAACTATTAAAAATTTGTGGATTATCAGAATTTAAATCATTAACAATCATATCTCCTGCTGTGGGATACTGAAAAAAATCGGATATTAAATTATTGGTTTTTTTTTCACAGGTTAATTTGCACTCATTTAAGACCTTGATAATTCCTCAACTAATCTTTGTATTAATTGTTTTTTTTATTAAAATTTTCATCCATTTGTAACCATGTCCAATCTAGTTTAAGTCAAATTATTTTCATCTTCAAAAATTGTCCCAATAAACCTAAAATTATTAAATATTGATTAATTTATTATTAATTTACCTATCTTCAATCCCTTTAGGTAAGGCATTTAAGAGTGGTAAACAAAATTTCAGGAATTTAGTCTTAATAAATTCTGACATTAATTGTAAAGCATTATAAGTGGAGTTCCATCTAGTTATATTGGGACATATAAAATATCGGCCAATATTGTTTTTTATCATCTCAGCTGAATTTTGAGATTTATTTTGTTCCATATATTTTGGTATTTAGACAATGTTGTGCTATATATCTTAGAAATAAAATTTAAATATTATAATTAAAATTATAGTTTTACCTTCTATTGTTTACACTGCAAGGCTCTATTTGCATCTACAGTGGCAACAAGATTCAATGTATGACTAGCACAACATTGATGATTAGGTAAAATATATGATTCTGATATTCCAAAATCCTGAGCAGTAGTATAAAGACCTGATATTGATATTGGTGCAACTGTTTCTTCATCTTCCAGATCATCAATGGATTCACTAATATTTGCAATTGGCTTGAAACCTCAATCATAAATAAGTAATATTATGTTTATATTTAAAATAAAATAAACCTAAAAGATTTAATAAAGTTTTTGACATTATCAGTAATGGTCTTTGAGATTTTATTTTGTATGCAATAATCCTTTGCTATATCTTGTAAATTTTTTGCTATTTTATTGTATGACTATCAGTCATTCTTTTACAAGCCAACGCTACATTTTTTCTTTCCAAACTAGTTGGATCTATATAGTTTGCAGTGACTCTTATGTATGAACTAAAAATTAACATTTCTTAAAACTGCTCAAATAAATTGTTTGTAATTAAATTATTATACAAATTTAAATGTTAGCTATACCGGCGATAGGCATTCCAACAATCTGCTGTTGTGCATAATAACGATGGTTCTATTCGACTTTTAATGATTTCTTTCTTCTCATTCTCCCATCTTTGGGAAATTCTAGAAACCACTGTCTATCGGCAAATTATATTTTTTTGTGAAGTTAATATTTGATCATTTTTATAAATGAAGGATTTTCAACAATTGAAAATGACTGAATGCTATCAATAATAAACTCAGTTATTAAATCATCTAAAGTGGTTTAAATTAAAGTCTGAAGTCTCTTGGGAAAAAAATCAATGGACGATGAGCCTAGTCCAATATTTTCTATAATAGATTTTTTCTCCTTCCCTTTTTTTATTTGGATTAAAAGTGTTTGATGTTTTCTCTTAAAATTTAAAATTGTAAACATTTATTTAGTATCTATACCCTTAAATGTTTTACAATGTTGCAAGTTGGGGTATTGCTAACTGAAATTTGCATATTTTTTGGTAGACATGGCATACATTTTACTAATAGAAATTTGTTTTCTTTATTTTGAGATATTATTTTAAAATATGGTCTATAAAAGAATGTCGTCATTTTCGTCATCAATATTAATCTTAAAAATTAATATAATAGAATAAAATAAATTACCAATTCCATTGCAATTAAAAATGGCAAATTCCTTGAGATGGATTGTAATATCAGAATTTGCTTGTTATTGATAACTCGGACATAATATTTAATTAATATTTAAATATTCTTTTTTATATATAAGTTTTAATATTTTACATATATATATAATTTTTTAATATATATATTAATGTTAAGTTATATGCTCATATGAAATAAAATAAATTTTACATTCAAATATTTTTATTTATAATATAAAAAAGCGTTAAATAGAAGTATATCAAAATGTATCTTAAAAATCTAAAAACAGATACAGATACCTCTAAAATAATATATACAGATACCACATTTTTATATCTAGATACTTTAACAACTCTGGTCCAAGAATAAATTATTTAAAAACCAATCCAATTAATGGTCATATAATTTGAATATAAATTATATCGTAAAGCTTTTAAAGCAGGCTCAAAATAAATTCAGACTTGATTAAAAAGCCTTCTGGGCCTCTCTACTAATGCTATTAGTTTATTATAATTATTCATTCTATTCCGTTTTTCAAAAAAACCCTGATTAAATCAATCCAATAAAATATTAATAACCTTGGCAATACATTCAATTTAACGATTTATATCTTTAAATAAATTAAAAATATATATTTAAAAAAAATATATATTAAAATATCAACATTTAAATAGCGTTATAAATAAAAATTCCTTTCTGATGACCAAGGATAAAGAATTCAAATATAATAAATATCCATAATTAAAAAAAATATTTAATATGCAGAACATAAACACAATTTTCAATGGTGCTATTCCATATATTAATATAATAAAAGTAGTAAATTTAATTTATGAAGCTTAAAACGAATATAAAGATCTTTTTTTAGCACAATGAAATTTTAACAAAGAACCTTATATCACGATCCGCAACCTATTTCTTTCCTTCCTTATATTTTATAACAATAACAACGAATATCTTTTTTTTGTGAATTTTTAAATTATTTGTTTGATAAATCAAAAATTACACAGGAAAAGAAAAAAATATTTTATTTTAAATATACCCCGTGGATCGAGTCAATCGCTTAAGTATGAGCTTTTTCTCATCATCACCTATCTTCGTGACCCCAGGTGTTTCAAATTTACTGCGTATCCAATCGCATTGTTCTATATTATTTATGAACATGAACTCTAGGCCGATGTGCTGACAGTATACCTCCTTATAGGTGCATTATTTTTTCATATAAATTCAAATAGTGTTGATTAATCCCCTAACTTTGGCAAACTCCAATATGGCTTAGTCAATAGCTTATACCTAAAAAATGACTTAAATCCAGGGACTCAAACCGTAACGAATATTGGCCCAATTCAGGTTCAGATAAAAAATAAAGGTTCACAATTCAGATTCGTTGGTAAAAAATAATAATATTGTCTTTTCACATACAAGCGTATTAGAATTATGTAAAGAAAAAATACACTTTTTAAAAAAAAAAATATTTATCACTATCTGAATAATATCCTTATACAATTAAAATATTTTCGAAATTCTCTTTTGTCAAATTATATCTATAAGATAGAAGTATAAATTTTATGGCCGAGTACACATATATGGGTTAAATTGGGAAGCTGGCACCATCAAATAGCAATATATAAAAATATCTAAAAATAATTAATGATACTTATCAGTCAAAACTGATTATTAATCAACTTTAAAAGTGTTAAAATATCAAAAGGTTCCAACAGGTTCATAGACCTTGTTAGAGGTTCGGTTCAGATTCGAATCTTTGCTTAAGCCTACAAGTTGAGCCTCAATTCGAAGATCGATATCTAGAATAAAAATTTGTGTAAGTTATGCCGTTTTGGAATTAGCCAGACGTTAGGTGATTTAACAACAGTTCATAAAATAGTTAATGCATTTTATTAAAAATTTTGTTAAGTAGTATAAAGCATCACTGAGAGATTTAACTTTTGTTTCTTACAAGAATAATTTTAAAAAATTACAACTTTTAAACCGATATAAACCCAATAATGAAAAAAAAATTTGTTTTATATAATTGCGTATATAATATTTGTATAACCATAACTAACCTCTAATCGACTTATGATATCTTTAAGAGGTAAGGATCTTTTTTCGCCTCCAATACACGTCGATAGTGGTAAAACGTAGACTTTGTTCATATCCATCGTTTCTATTATTTTATATTGTCAAATTTAACTAGATACTAACACACTAATTCTATGATTTAAAAAAATATAATGGGGACATATATGACATGATTAATAATCTTTATTTATTAATTATATGGCTAAATCAGACATTAAGATAACCTTCTAGGGATAAACATTTTTCCCCTTTATGCGGAATTAACCTAAAAGAATTTATACGATAGTTGACTGATAAACTCTTCAGATCAATTTCAAAGCTATTCTTATATTATTCAATAAAGTATCCAACATGTTACAGGTGGATTTTTATTTTTCTAAAATTAATAATTTAATACTATTTTTTTTAAACTTTTGACTCTACGTTTAAGGCTGTTTCTTAATACTATTAATCATTACCCTTGTAACGAAAGTGTTACATAAAAGTAGAACAGAGCCTAATGAAAGTAAAAAAATATTTAAAAAGTAACGGGTTAAATTAGTGTTATATAAAAGTAGAAGAGAGCCTAATGAAAGTAAAATAATATTTAAAAAGTAACGGGCTAAATTAGTGTTATATAAAAGTAGAACAGAGCCTAACGAAAAGAATAAGTTTTTTAAAAAAATTATCTTCGGTTTGATTTTTTTTTTTAAAAAATTTAATTTTTGAATAAAACCGTATAAATTATTCGATGCGTGTTTTTTATGATTATATATAATTATAATTAGGATTGTGCCGATGTTTAATTAACATGGTTATAAATGTGTATATCTCGGAATTGCCACAATAGTAAAAAAATTTACTGATAACCATCATTTTAAAATAATTTATCAAACAAGAATATTCTTAAAAAAAGTCAGCATCGGCAAATGAAATGAGCCGTTTTTAGATCGGATTTTAACAATAAAAAATATGCCGATCCCATCCAGGACAAATTTTTATCGACCGATGACTTCTCTTTAATAATAATTTTGTTTTATGACAATATGTCGATATTCTAAAGATAATTAGAGAGCAGCCTATTTGGCATGAATTCTAAGATATAGACATTTATAACTAGGTGATTATATTTAGAAAATAAACTTTATATAAACCTATATTGTAATTACGAAATATAATTTGTGCGGGATTCAATTTGTGATAAGAGGTAGAATTTATCTCTAACGGATCTAATTTGGAAATAAAGTGTCCTCTAATCTATTTTGTTTGTTTTAAAATTTGAAAAAAAAGATTACAAGAAAAGTTATTTGTAAATATTCATTTTTTTTGATCGTCAATTTAACATCATAAAAACTATATAAAAAAATGTCTACTTTAAAAACATATAATTAAAAAAAACTTACTATAAAAGGATAAAATATTATGGCCCTATTTTTAAGTTGGGTTTCCAAAAAGGAGCCATGATTATATATGAACATAAAAATTTGCATTTTTTTAAAAAATAGAAAATTTGAAAACCTGTCAAATAATTGTTTTTTTTTTAATTTTAGGATTATTTTAAAAAAAATATAGTGATATAAATTCGGGGTAATGATATACAACGAATTTTATTAAAATGCAATAAGATCCTTTTTTATTATAATATGTAATAACGAAATCACGAGGTCGCTTCCGACACCCAAAATTAAAACCCTATAGCACGGAACCAGTTAGTAAGTTTCACTAGCTAGCTATCGTATTAATTATTTATAACTATCAATATTTTTTTAAAAATCTAGTCGGGAGAGGAGGAGGGGAGGGCTGAATCCTTGGATGATTAATTATAGAATTCAAGATTATATTACAAATTAATAGTAGATATTTTTCTCTAATTTTTTTAGTAACTGCTACTTTATTATTAGAACTATATTTCTGTCATTAATTTTTATTAAGATACTTTTAAGATATATAATTCTTTGTAGGAGGCGGGAGTGTTCATTATATCCCCCTAAAGAACTAAAGAAACCTAATTATTAATAGCTTGATTTTTAAAATATGAAAAAAACAATAAATGTAGTTATGCTTTTATAGGCCCTAAGTATGAATAAATTAAAAAATTCTTTACAAAATTTGTAAATTATGATAAATTATTGTGAAACTTGATAAGATCTTATGATATCTTGGACGTTTAAATGTTCGTCTACAATACTCAAAATTTCTTTATCCTTCAGCAGCGGAGCTGTTCTTAGATCTATAAAAATATTAGTGTTTTATATTAAAAAAACAATAATTTTATTTTCCACAAAACAATTAAAAGTGATCGATTTTACTAGTCTTCATGTTAAGTTTTGACAAATAATTATAAAACTAATGGTTAATGGCAAATCTATAAAATGAAGTCAAGTTACTCGTGAAAAGATTAAAAATGTATTTTTAAAATTTTATATATCAAAGAAAAATGGCTCGATTTTTAAAAATGGATAACCCAATATTATTGGCAAAATAATATTACGTTAGCCAAAAGATTTTTCCTAGATGGCAGAAAGTTTTAAACATCTATTAAAAAAATCTCGAGGTTTTCCTAATATTATTTTGGCAAAACCTTAATTTCAAAATGGACAAAATCGAGCCGTTTAACAGCACTATTCCAAAATACTTTTTTACGTTAGACTGATTTCCGGAATATATCTAGTAAAAGTTTTTTTTAAAATTACCTCCGTTTTCAAGGATCAATGGTCTCTGTGCAGGTTTAATGTCTATGTTATAGGCCGAAAGAGTCGGAGGCGTTGAATAAGCGTCGGATGATCTTAAACCGTTAACTTTGTTGGTGAAGTAAGCGTCCCAAGACTGCATTTGTATATATATATAATAATTGGAGTATATTTTATAATAAAAACTCTCCTGTAGTGGTGAGGACTTATGAGCAACTTTTTTATAAATTAATTTTTTGGTTTGTAATTTATTTAGGAAAGGTCAATAATGGCCTAAAAACAGTAGCTATAATTAGCAAATAGCGGTTACCCTTGGACGGACATTTACTCATTCTTTTAGGAATACTATATATACAATCGCATGTGTTTTCAACTTAATTTGATTTTTTTATAAATTATAAATGACTCCGAAGATTAGCGGCAAAATTGCCTACAATTCATGAGATAAGTAATCTAAAGATGCTGAAATATTTCCCAGAAAAATCAAATTTTAAAAACGCTCAAAAAATGATTTAAAATTGAAAAGATAACACATTGCCGCTAACATATATAATATTTTAATTAAATAGTAAATTCCCAGATCAAAATTTGTACATTTTAATATATTATTATACTAACCAACCAAAATGAATTACTAATGACCATACTCATTATATATATAATATAACTAAATTATAATGATGATACAGTCAAATGTTATGAAAATCAAAATATATTTCAATTCATTTCACAGGGGTTTTATATTATATTTTTTCAAGCTTTTGATTTTTGATATATATTAATAAACCTAGGTAAATTCCATAATAAATCAATATTATGGGAAAACTAAACTCTGGATAGTTAATTATTGATTGTTTTTTATCTTTCTTTATTAGGTTATAGAATATAATATTTAGTAATTTAAGATATGATATTAGTTACATTCAAACTCTATTATATTTAATGACCCTATTATCAAAATTTTCCAAATAAAATATATTGGATGTGTTTTTTCCGGCAATATATTATTTTTTTCAAATTTAAAAATCTGATCTTACTAAAAATGTATTCCAGCATGTTTAGAATTCCTATCATATAAATAAATTATAGACAATTTTGCGGATAACCTTTAATTCAATTATAATTTATATAAAAAATCTGTGGGAAATTATGTTAAGTTCAAAAGTTCAAGACAAAATTGTCCAAAATTCATAGGGTAAGTATTCCAAACATGATGGAATACATTTCCGGTAATTTTTAAATTTTAAAAAACGAGCTAAAAAATTATTTATTATTGAAAAATGACATATTGCCGCCAACACATATATATATATATGGCTAAAACATCGTTCCAAGAATGGAAAAATTAGATAATGGGACGGAAAATATATTGAATTCTAAAATTCCTTTATGTTAATACTATATTTTTTTGGGAAAATAAAAAGGGGGAAATATTAAAATACATTCGAAACTTAATTTTGTTTTTTTTTCATTAATTTTAGAGAAAATACTCTTATAAAAATACAAAGCCTGAAAACAAATAATTCAAGTGAAATGTCATCCTTATCACCGATATTTTAATTTTTTATCATAATAAGCTTTTTGGCCTCGTATATCTTATTTATTCATTTTCGTTTCCCCTATAAAAGTTATTTAAATAATAAAAAGAGAAATGAATTATGAAAAAATTATGAATATGAACTATAATATGAAAGCCTTTATTAATATTTTATTTAATAAAATGCGAAAGGTATATATTATATATATAAATATATACTATATTATATTATGTTCCGTTAAAAAAAAGTCTAGAACTAGAAGTTTATAAAGTAACGAAATCTAACGTTAAGCTATTCCCATATATAATGGTTAGAGAGCTCTTAGTTACATTTCAAATATAATAGAATTACAGGAGGTCTAAGTTATGTACCAAAAACCTTTGCACATTCCTAAAATATTATCCCAAATATGAAATAGTATAAGGAGTGACCGGTGTTTCGAAAAATAATAGGGGGGGGGGGATATTTTTTTAACAATTGACAGTTTTAATAGTTAGGCTTAGATTAAAAATCGGCTAAGTCTAATTAGATTTAGCCTAAAAATTATTAAAGCAATTGAAAGTATTTCAACTATGAGCACATAAAAAAATTTTCAACAAAGATGTCTTAAAAATTATATAATATTGATCATCGGCTTATATAATTGGATAAATTTAAGACTCCTTAAAGTGTTTAAGATATTATAATGTAAATTTAAGCCTTGGGATATTTTGTGTATAATGAGTCCTGCCATACCATGGAATTACAAAACTAAAATATAATTTAAAAAAAGGTAGTAAAACATCCAATAAGTAAATTTTTAGTAATAAACTCGGAATCTGATGATGAAGATATAAATTTTATTTCTAAATTCACACTGGCATATCAAAGGGCGATAACGTACACATACAATATATCCCAGCACTTAAATCGTGACTAGAATATTTTAACAAATATTTCACCAATCGTAAGTCAGATGATCAATATTAGAGCTTTAAATAGTCGGGTATATTAGCACAACAAATCCTGAATGAATTGAATTTTAAGGAATATGTCAGCCTATCTGCAACAAAATTATCACATGGTTTCTCCCCGACATGTAGTAGGCGAATCGCATTCGCATTGATATGATAGAAAAAGCGATAACTTTTAAAATTTAATCTAGATTGAATGTCTAGGATAATGGCAGGTCATCTTGTGCTTTTTGACCATGTATTTGAATATTTTAGGGAATGTCTTAATACGACAATGTGCAAGAAATAAGCCAAACACCCAAATATCTTAAAGGTGTTTCTTTAAAGACAAGAGAATAGATCCTTGTTCGTATACTAGCTATGCTAACCCGTTACAAATGAAATGATGGAGAATCATAAACATTCTAAAAAATTTAATGCAAATCTAATCGTTTTTAAAGAAGGGCTTTCCCATTTTTATTAAAATAAAACTCGGTGAGCATATAAAATAAACTAAATCTATATTAATATGTTATGACTGGATTCGTTTTTAGCGCTTGCGCGTTCTTTTCTCAGCCCCCAGAACTTGAGAGAAGAGGAAGATAGTCTGATAATTTTAATGGTTAATAAAATTCTCGCCCTTTAGGCCCGCCACTAGGATGTATCGTGTCAATAATCGAATATTAATTAATTAATTAAATAAATATATATATAAATAATCCTATTATTAATAAAATTTAAAAAATATATATAATATATAATTTAGCAATCAATACTAAAGGGGGAAAAATAAAAATTGTAATACATATATTTGAATTTAGTCAGTAAGTGTTCTATAAAACATTCTCACTTATTTAAAAAAAATTGGCAAATTTATTCACATTTAATAGTCAAAATTGATTACTAACATAATCAATATTTTACCTATTTAATAAATAAAAATGCCCTATCCAAATTATTTAAAATATTGATATTATAAAGGTATTAGAATTATAGATCTGCAAATAACGCCCCAGTCCGTACCCGGGAGGGGTCTATTTTAAAAAAATATTAGGTTCGGGCTGGACGGGGCTTAATATTTTTTAAAAAATTTCGGGACGGGCTTAAATTTTTAAATATGATATTACATTTTGTCAAATAAATTGTATTTTAAAATTATTGCAAGAAACAAGGCGCTAATATTCTCAGTAGAATATTTATTTTATAATAAAAAAAATTTTTAATTTTTCAATATTTCAATAAATTAGGGACGGGCGAACAAATAATTTTTATTTATTTCAGGTCGGGTTTTTCGGGACAAATAAAAAATATTGTTCGGGATCGAGCCGGGAGGGACAAATTTTTTAAAATTTCGGGCCGGGCTTGAAAAATTAGGCCTGGTGCATATCGCTAATATGGATTAAATTTTATGTTTGATAAATTAACATAATATAATATTTTTTTCTAATTAAAAAAAATTAACCTTTCGAATTTGAATAGTTCTAATCGTGATACGAAGAGCCCTAGGCCGAGCCAGATCAAAAAATCCAGGGCCATGAATGTCGTGTATAAACATATTTAAAAAAATACTTTAAAAAATATAAACCGATAAATTATAAGAATCAAGATAGTTTATTATAAATATAACCGATTTGTTTTCGGTTACCAATATAGATATAATTTCAAATAAAATGTATCAATATACGATATTATTAACGATACATTTATCAGTTGTCAAAAAAGAAATTGGTTCGTATATTGATTTTAGATTATATTTAAAATTTGACAATTCAATCAATAAATTATTATAAAAGAAAATCTTATTTTCAAAAAAATTAAAATAAAGTTGGAAATCGTATACGTTTTAAAAATATTTTTTAACAAAATATGGCAATTTATCATTTAACTGTCTATTCAAAAAAAACAGTTATTATCAGCGAGGTGGAGGGAGAAAGTTTCTTTATTTTCTTTAATTTTAACTTATTTTTTACTCTTTTTTTAAACAAATCTTGTAAATTTTGAGTACATTTGCCAACCTTGTAATAGTGTCCTTATATTTAAATTTAATATAAAAAAAAATAATAATAACTTTAATGGCAGATTTCCAAATATATATAGATAGAGGCTGTTAAAAAACGTGATGAAAATTTATTCCATAGCTTTTGATTGTTTATATACAATATATGTCTTTTTAGTTTTATGTGGTGCTCGACTAATTATTTACCGTAATGTAAACAATAAGTCCAGTATTTCATCTATCAATTACAAGCAACAAAAACTGTCAATTCTCCTGCAACATATCAGTGTTGTTAAAGTAGCGCGCTATTTTTTTTAATATCGTAGGGAGCTACGTTTAAAAAAAATAACGATAGCGATATCTCGCTACTAATTTAGAAAGTAGCGAATAGCGCGCTACTTTTTTTGTAAAATAGACATATTGAAACTTTTATCGAATAAATAAGGGTAGCCGAGTCCGTAAGATTTTATAAATTATTTTTTTAGCAAGTATTCCATGAATTAAAGTATCTGTTGCAAGAGAATGCATACAGTCATTTTTTTGCTTATTATTTCTATAACGCGGGAAATGAATAAAATTGGGAAAACTTGTGAGGGCAATTTATTAATAGGTTGGCATTTGCAGAAAGGAAATATTTAAGAATATTTCGTGTATGATCGAACGATCAAAAAAAATATTCTTAATCGAATAGGACTTTGATCAGGGTGAATGCGAGTGTGAACATTGAATAGAGAAGGATCCTTCAGAATGATTGAGTTTAAGGTTATTAAAATCTTGGAAATCAAGGGGAACACTAATGAATATTTGGTTGTAGTTATCCTTTTGCAACAGATATTCTAGATTGTTTATTTGATTATTAGGTATCAGATAAGTTGGAAAATAAAACAATTTTGTTAAGAGAAGTCACAATCATTGTAAGATAGAGAATTATCTTTGAAAGAAAATATGAAATTATAGATCGAGCAGCTTATATCTAGTGTTGTTAAACGGCTCAATTTGAGCGATTTTTAAAAACGACTAACTCAATATTTTATTCAGAAAAATATTAAGCAAGCCTAAAGATTTTGCTCATAGATGGCAAATAGTATTGAACATCTATTGGCAGATCTCGATGCTTAGGCGATATTTTCCTGGCTATAATGTCGAGTTAGCCGTTTTTAAAAATCGGCTCAAATCGAGCCGTTTAACAACACTACTTATATCTATTAGGCAAAAAAAGAAGTGAACCATGAGCTTTGGCATATATGTATTTTGGTTTATGAATCATGATTGTGTGAGATTGCACAGTTTTTGATATTGGTAAATGATAATATTTGTTTGAATGTACATGTTTAGTATAATCTGTGGATTAATGGTGTTAAATAGCTAGATAACATGGGTAAAAATCGGTTAAAGGAGATGCCAAGGAAAATATGTTAAGCATTTGAAACACGAGTTAATCTATTTCTGCTTTCTTCAAAGCTGTGATTATAGTTGACAAAAATATATTTATTGTTATATAGCCATAAATTGAAATATACTGTAACAAAGTCCATTTTTACTGTTATAGTTGATGATAATTGTAAACATCCAATAATTTTAAAAAATATATAAGCAAAAAATGAATTTTTTTAAATGTTCATTGACAACTATGTAGATTCAAAATATTAGACATCAAAAATAACCCCCCCCCCCATAACTTTTACCACTATCCCCTAATGCCAAAATAAAATTAGCAAAAAAAATTCCAACATCTATTTCCCTACAATTTAATTCAAACTTTCAATTTCAATGAAGATCTTGTATCATATATCCCCCTCCCCCAAAGTATAGATCTCCATGGTATTGATAGATACCACCAATAGTGTATAAAATAATATCATTATATGTAGCATTCATTGGGAGGGGGGGGGGGGGGGTATATAATACCTCACTAATAACATTTTATTTATCAATTATTAATTTATAAATCAAAATAATTATAAGTATAAAGAAATAAGGGGGAAAAATTAACACCTTCTTTCCTAACAATTTAGAAATTAGTAGATAATTTTTTCTTTACAACTTCATAGCTTAATATAGGGTAAATAATTTATGAGAGTTCATTATCATTTTTGATTTGGCAACTATATTGGCTAAAATTAAAAATGGCTGGTACTAAAACTAACAAACACTGTGAGTATTAGTGCTAAATGTAGAGACAATAGGCTAAAATATTTTTGGTTGGGATTGACAATATGTTCAAAATACTGACCAATCCAAAGTTTTAAAAATATTTTAAAATTTCTTTTATTAAAAATTATTATAGGCTGGAATGGATAACTAGTACAAAATATATATAGGCTGGAATGGATAACTAGTACAAAATATAGTATATGGGCTGGTTTAGATAAAAATAATTATAGGCTGAGCCAAAATAACTCAAAAGAAAATTTCTAAGGATTTTTTTGGGCTAGGGCATGCTGACCTCTAATCAGTGCTTCCCATATTTAAATAACAATTTAATAATTGTAAATTTTATAAAAATTTTAACAATAAGTCATTTTTTTGCACATCCAAACATTTTAAAAAATATGGATAGTTTTGAATATAGAAAAATAAACAAGTTTGTATAAAAAGATATAATTATATGATGTATAAGTATATTGTGAAATATATCTACCAAATGTGTAAGAACTTTAAAAGCCCTTAAATGTATAAATAAACTACTAGTTAAGCTATCTGATATAAAATATCATATTTATAACATATATTTGAAAAGAACAATAAACAGCATAAATTAAATTATAGGCAATTAAGAATCTCTTATTAAATACAAAATATTGAGTTAGCCAAATTAATTGATCATTAAAATATATAATGTAGACCTGCCAACCTAGTGACCAGTCTAAAACCTATCTAAAAAAATGTTGGCTAAAAATTTGGGTGATAAAATTACATAACAATCATTATGTAAATCTTATAATTAAGCATTTACGATTTATTACTGATCATATTTTAAATTTCACTTTAAAAAATTTTGCAAATTTATCAAAAAATTCAAATTTCAGGTCAGGTTGTAAAATGATCAAAAATATAAATCCAGACAAAAAATTTGTTATTTTTTCCAAAACCAGTCTGGGACTTAAGTTTAGAAATCTGCAAATTTCTCATATAATACATACTTTATGAACACTCTGGGGGTTATTTTTCCAGGCAAAGTACATTTCTTCAACGTAAGTACTGGAAGTCCCATTTAAAAAAGGTTCAGCATGAGCTGTTGAGAAAAATTTCAAGGAATTTGCAAAAGGAATAACATGGGTTTTATGTCTGGTAAATCCCTTTGCTCCATATATAATAGTATTTAATAAAAATGGTGATGTTCGTATGATACAATCCATGCTAAAAAAAATTTGAAAAAACCATTCAGCAACACATATGAGAAAATAAACTATCACAAGAAAAACTTTAAAAAAAAATTATTATTTTATTTAGATGTTAAATTTTATTCAGCTTAAAGATCAAAAAATTAAAATAATTGTATAAAAAGTATTATGTTTTTCATTATTCCATCGAATTATTTTTTTTATTCATAAATATTTAATATTATTATTTAATATTTAAATGTTCCTTATGAAATTTTTTCTTATTACTATAATCATTTTTTTTAATTTTAATAATTCATTCTTACATATTAAAAATATTTTATAAAGAATTTATTTTCGAATCAAGTAATGATTTTACTATTCGTATGCATACGAATGAGGAATTATTCGATTCGTATATTTTAAAGACAGGGGCGGACTAAGACCAAGTGGGCATTTTGCTTGTGATGCGGCGAGAAAATATCAATTTTTGATGCCAGGCAAAAAAATGAAAAAAAGCCGATCAAATGATATGAAATATATGTTATCTTTTTATCATATTATGCTTTTTATCATATTATGCTTTTTATCATATTCATATATATTATATATTAAAAGTTATCACATTTTCTTTTTTGGCATTTGGAATATCGTATCAATACATCTCTTGAGGATTATCATTTAGATGCTATTATATGGGTTTTTTTTTTAATTTTCACAAAAAAATATTTCTGTTCAAGTTTTGATTAATTTACATTTTTATATCGTATTTATACCTCTAAATAAAGAGTGAAAAGATTCGAAATAATATTATGTAATAAAACGAATATTTGAGTACGGATTAGGCAACAATGAAGCACTTAGCAATCTTGAAAATGGAATCTAAATCATGGGAATTTCCTTGAGAGGATGCAAATTATATCGAAAAATGATAAAATACTTAGACACCATTTAGAACAGACTATTTTCAGGTGTAAACTTAAAAAAAGGAAAGCTAAAACCTTCCGATAAATTAAAGGAAGAAGTTCACTAATAATTAATAATCATTTTTCAAATAAAGCATCATCTTCGTCTTCTGTTTGGTACATTAATCAAATTTGCACATCAAAATAAGGGCTATAATGGATGGATAAATATATATAAGGAATAAATGTTTATACTATTGGATATTTATGCTGTAGATTGATTTCAAATGATGGATCAAGATATAGGAATTCTTCAATTTATTTTTTGACTACAACTGTGGAAATAAAAAAAATCATTTTTTATCGGTTCTATCTTGCAAATTATTATAATAAAAAGGTGATAATCTTTTTAAATGAAACTTAAATAATGTGTTTTTTACTCTATCATACAAAATTCGTTTTTACCAAAATACTATCATCGTTTTTTTATGCTAAAACTTTTTCAATAGCTGTCATTGTATAAGAAAATAAAAAACGGTATTTAGCTAACAATGGAAAGGTTTAAAAATAAAAAAATCTTATAGCAGTTGTATTGGATTTCCTTGTTTTCTAGTAACTATTACAATCACAGACATTCCATTTTAACATTTAATATATTTTTATATTAAAAAGTCATTTTTGTTTAAAAAATAGTAAAAAAAATGATTTAAAAGTAACGAGAAATAAACGGTACTTTAAGTTCACAAACAAATATTTATTTCTTTTTTAATTTTTTTTTCTTTTTAGCTATCTATCACCTTTTCTAGTGGTAAGCTCCTTCAATATCTCTCTCCTTAATCATGCTATCTATTTTTAATTTATATTTCTGATCGATTCCATTTGGATCTCCCACCGGTATCGCTATCAAGGCCAAAGTATCCTGATCTCACACCGAAGTATTTATATCGACAGATATCCCACAGGGAGTATTCTTATCGATTCCATTTCTCCCACCGGAGCATCAATCCCAATGGATCTCCCACCGGAGTATCGTTATCAAGTAAAGAAATCTTAAACAGTTGTATTGGATTCCCTTGTTTTCTAGTAACTAATACAATCACAGACATTCCATTTTAACATTTAATATATTTTTATATTAAAAAATCATTTTTGTTTAAAAAAATAGTAAAAAAAATGAAAAGTAACGAGAAATAAACGGTACTTTAAGTTCACACAAATATTTATTTATTTTTTAATTTTTTTTCCTTTTTAGCTATCTATCACCTTTTCTAGTGGTAAGCTCCTTCAATATCTCTCTCCTTAATTATGCTATCTATTTTTAATTTATATTTCTGATCGATTCCATTTGGATCTCCCACCGGAGTATCGTTATCAAATCCATTGTAGTTTGGTAGACATTGAGCTTGAACGGCCCTCGAGGTCACCATTGTCCTAGCGCTGGCCACGAAATTGTTATCATCCTTTAATGACCCACGAGTTCAGCTGACCGTCTTATTGGTTTTTGGACGTATCCTAGCACCCAGCTGTCCAAGCTTGTCGGTGACCGGGTGGCATTTCTCAACTCCGAAATTTATCATATTATATGTCTATACACATCCGTCATCGAAGAAAAACTCGAAAATTTTAGTTCCTTACCAGGATTGAACCAGGGACCTTCGGTTCCCAAGCCTACATCATATACCACTGGGCCACCCCGGCGACAAGTTTACAAGCAAATATCACGGCTACAAACTCCTCTTCGTTATATTTTTGAATTGGTAGATGTGTTATGTAACGTAACGCCTTTTGTTACTTTTTGCTCAAATTTGCACACAACTTAATACACTAATCTATTTTATCTAAAATATTAGTAAATTATGAAGAAAATCTAGTATAAATTTTGAACTATAAAATATATGCTGAAGGCAAATATGCGACGCGATTAATTGATGACATTTTTATTGATGCCTATTAAAGAGATTATATGGTTTTCGCTTAATTCATTTATTCAAACTCTATTTGGGAAACCATATTTACAGTATGCCTGATTTTTTTTGTACATTAATGTTTATTCTCGATGCAATATGATGTAATGTATGTAGATTTTATAGTGCAATATGTAAAAATTTTATATGAGTCTTTTTCTTTAAAAAAATGTGATATGCTTTCATATGAGTCTTTTTCTAAAAAAATGTAATAACTGTAATATTGTGCTTAACTTAATTTTAGATGTTTCTATCCAAATATATAAGAAATTGTAAAAACATATAAAATATGAATAAGCCATTTAGGAAGACTCGACCGAAGGTCGGTAGAGTATGGGGGCAAAGTCCCCTTAGAAATGAGGCCGCTAGAAAACATTTGTCCAAAAGGCCGAAGCTTAGTCAGTCCGCGCTGTTTAAAGATATACCTAAATAAAGATAAGTAATTTTCTTATAAAATATCATTCAATAAAATAAAAATTATAATTATAAGTTTTTTTGTGGAGAAAAAAAAAGTGGTTTACTCCAAACATGATACTCGGTGACAATTTTTTAAAAATAATTTAGGTTAAATAAAGTAAGATTAAAGGAGTTATAGAAATAAATTTGACCATCATTTCAAAAGATATCAAATTGATGCAATTTTTAAAAGGTTCACCTACATCTAACGATACAAAACATATTTTTAAAAGGAATTTAATGGCGATATCATCGATACATTTCCTATATAATTTTTTTATTAATCATTAACAATTACTCTAATAAATTTAAAAAAATGAACAATTAAATTTAATATATTTTAAAAATAAAATATTAATAATATTTGATTTTAAGTTTTACTTTTAACAATAATACATTTTCAAATTTTTTTTTATCAAGGATGTGAAATAAATTGTCAAATTGGTGTTTTAAATTTTTATCATATTGTAACGACGACTAATCAAAAAAATCAACATTTATTTTATTTTTTTGAATTTGTGAAACTTAAAAAGTCTATATTTTAACCAGTACTCATATTAGCTCCATTTTTTATAAATATCCCTTGAGTGTTGGATTCAACTCATTGCTCGAAATATGGGTAGATATATTTTTTTTATTTAAATTTAAATATGGTTATATATTTCCCTTTTTTAAAAAATTATCATGATAAAACTGTGGTGATACATCAAAATTTTAAAAGAATCTCAGGTATCTTTCGATACAGGTATAATATCGCGAGCTATGTAAATAATTAAAGTTCAAAATAAATATTTTCTTTATATAAAATGGTGTAGTAACGTTCAAACTCTTTATCCATTCATTTCATTAAGCTAAAAAAATGATAATTTTAAAAAAAATTTTGAGCCCCCTGAGATTATAAAGGTTAGTGACGCCCCTGACTACCTTTAAAAAAATATTACCAATAAAACATGAATAACTATTATTCTTTAATATTGTAATAAAAACTAATATTTTATTTATAAAATAAGTATAATTTTGATCACATAAATAAAATTTTAAAAAACCTGTACAAAATATATATAATTGATATAAACAATATCGTTATATTCGCAAAATATTTATAAAACTATAATAATTTGACCAGATATAACGTTCTTTAAAGAAACTAAATATATATATAATGTATCTAATACATTTTAGATGTATTCTATAAAAATCATTATTTTTTAAAAAAAACCAAATTTGTACATGATGAAGTATAAAAGGCATAAACTAAATGATTTATTTATTGAGTTTCTTTAAAATACTTATAGTATCATAAAATATAATTCAAATTTCGATTTAGTGCATTTAATCCATGCGCGCAAATATATATAAAAAATTGAATATTTTAATGCTGAGAATTTTTGTATTTTTCTAAAAATTAAATGCTCAAATATTTTCGTTAAAAGAGAGACCGGATATGAGAATTCAATGCAAAGATCATAAAGACATAAATGTGGGGTAATTGTTGATAGGAAATCTAACACAAGTTTATAGTGGAGCGGCATTAAATTTTTAGATCAATTAAAATATTTCTTGATAAGCCATTAAAAATTTTTTTAATAAACTTGTGGACAAAAACGCAATGTGATTCAATTCAATAACTACAATTTTTTTTAAAAAGTCAGCCGAATTCGTGATTATTGCCATAATTAATAACGCTTTAATTTTATAATTTTTGGTTAGAAATCAACCAAGTCAGGCCTTCAAACAAACCGTCACCCGCGGTCGCGCATGCCGGTTGGATGTACCAGGTTTTATCGCGAATTCTATTGAGTCCTAACTTCTCCTGAATTTCGCTGGGTTTCATGGCTTTACGATTTTTTTTTGATTATATTGGGGAATTATGTTTATGGATAAATTAGTTAAGCAAAAACTTTCAGTTATAATTAATGTTACGATATGTGATACAGATAAATGATCGACGTTAATTTATGATCACCTTAAAAAGTCGTAAAATGAAATTACCATCAGGGAGATCTTGTTTGTTCGCGTAAACTAGCACAATGGCCTCTTTCATTTCTCTATCGTTTATTATCCTATGAAGTTCTTGGCGGGCTTCATCTATCCGGTCCCGATCCGATGAGTCAATTACGAATATAAGTCCCTGAGTTCCGGTGTAGTAATGCCTCCATAGGGGCCGTATTTTGTCTTGACCACCTACATCCTATTTATATGACCATTTAGGGAGTGAGGGGAGGGGAATAGTTATAATTTACAAGCTTATGAACATTGTATGAATTTAATTAGTAAAGAAATAATGAATGAATTATCGTTAAAAGAATTATACAACTTGACTAATTCGACATGATTTAAAAAGTATATTCTTTTTCACATAATCGATAAGATAAAAAGATTATGTTGTCTTTATTTTCTTAAAAAACACCATTAGTGTCAAACACAATTACATAATGATGATCTATACTCCTGTCCATCCAGAGGCTTAATAGTGTACTATTTTTATGTCCATAATTGTGTCTAGAGTTGATATAACATGAGATTTTATTTCCCAAAATAAATCACTTTTTGGAGGTTGTGGAATGTGTTTGACACTTACAGGGGCAAGTATTAATTAATAACCAGGAATACAAAGACCTTTAAGGTATAAAAAAATTCTTATTAAATTGTATTAAGATTAGATTTTTTTAAATAAATAAAATGATAATATTACCCAAACACTGAATTTGACGTTTTTGTATTTGACAGTTTCGACGTTGAATCCAACGGTAGGGATGGTTGTGACGGATTGTCCCAATTTGAGCTTGTATAAAATTGCTAAAGCAAAAAATAATAATATAAAATTGAAAAATTCTAAGAAACGTTCAAGTTCTACTTATTCCGCGAAAAATATTTAAATTTAAAAAAATATATCACCAACCCTTTAGTGACAAAACCGCAGGACCAAACCCTTATCTCGCCTGAAAAGTTATTTAATTTTAAAAAAATCGGTCCCTCACAACCTAAAAATTCTGTCGCTTCAGAAGTCAAGCTGCGAAGTCGAAGGCAATAATCACTCAAATATCTATCCAATAAATCAACATTTAATGACCAAACTGCAGGACCGTACCCTTATCCCGCCTGAAAAGTTATTGAATTTTTAAAAAATCGGTCCCGCGAAAAAGCTATAAAAAAAATAGTTCAGGACGATTCTGGTTGGTAAGAAGGGGTAGATGATTAGGCCAGGATATGCAGAATCATTTCCCAAAAAAACTTGGTGAGATTTTAACCCGTTGTACTAACTATATAGTATAATGCATTTTAAAAGTTTGAAATAAAATTCGATTTTTATATTTATATTTCTTCTGCTTTATAAATAAATATAAAATATTTCTTGCGTAAATTCAGTAATTTATCCATGCATAAAATACTCAATATCTCGCGTGAGGTCGTAAAATATTATCGATAAATTTTATTTAAAAAAATTAAAATAATAAGAACGTCTGCCCATTTCGCATATAAAATATAGGATAAAAATGTAAATAATAAGAATCAAAATAAATGCTATTATTTTCTAAAGCCCATAGATATAAAAATCAGTGAGAATTTTACTTTCAAATATATCAGAGGTCTACAAATGGAAAAATTTTCAAGCCCGACCTGGCCAGATTAGAATTTAGTCAGCCCTTCCAAATTTGTAACTACCCCGGTTCCATCTTTTTACCATGGTTTCCCGACCATATCATTAAAAAATAATCTATAATGAAGAAGATTTCGGTTTCATGATTTTCTTATTTTCATAATAAACACCAAATGTCGAAAAAGGAAATCGCATTTATGAATGAATGATAATAGTGCAGGTCATTTAAATAATTATAAACAAAATAAAAAATATTATTTGAACAAAATTAGCGTGCAGGGCATCTCCATTTTTTGCTCGGCCCAAATAAAAACTTTTCAGATCACATGGGCCGAGCCAGGCATTGCATATTTCTAATAGCCGAATTTTAGGAAATCGTCAATCATTTTTAACATGGAGAGACCGAAACAATTTTACTGTTAATTTTTATTAGATTTATTATACAAATGCTATCGGTGTTCGATTAAACAAAATAAAAAATATTATTTTAACAAAATTAGCGTGCAGGGCATCTCCATTTTTTGCTCGGCCCAAATAAAAACTTTTCAGATCACATGGGCCGAGCCAGGCATTGCATATTTCTAATAGCCGAATTTTAGGAAATCGTCAATCATTTTTAGCATGGAGAGACCGACACAATTTTACTGTTAATTTTTATTAATTATACAAATGCTATCGGTGTTCGATCATTCTAATTTCTTCCTTCTGTATTTTTTGGTGGGAATGGGGGGGGGGGGGGGTGGCTTAAAAATTAAGGATTAAATTATACCTAACAATTTAAGAATTTTCATACTTTTTTTAAAATATCTTAATTAAATAATAATAAAAACCTGTTATCTAATAAATAACCCGCCTTATAGCGCAATCTTTAATTAGGAAAAATAATTATAATATAAAACAACGGAAAAAATAGAAATCACCATTTTCTATCAATTTGTAGAGCAAAAATTTCTAATATATGAGTTTTCTTCCTTTAAATGAGATAGACTCAATTGAAAACATCTGATATTCAATTATTTTCTAAATTTTTCCTCCATCTATCACTGCGAATATTATTATAATTATTGATTATTACTTTTTCAATTATTTCTATTTCTTATTATACTGACAATCTCAATTCTTAAATTTTAGTTTAATCGATGGTTACAGTATATTTTGTTTGCCAAAATAAAATTGGTCTGATTTTTTTTTAAATTTTGTTTATAAATGAGGGGTGGAGTAATTTTTTTTATCGCTCTCTATTTTCAGACTGGAACAGAATTTGGAATTTTAAAAAAATGCGTTATCGGTTCGAGTTCAGTGTAATCATTTAATTGATAAGATAATTTATGAGAAGAAAAAAAAATTATGCCGAAATAATCTTCATATATTTAACATTTAATTCCTACATTCCACATGGTTTAAAATTTGATAGACATAGTGATTTTTATTTTATCAATAAAGTAGTGTTTTATTCGAACCGCGTTCAAAGTGCTGTTTAAATTTAGGAAACCCGAATAAAAAACTTCACTGGTATAAAGCCCTGGTGTCAACAAGAGGCAAATGAGCGCTCTAATCCTTTTTTTTAACAATTAGAACGTTTAGTAAGATTAGAACTTAATCGGATAGTGTTCCATCTACATTTTTTTTTAAATTAAGTAATTTGATGTATTGTTTAAATTTCTTTTCCTTCGCTTTGTATAAAATCGTACTATACTTAACGATGCTCAAAATCTTCACGAATTCTTTTTCCGCTATGAGAAGCCCGGTTTCGAATCCCGAACCTCTTAGTTATGTAGAGATACACTCATACCAATTTTTTTATGAAATATGTAATCCAAAAACAAAATCCAGAATTTGAAAAAAAATCTGATAATTTATTTCAACTTGAAAGATCTTTTATACATAAAAATTAGAAAAGATTTTAGCATTTTTATGTAAAAAAAACATGTTTTTCAAAGATTTTTTTCAAACTGAAGAGAAAGAAACTTTAAAAATATTTTATGATTTTTTTTCCCACGTTCTCCATTTTCCTTAAAGAATTTTTTTTTAATTTTCATTTAATTTAAACCATAAAAATGTTTTCAATATTTAATAGTGTTGTGCTGATGAAAGTACCGTCATTACTAACGGCGTTTTTATGAGGAAAAGAAACGTCATTCATTACTTGCTTCAAAAGGTAGTAACGCGTTTATTTTTTTTGCGGTAATGCAAAACGTTTGCTTTAAATTTTTTCATAAAAAATTTGGAAAAAATATATTTTTATTAATATTAAATTTTTTTAAAATAACTTTAGTGGAGTTTTTAATTAGCGTCACCCACTAAAGTTCTTCAATTTTTATTTTATTTATTATATTTTGTTACTGAATTTTATATAGTCAAGATTGTTAATCTAGTGAATATTGAATCAATCAAGGTTATAATTTATTTTATATAGATTATATGTCAATAGTATTTTTATTTCTTCAGATGAAGATGATTTAACTTTGCCCTGATGAAACTTTTTTTAATACAAATAAAAATTAAGGAAAGTCCACACTTTGTAAGTGTGATTGTACCATAATTTAAATATGTCAGCCTCGATGTCCATCAGCTCCAATCTATAGAACATATGAAAGTAAAATGAATTTAGAGTAAATTCTGACAAGGATTTTTAGAAAAATTGATGAATGAAGATTCTTGTGAAGATGATCAAATTTTTTGAAAATAAAGAACATTCTTTAAATCTTTTTAATAAATTCCCACAATTAAAATTTTTATTAATTAAATATAATACATCCCCCCCCCCATCCTATGCGCCTGTTGAATATGTATTTAGCACAGCGAAAGCCTCTTACATATCTGATCAAAATTTTTCAAAATCAATTACTGTTAAAAATAAATAAAACTATTACAAAAAGATTTAGCATTTTTTTAAATAAGGAGTAACGCGTTTCTTTTTTGAGGTAACGTTTGTAGCGCTAATATTTAATGAAACAATTAGTCGTGATTTTTTTGTATTGTATTTTGTTTTCTCCATTATAAAATTTTAAAAAGTAAAATAGAAGAAATAGAAAAACAACCACACTTTCTCTTCTTTTTTTCATATCTGTCAATTTTTTTTATCTTATCAATTCTTGGCTTAAATATAGGCCAATTTTTTATTTTTTTCCCCAATTTATGAAGGTAAATTACTTCTTCGAGTATCGTCACTAGTATCGGTTAAAAGTAAAATATCGGCCGATACTCTCATATCGTGAGTTATAGGTTGCATCGTTGATGTTAAACGTCGAACGATTAAAATTAGGCTAACCTAAAATCTTCAATTATCATCAATAGAGATTGGTTTATGTGCACCGTTTTTATATTTAAAAAAAAATTAATATAACTTCAAACATATTTCTTTTTAAAAATACTCGTCTTTGAATTATTATAAGGCCGGGAGTTATCCCGTGCGATGCTAGCGAAAATTGTGAAAATAAGTCTACAAATTATTTTTTTATTTTTTTTAAACATTATTATTTAAAATATAACTTTTGATATCAAATCAAATGTAATAATAAATTTCGTTTTTCCTTCGATTATCTGTCATTCCATGGCTTTGAGCTAAGTGGTGGCTATATTTGAAAAAAAAACAACTTGTTTTTATCAAAAAATAAAATCAAAAGTCTAGCGGCTATATATTGATCATTTTAATCTCTTTTTTTTAAAAAAAGGAAAATATTGAAAATAAATAAGGAAAGAAAAATGTTAATCAATCACAAAGTTTCCAATCCATAAGAATTTTTCATTTTATGCTTTTTTAGGTCAATAAATTATGTCCCCGATTTCCCAAATAATGAAGGGTCAAAGAATCAATGAATCATTATAAATATAAAATTATTGCTTAGTATATTTTATAAAAAAAAGAAAGGTTGGTCAAATCCCTAACACTTCGAAAATATGTAATGAAAAGTTGAAACGTCACGAGACTTTAATTAAATTTAATAAGTAAGATAGTCGCCAATAGATAACGGCTATTTTCAGAAATTAAATGAACTCAACACATTTGGAATGGCAACAATCTAAATTTGATTGATTATTAAATAACAGCGCTATTAGAAATAATCATTTCGGTGAGTCTCCAATTTTTATAAGAGTTCCCACTGGAGAGCCGTATAGTCATTTATTTTCACGAGTCGCGACGATTTGATTTTTTTAAGTAAACGCCAAATAGTTGTTTGTTGGCTAATGGCTAAAAAACGGCTAATACGATACAATTTACTGGCACATGTCTAAGAAAATAAACTAGACATTGAGGCGCGACTTAATTTATCTATACTTTCTTTAAAGTTGTGATATATTTTCAACAAAAAAAACACAGAGCTGAGGTGATAGTTATTAGGCTAAAAATAGGTTTACCCGTTTTATTTGCTGAATAAAAATCTACTCTATATGTTTTTGTTGACAAGGGTTGTATAATGTATATATATATATATTAAATACCAAATAATTAAAAGTCGATAAAATTATTAATAGCTTACCTTTATTTATATTTTATGTATTTAAGTCAAGGTAAAATAAAAATTTATAACAATAAAAATCTACCATTCTTTATATTTTTTAAAAATAATAGGGTATAAAATATCTCTTAAAATATCTATTTAATAAAACATGACAAGTATAGATAATGTTATAGCATATGATGATAGTATCAAAAATTTAATTAAGATATCAATCTTATGTTAAAAAATTATAAATATAAATAAAAATTTTTGTATATTAAAATTTAAAAAATTAAATTTTGTTCCAATATATGATTAAAATATATGAAAAACTACATGGGAGGGTGGGGGGGGGGGTGATATTTTACAGAAGGTTTGAAAGAAGAATATACAGATTACATATACAATATAATAGTCCATAACAATAATTAATCCATGTCAAACAAACATCTTACACCTAAACCCTTCCAATTTTAAAATTTTGTAAGTTATATATGATCTAATTATTTCAAAAAGGGAATTAACTCATTAGCAATCATACCATAATGAAAATTGAAGGCACAAAAAATCAGCTTTAATAACAACGATCTGAGCCCAAATTTGAAAAATAGTATTCATTGATCTTCAAAGATAAAAATTTTCTAGATTTTTTTATTTTGAATAGTTGGGATCAGGGATCCAAAACCGAAACGAATATCGGTTCGGGTTCAGGTTCGGATAAAAATAACGGTTCGAGGTTCAGGTTTGGTTCATAAAAAATTAAAATATCGGGTCGGTTCGAACCTCTAAAAACCGGTGGTTTGAACACTTTTGTATTCAAACCTACATTTGAATTATGTATAGGGAAAATATTTTTTTTATTTTATCATTAATTTAAAAAAAACATATATAAAACCTTCATTTTTATTAATTGCACATTATAAATATAAAAATATATATCAATGATTAATTTTAATATGAACAATATTTTCCTTTATTTATTTAAATTTTTTTTATTAAGCCGCACAATTAATTTTCAAAATTCAGTTCACTCAAATTACATCTATAATGAGATAGCATAAAATTAATTGTTGAAACATTTTTCCACGCTAACTTGGGTAGCCGGCACTGCCAATGTGATATCAGATTTGATATGTCATTTATAATAATATTTTGGATTTAATTTTTCTCTAAGCATTATAGCTTAAAATATTTAAAAAATGTTGTAAAATAACAATATACTAAAGTTTATAAAAATTATTACCGACACTTAACATCAAATGTGATTGATGATAATCTTTAAAATAATTCGAATATAATTGAAATCTAATAATAACTTACATATTTTTTTATAAGCATAAAATCATGAGACTCGAACCAGTTCAGAGGCATTTTAGAGGTTCGGTTCAGGTATGGCTGGAATTTTTTTAGCAGTTTAGGTTTGGTTTGGATCCCTGGTTGGGAAACCCTTGACCAAATTTTTAGATACCAGGATATATAATTATCAGAATTTTTAAAAATCCAAAGGGTTATGACTTAAGAGTAATAAAGCCAAATAAGGCCATGATAATTTTTATATAAATGGGCCATAATTAATAATATAAAATTAAAAATTTTTTTCTAAAAATATATTATTCGCTAGAGGTCTGCAAATGGCAAAATTTTGAAGCCTAGCCAGGTTGGGTTCTAGCGTTTGCCCGGCCCACCAAATTTGTAGCTGGCCTGGCCCATTTTCAATTTTTTAATAAGGTTTCCCAGCACAACTTTTTTAAATATAAGGCCTAACCCAAAATTTATGTAGCTGAACACCAAAATAAACAAGTATTCATAATATTGAGGAGTGGTTAAATTAAAAACACTATAATTATAGATTTTCACTTCTATTAAATAGCAAAATCATCAATAATCCAGCTCAATAATTTTTTGCCTGACCCTGCCAATTAATTCTTCTGCCCTGCCTGGCCCAAATATTTTAAATGTTACCTGGCCTCAAGTATTGCAGACTTCTAATATCAATGCAGTGCCAATAGTGTATCACTAGCACTATTTATTACTTTGAAAAGTTTACACAAAATTTAAATAGAATTTATAAAAGTGGATTAATTAATATAATTTTAAAAAAAATTGTCTTTAAAATAATTAATATTAAAATATAAAACTTTCTATCATAGGCATATCCAGAATATAATTTTCTATCGGAGTAGGGCATTATTAGATGGGGTTTTTCATCATAAATTTTATTGGAGGTCTTTAGGTCCACTTATTGTAGGCCTTTGCAGAGGTCTTTGTGGGCCTTGATGTTATCACCAAGCTTGACCCAGGCTTGCCATAAAAAAATTTGTAGACATAGCCCAGCCCACATTTAATATTTAAAAAAATTTCCAAGCCTGGCCTAAACTCACAAAGAGTTTTAAAAAATTTCCCAAGTCCATTAAATCATTTTATATATACTTATGCTGAAATAATACTAATGGAAACATAATATTTTATTAGTAATTATATAATATTAATAAGAATGATATCAACAAAATTTTAATCAATTTATTATCATTTAAAAATAATATATTATTATCAATTGCTTTGTCATTTTTAATTGAATAAAAAGAAGATAATTTTATTACAGGATTTAATTTGCATTTATGTCTAAGTGAAGACCCTGCTTTCCAGAAATATGTAAATTAGTGATCTGCATCGGAACTAATCTTTCAAGCCTGTCCCAGTCTAAAATTTTTTTTAAAAAAGTTTTGCCGGCCTGGTCCGAATTTATTTGAATATAGAAATTAATTTTTATAATTACTCAAAATAAAAGACATATGATGTCGTTTAGTTTCAATAAATAAAATCAAATATTATTATTTTACATAAAAAATTCAATATAAAATTGATAAATTTAGATTTATTTAAAAAAAATTCCAAGGTCTGACCAGACCTGGTCCAAATTTTTTTTTAAATATTAGGCTTGGCCTGGCCCAAACCCGATTATTTAAAATAGAATTAGGCACGGGCTTTGGGCCAGGCTGGACTCGGGCCGGGCCTAACTTTACAGATCTCAAATGTAAATACCTGACATTTTTACATTGAACAAATTTTTTGATTATGGGTCTATTAGTATAATAAAATTTTCTCATGATCTTTAATAAATTATTTTCAATTATATTCCTTCCTGCAAATGTAATTTTAAAATATTACTTGAATTTTATTTATTAAAATCTAAAAAATTTAAAATAGTATAAATTATTTTATGTCATTTTTAATTTATAATATATAGAAAGAAAAGGGTTTAATATACCTGTTATAATAAAAAACTTTATTAAAATTAGTATATCTTAAAAATTTATCTCCCAGAAGTTTTAGAGATTGATATATTTTATTTTTTTATTCTATAATAATCATGACTATTACAATCTATTATATAAAGGAGCTACACGTAGATATGTACAAAATATGTTATTATTAATAAAATAGTATCCCTCAAAAAATAAATATTTATCACCTATTTATTTTAAATTTTATAGTTATTGTCAATTATAATTAAGATATACTAGATTTGTGATTTTAAATAAAATAAGCAATAAAAACAAAATTAACACTCAAGGTGTGTAGAATAGTGTAGTGTGATAAATAATATTAATGAAATTATAATGGTTTGTAGTATTAAATATCCTTAAAATAAGCTAAATTTAAATTAAAAAATTTTAGACACAAGCTCAGCCCATTAAAAAGCAAAAACCCAAGCCTGGACAGGCCTGCAATAAATATAATATTAAAGGCATGGCAGCTCTGACCCATGAAGGTATATGGGCCTTTGACTATATATTTTTAAAAAATAATTTTGGATTTTACTTATTTTGTTATGAAAATGCTGTTAAAAATTTTTTTTGTTAGTTTAAGAAATTATTAAATTTTACTAATTTTTCTTTCAAATTTCTTCACGATAGAGATATATTGTATACATGGAGAAGGGAGGGGTGGAACTTTTTATCGGCTTAAAATGATATATACAAGAACAGGCAAATTGATCATTCCTCCACTTGTGTTACACCTCTGATTTTTATTAAGGTATATTATAAGGATTTCGTTCAATACTAACTATAACGCAAAAATACTATAGAATTTTATCAATACAAAACTATAGGTCATGAATAAAATGTGATTAGAATATGAAAATATTTTAAAATGTTAATCATATACTGCCAATAGCTTTCTTATAAAATGTTAATCATATACTGCCAATAGCTTTTTAAAATAGTTTAAGTATTTCATGTCTTACGTTTTAAATATTTTCATTATTAGTGAAGGATTTTAGATTATAATAAGGAATTACATTCATAAATTGATAAGGTAATTATTTTAAAGCATAATGGCAAAACAATTAAAATTAATACTTGTCTTTCCAGATGCATCCAAACCCAGCATTAATATTCTCATTTCTTTACTTCCAAATAATTTGGATAAAAACTTACCCATTATGTTTTAAATTATAAGGTTTTTAAATTTCCAGCATTTAGCTGAGCAGAAATTCACAAAAAATATAATAAGGTTCTTTGATTCATAGATTGTACACGAGGAAAGCTTTATTTTTCATTTTGAATTTTAATTTGTGCTCGTTATAGAATAGAATTAAATCTATCATTATATAAATGTATTTAAGAAATTAAATAAATTGATTATATATTAGTTTTCAGACTTCAAATTAGATACTGATTCAATCGCACTACATACGCACTACATTTTATTTGTATTATGAAAAATCATATATAAAATATTATATACCTTAAATATATTGGGATACATTTAAAGCGATTCCCAAATAAATTGGAAGTATTACAAAGTTTTTTAAGTATATTGTCTAAAAATTAATGCATTTCGTTACTTTCATATTAAATTATAATTTATTTTCTATTTTTTTAAATAAATTTAGAAATATAAAAAAATATTCCGCTTTAACATATATCAAAATTTATAAAAATGAAGGAATATTTACATAATTAATATTTTAAAATAAAAATATTAAATTGTGTTTTTTTATTTGTTTAAATTAACTAATCGGAGTTATTTCACAATACCACTTCTTTTTTTCTCTATTTTTTATACAATAAAATTTTGTAGCTCATTAGTCAATCAAATTAATTTTGATAAGATAGTAAAGAAATTTAAAAATGTCTTTGTGTTTATGATTTAAAAAAAATATTCAAGACGCATTGTAGCTTTTAAGCAGCCATCTAGTGTTTTTAAACGGCTCGTACTCAATATTTTAGCCAAAAAAATAAGCCTTGAGATTTCGAACAGACCTTTGTTCCTTCTATGAGCAAAATCTTCAGGCTTGCGTAATACTGGATAAAATTATTGAGGAAGCGGTTTTTAAAAATCGGCTCAAACCGAACCGTTTAACAACACTACAGCCATTAAAATAAATAAATTGTATATCTTTTGAGTTTTCTGTCATAACTAAAATAAAAATAAAATTGAAGCTTCGAATGAAGAAAATAATTTTATTCACATTTTAACCAATATCTTTATAATCATAGGCATAATCTGGGGCTCTACAAAAATATGTCACTTTTAATGTATAACATTTTAAGTCAATAAAATATCCTCCTTAGTCATATACCTACCCATCTCCTGTCCCCCATGAATTTATTCATATATCTTAAACAATAATTTGAAAGATAGAGTGTAAAAGTTAATAATTTTTGAAACTAAAAATAATTATTATTATATATATTTTGATAAGCATTTAGACATAAATATATTAATGTATATATATATGTGGAATTTAATATATTTTATACAAACTAATAAAAATATTTTTTTTTGTTCCAGATTTAGCTAATTTTTGATACCATTTCGTCCATTTTAAAGATAACAAGTAGTTTTTATTAAAATTAACCTCCTATTCTATTAAAATATATTTTAGCTATATATATAGGCTAGGAAAACAGGGCCGGACTAGATAAAGGAGGGCCGTGGGCCACCCAAAAGTAGGGTCTGGGGGCGTTTTTTAATCCCCTTCTTTAAGAAAATCTTGGGTGCGCTTATGTTTATGATAATGACAATGGTGTCATTAGGAGGAGGCGTACAGGTGCTCGAACCCTTTGAAAAATTTGAATAGCCCTGTAGGAATTTTTTTAATCATTCAGTCACCTAAATAAAAAAAAATATTTGATGGAACAATTTTTTTTTGAATTCTATTATGTATTTTATATAGAATTGATATTATTTATAAAAAATTAATAAATATATAATTTTTTTTATTTAATTAATGCTTTTTTAATTATTAGATTAAAATGTAAATATTTTCACTGTAATTGCAAAAATTATATGTTAAAATGGAATATCAATATCACTCATAATGTCTAAATATTAATCAAGCATTAAAAGTTAAAGCTTAATTTATATAATATAATTTAAATTATATTACAATCCATATTAAATAAATATAATAATTTATTAATTTAAAATAAAATTAATTCAATTTAATATTTGATTTGTGTTTGCCGAATTCCAAATCACGAACAACTATATTACTCATTTTTATATTTAATTTACTATGCCCTGAGATGAATGTTTTTAATATTGGAACTGGAATTAATATTGATTTTAATGATATTTTAAACAAAAGAAGAGGAGACAATGAAGAAGTAGGAGTTCAACAAAGTACATTTAAAATACAGTTTTTAAATTTTAAACCATGCTTTAGATAAAAAAGAAGATTATTTGTAGTTCTGAGAGATATAAATAATGGAAGCAAACAAGGTAAATTAATTTATATATGAAATATTTTGTTTGTAAAATAATAGAGGCTATATATGATGTTGAATCTGATGATATGAACTAGAAGTGGGCACGGGCAGTGAAGTTATACGTGACCCATCGTGTCACGGTGGATCACGGTGTGAGTGTGAATAAATTTTAAATTATTGGGCGTGATGAGCCTTCCCAAAATTTTCCCCAGCGTGATCGGGCATGAACATAAATTTCCCGTGAATCAAAGAAATTTTAATTTTTAAATTGTTTTTTTATAAATATAAATTTGCAATTTTATAATTATAATATATTTTTTCTAATTAAATTAGTTCTTTTCTTAAAAAAGAATAATTTTTGAAAACAAAAAATATTTTGCATTTTATAAACAACATCCGGTATCAAGCTGCTAATTCTATTTTCTTTTTATGTCTAGATGTTTTATCGCGAGACTTTTTGCTAAATTTTGCTTTGGTCATTGCTAATTATCATTTATAACTTTCCTAATTCTTCCTACCTCATAAAAAACCGTATATTCTAAATGAAAAATTTAAAGAATTTCTAGATGATTCTGATGAAGCATCAACATCTATTAAGTGAGGATGAACTTAAAAAATTCATCGCTCATAAGACAAATAACAAGACATATTTTGAAGTTTTGGAAGCAGGATATTCATTTCCTTTTGAGAAAATTAGCGTATAAAATTTTGTCAGCTCCGGCAAGTTCGGCTTCTAGTGAAAGGTTATTTTCTGCAGCCAATCTCTTATTATAGGAAAGGCATACACAATTGAAATAAAAAAGCATGGACATTCTGATTTTTCTAAAAAAAAATATTTATATAATTGTATTTATTTTTTGTTATTAATATGGATTATGAAAGTAGAGAAATAAATATAATAAATTCAAAAAAATGTAAAATTATAGCAATAGTTTTAAAAAATATAAAACACTGTGAATTTTCGGGCGTGACGGGCGTGAATCAAAATTTTGATTTTCATGAGCGGGCTGGTCGGGTCGAAAATTTAGCGATAAGCGTAATTTTTTTGCCACCGTGAGCTGGCGGGCTATGAATAAAAAATTAACCCACGCCCACCTCTAATATGAACTATGACAGTAATAATTTTTTATTTATAGAAATTAGATATAGGCATGGAATCTGATGAGGAAGCTATAAAGTCTGGGTTTTTTTCTTTTAAATTATTTATGACATTTTGTATTATATTTTTGGGGAGAATGGGACAAGGAGATTATATGGGAATCATAATTTATGGAGATATTTATGAAAACTTATAAATTGGCCGGAAAGTGGAGGGGGTTACCCCTCCCTTTGTTAATCCTATGGTTCTAAAAAAATAATTCCTTACCAACACCCTCTGTTAAATTTGAAATAAATCCTAGAAAAACTAAAAATTTCATATTTACTTACTATATAAAAATTATTAAAAAAATACTTTCAATAGTAGCCAAGGTCATAATGAAATATTGAAGAAATTATTCCATCCGAAATGGATAGAAGTATTTTATTTTAAAATAGAATAAATGGTAAATATAGCCAGTCTTAATGTTCAAGAGATTACAGATTAGAATATTAAAAGTAGTCACCATTAATGCTTGTAGCACCTGCATAAAGTTGCAAAAGAATTTGTTTTAAAAGATTTAAAATAATTGTTACAGCGGTCAGATATTAAATATCTTGGTTGGAATCTGAAATTAAAGATTAGATTGATATCATAAATCTCGACAAAATAATTTAATCAGACTGGCCTGGTGAAGAATATTAGATTCAGATCCATTGGCGTATCCAGAATTTTCATAAGGGGAGGGGCAAAGAAATTTGGTAAAATGTGCTATTTATATTTAATGATTCCTCATTAGATTTTTAACAACGGCCAGCCCAATATTTTAGCCAAAAATTATTACCCAAACCTGTAGATTCTGCTCATACTACTAAATCAAAATTAGAAAAAAATAGAGATTCAAATCAAAATTAGCAAAAAAAACGAAATTAAAACTACCCCCCCCCCCCCCGCCACATCGCCCATATGTATGCTTTATTTAAATGATACTATTGTCGTAATTATCTAACCCTTCCAATTTTAAAAACGATCTTGCATTGTGCCCCCTTCCTCCACTGGAGTATAAGTCCCTGGCATCCTTAAATTGTAGTTATAACCTTAACTCATATTCTAAAAGTTATACTAAATATTTTTGAATATGGCTCAAAATATAGATTAAGCCATTTTATAACATATTAACATTTAATATAACAAATCATTCTTTATATTTTTAAAAAAATTCTATCAATGAATTTTTTTAAATAAAATTTATTATGTATAAATTTGACGCCATTTATAGTTTTAAAATTAATCGCTAAAAAGAGAAATCCATTGATATTATTTAATTGTTTATTGATAAATTTTAATTAAGATGATCTTATTTTATAACTCTTAAAAAGTTTTAAAAAATGGTATTTTAACTGAATTTTGCCCCCCCCCCCCCATCTAATATTATATAGGATTCAAGACTATAAGTCTAATATATTTGAATCGAGAATAAGTTAATATTATATTATGTTATATTTATGCATTCTTGTTGCCATTTTTTAAAGTATATAATATTTAAAATTTGATTTCACTGATTATGAATAATGAGCTTATATATACTAAATATATGTATGATTTCGATTCAATTGGCGGTTTTTTCATGTTATGTTTTCAAGATCATTTCTAAAAACCAAATATTTAAATAATTTTTATTTATAAAATAAATTTCAAAATACCTCTTTTTTAAAATATAATATTTCTATAAAAGTTGTAAATTAATTAAGATTAAATTTAGCATTAAAAAAATTAAAGAAAGAACGCATACATTATTTTTATAAAATAATCTTAAATTAAAATTTATTGTAGGAAGACATAATATGATCGTTCAAAATAGAAATAATCATTCACATTTCATCGGGTTGAATTAATGCGCATTTGAAAAAGTGTAAATATGATATATAAATTTTACCTAAATGTGTAAAAATATATTATATTACATAAAGTTATAATTTGTATAAAAAAAGTTATAAAATCAATATTTCGATACGTTTTATAAAAAATACAAAAATTTGGTTTAAAAAGTATAATATTTTAATACCAGGGATAAGAATTTAATTGTACCCAATTTGACCGAAAAGCATGTTATGTGGAAATATTTATAATGAGATCCCATGTATAAAAAAGTCAAGACAAAAATGATTTTAAAAAGAAAATATTTTCCAGCTTTTGGTTAACAATTTTCAACGCATAATTTATAACGTGGCTCTAGAATAGGGATATGACGGCAGTTTTCATGAGCTACTTTCTCATTATTTGATATGTTTACACATGATACAATAGCTTTAGAATAATCTAATTCAATAAATATATAATAAAAAATACAATATAATCACTTTTAAAAAACACATATTATAATTTATAATAAATAAAATCCTTAGTTTGAATGAAATGGGTTATTTAAATTAATTAGTCCAGGTAAAAACCTTTATGACATCCAGGCTTGCATGGGGTCCATGACACCAATATCCAGCTAAACTTTATACCTAACTTATTTCGATGTAATATATCATTATTCGAAATATCATTATTGTTGTCCTGCATTGATTTTGACCGGGAAGTATTTTGATTATTATTACTATTATATAAATAATTATTATAATTCCCATGATTCCTATGTAAAGAAGTGGTTGTGATTTCGTGTGCCACTGGACTAGTAGTCTTTGTATAATATTCCACAGAAATTCTGACCTTTTCTTTGGGATTCATTACGACTAACTAAATAACAAGAATATATTCATTAAATTATAAAAGGTACTAATTTACGTATAACATTAGATTGTTGTATAAGGGACCATGACTAGTTGTCATAACGATATCAGGGCTAATAGATTGCATATCGAAAATATCCTGTCCTAATTTCACGCTAAGTGATTTAGTGAATTTCTGAGGTATTATTTTAGAAGCCAATTCATTCCTTAAGGCTAAAATAATTTAATTATAATTTATACATGAGTACATATATATATATATACATGTACAAATAATTTTTCCAAACAGTTAATTATATTACCCAATGTATTTGAGTGCTTGACGAATGAGATCTTTATATTAGTAGATAATTGAGGTATTTTTAGCAAAGTTCTATAACCTTTACAATTTAAATATATACATAATAATTTATTGTGAATAACTTATTTTATTTTAAACCTGTTATTTTTGAGGAAACATAAAGAATTCTCTTGAATTTCTTACAATCATTACTTATCCCTCCACATATACCACAGGAGTCTTTTGTTATCTTAGAACCAACTACACCATCACAACCAATGGGCTATTTAGATATATTTTGGGTTATTTTAAATTCATTAGTTATAGAATTTAACTCTATTTCTTTTCTCTTTTATAATTTATCTATTAATTTATTCCTCTCACTGATTGATCTGTTTATTTTAGATTATATGTAAATATTATAAATTTACTTGACATTTCCCTCTAAGGCAAATGCGAAGATCATCAGAATCGTAGTTGTTTGATTTCCCATTCGAACTACAAATAAAGCCATCAGGAGCATCAATGCCGCGATGATTGCATATTAATTTGCAAGAATTTTCCGGGGAACGCTCAATTTTAGAACCTATGATTATAAATTTTATTTATTTTGTCTAACTTATTAAATTTATATATTATTTCTAAAAATTATTGATAAATTAATTTTAAAAATAAAATTTAGATATCATATAGTGTATTCTAATATTGTCTAAAATGTATAAAATTTACAAAACTATTATATTTTTATGAGCAATTAGTCAAGAAATATTACAGCTGTAAGCAATTTTTTCCAGGTGATTAGAAAATCGCGTGTTTCTGTTTCGACTAGGATTGATACTAAGCTTATCAGACAAGCAAGGGACTATAAAGTTTTCCATTCTTTGAGGAGAAGTGCATAATTTAAATAGATTAGACTGTTCATCGTTAGGAGCAGGGCACGCTTTACTGAAGATAAATATTTAAAGACATAAACTCTTTTATAAAAATATTATACCGGGCGAATAAAAAGTTTTAGAAATTTAATTAAAGTAGCAATACCTTTTATTGCATACTATTTTCCTATGTGCCAAATAACTGAAACAAGGATCGTGATGCTCATTGATTGGACATGCACTCCATTCACCCCATAGCCATGTATTTCTTTGTAAATCTTTAGCACATTATTTTTATATGTATACGCTATATTTAAAAGGATTTGGGTGCCTCCTTTCTATAAATTTTTAGGGTTGTATTTTTTTAAAAATAAATTTGGTTTTACAATTTTTTTTTAAATTTTTTTTCAGAAATTTTTTTTATTAATTATTTTGTAAAGTTTATATCTCATTTTTAGTCACATAATGTCCTCTTTCAAAATTGTAGAAAAAAAGTCACTATAATTTTAAAAAGATACATGTGACTAAAAATAAATTTATATACTTATTATTTTAAAAAATTATTGTATATAATTTACCCATTATTATTCCATTTTTAGGGATAGGGGTGAGAATTATGATGTTTAAGAAACTTACAAATTTTTAATGGGTTCCTAAAAAGTTGGGTGATAGGGAATAAGATATAAGCTATATTATATTTTATAAATAAAATTGGCAGGGCGTTGATAATTAAATATTTAAAAAAAACTACAATATATAATTCTTTATTCTAAAAAAGGAAAATGATTATATTACTTTGATCAAATGTAAGATATTGTGACCTGCCGGCATCGTGTTTTGATTTGTTGTAAAGAGAGATCTTATTTATTTCTAAAAATAAAACAATCTTTAAACAATATCGTTTGAATTTCAGAACATCTATAGGTGTCTAGAAAGTAAACTAAGATTCTATGTGTAGTGAACTAAATAGTCCACGTGAGCATAAAAAAATTAATTAGTAATTATATCTGATTTTTTTAAAAAAATAGTTATTTTTATAATATAACCTGATTGTTTATATTCGCTTTTGGTAATAATGGAATTCGAAATAGTTTCTTCTGGTGGCATTATGCCTTTAACTTCCATAACCCTTTCTTGAATGTGCTGTCTTTCAATAGCCCAAGTATCCGTTGTGCATTCCCTTCTTTGACACCACTTAAATTAGACAATATTGAGGGTAATAAGTTAGAAACTTAAAAAAATGAAGCCTTTAGTTAATAACTTATCTATTTACTGAAAATAAAATAAATTTTTTCAATATAAATTCAACTCTCAATTTTGAATGTCTCAATGGCATTATTATTTCCAAGAATGAAAGTAATATTAGAGCCCAACACAAATTTCCAGGATTTTATACCAAACATTCATCTATCCATCCTTTAATAATCCTGAATCACTAACCAGTTAAGATGTTAGAAGCAATGATATCATTTAAGAAAGTCTCTTCTTGTGGCATTGATGGCTTTCGGAGCCATATACCTACAAATTTTAATTAAACTCTCGATAACACCATATGAAAATCTACTATCACAACTTCCGGGTTGTTAAATCTACTTTTAAAAGTAGCACGCTATCGCTACCGCTATTTTACAAAAAAGTAGCGCTACTTTTTAAGCTATTTTAGAATTTTTTTTAAAATATGTTTTACATCTCTATTTCCATAATATAAAAAATATGACTAAAATTTCAAACATTTATATAATTTTTTTTTATTGCATCTCAATAATAATAGTAACATTTTCATACTATCATCTCTAAGTCTAAAGCGATGATCAGAAAGTATAAGCTATGACTAAATAATCGTTCAATACTATCACTTGAGAGCAATGCAGTATTAAATTTGATATACATATTTTTTATATAAGAAAAATCATCAAAAATATATATTTGAGTATTTTTAGTTTCAAAAAAATGCATCTAAATGATTCAATAGTATTATTATTTCATATCTAAGGTGGTATTTTTGATGTGGCTAGGGTGTCTAAAGTTAAAATAGTAATAATTTGAATAAAAATTATGCAGGGGATAAGTGGATGGTCATGTTTGCTAAATAGTCAGGCAACCAATATTTAACTTTTTATCTATTGAACCAATTTCTCTCGTTAAAATGTGAAAGGTGAAATAAGTATTTAGTGGTTAGTTACATCCAAATAATAATTTATAAAATATTATCATTAATAGATGAGTTTGATGATAGAATGAAATGTTAATATTGATTATTAATTGTAATTTAAATTTATAATATATTTCTTGAATAATATTTTATGGCCAGAAACATACCATGTTTGAACTGGGTAGGAAAATCAACTTTCACATAAACTCATCTAGCTAAAAAACTATTATAGATACAGATTTGATTCAACTTTTATTTTAAGGATTGGGTTACATGTTGATATTAAATTTGTTTGATATATCACTTTTACTGTTTCCTAGTTAAAACTACTAATCTTGTATGATGATAAAACCTTCCGTCACATCTTACAATAAAATTTATACCCCGTGTCAATTTTTTTTATCGAGATTATAATATTTTGCGAATTCAAGATAAGGAAATTCCATATTATCATCATTTTCCAGGAGAATTAATTTATCGATATGATCTATACCAAAATTATCTTCAGTATCAATTTCTATGGTTGACAATTTAAATTCTAAATTATTTTGAATAGTGTTGTTAAACGGCTCGATTTGAGCGGATTTTTTAAAACGGCTAACTCAATATTTTATCCAGAATAATATTACGCAAGCCTGAAGATTTTGCTCATAGATAGCACAAAAGTCTAGACATTTATTAGCGAAGTCTCGAGGTTTGGAGAATATTTTTCTGGCTAAAATATTGAGTTAGCTTTTTAAAAAATCTACTCAAAACGAGCCGTTTAACAACATAAAAAAATCATGATTTTAGAATTAATTTTTAATATATTTTAATAATTTTTATGTGTATTTATTATATAAAATTGAAAGTAGCGAGCTACCGCTATCACTAATTTTTTAATTGTAGCTACTTTAACAACACTGTACAAGTACAACTTACAATATTACTCAATCATTTTTTTTACAATAATTTATCATTCAATTAGACCTATATTTGAGTCTCTCTATAATTTTAAGCAAAAGATGGGGACTCAGATCCATGGTCAGTGTTCCGACAAATAATTTCTAATATATTTCGGATAAAATTCCGCTTGGCCTATCTATTAAAACCTAATCAGCATGCATTTAATATTCCTGAAGGATTAGAATGCTATATCTTCAGGGATCTATGAAATACTTTTAACTCATTTAGAATGGAATATTTTATACCGTTTTTCTGTGAAACCTTTCCAAAATATACAACTCTCAGCAAGTTATATTTTAAAATTTAATAATTAATAACTCAATCATTCTCTCGGTATTCAGAAAAGAAATTCGCTAGGTCCTGCATTATTTTGTCAAAGCATAAATTAGTCATAATAAATAATATCTCCAAAAATAGTGACCTTAAATTGAATGTTTGGTATCTAGATGATGATACTCTAGCTTTACCTTACGATGAGATCATAAAAATACCTGCAATCAAAATCGTTTAACCCCTAACCGGGACTATTAAAGCGATGCTCACCTTTAGAATTAGATAGTTAACAAAACTCATAGGCGTAAAGATTTTGCAAGGGGGAGGGGAGGTGTACTATTTGGCTAATTTTTTCCCTATAAATTTTATTGGAGGACGTAAAGTCCACATATTACAAGCATTTGGCTATGTTATATTTTCTAAAGAATAATCTTTGGTTCTTTAATATTTTAAAAATTTTGAATTATAGCCATTATTTTAAAAATTATTATCTTTATTTTACATTTCAATTTAATGTTTATAGTGATATATACCTGCAGAGATATGATTTGCATGGCCTGGCCTAGATATTTTATTTCAAAATTCGGGCCGGGCCTATCCGGGCTTAGGACTATTCCTGCAGGTCTGGAAATTTTAATGGGTTTAAATGATATTCATAAGGATAGATGAATTTCAGAAAGGGGGGTCCCCTCTACGTCTGACGGGGATAGACCTCTGACCCTCTAGATATCAATTGGTATGAAAATTTGCAAAATGACATTATTTTTAGAATACTCATGATCTCTATAACTAGCCTATTTCGTCCAATTTATAAATCCCAAATCCCAATTTAGAAATTTAGAAATCACAATTCTTTTTTAATTGTGCAAATTTTACTTTTAATTAACAAATTATTATTGAAATTTTATATACTGAACAAAAAATATTGACTAATTTTGTATTTAATACTGATATCTGAATATACCAATTATATATTCATTTTATACTAGTAAAAATCAAAAGATATATACCGATCTATAAAATACTATGAACTTCATGAAAAGACTGAAGGATTTACTTATTCGTCAAATAATATACTAAAAATTATTCTTTGATAAAAATAATTTACCATTTGATGTCCACATGTTGAACCAGCTAAAGGTGAAAATCCTTTTGTACGGCATATACCCGGGATATGAATGTGACTGCACCACAACCTGTCACAAGATACAGGGATGATCTTATGCCTCTAATAAAATGTAATATATTACAACCTTATATTCCTTTCAAAAAACAGTTTAGATCACAAGAGCTATATTACGTTTATTTCGTTCGAATAGCAAGAGTAATATACAATCTAAGGTTAGCCTCAAACTTAGCGATATTACGCAATTTCGTTTGTTAACATAAACTTATTTGAAAAGAAATTCTCCAAAATTTAGCCCGACCTCAAACTAAGCTATTTTTTTTTTAAATATTGAGATCGAAATAGTAAATAAATTACTTGAATTTAATATGTTAGCTTTATTTTATTAAATAAGAGTGAATATGTTATATTTAAATTTAATATAAAAGGAAGTAAACAACGGATGTTTTTTTGCTTGTAATGAAATGAAACTAAAAAAGGATTAGTAAATAACTAAACCTAAACTATCATGTTAAATGCTTTAAAAAAATAAGTATATGCTTAAATTGAATAAATCTTTGTAATCTATTTTATTATTATATTATGTTTGTGTTATTTTTCAATTAAAAAGCAACTAAATTATAATAAAAATATTCAATTTATAACAATAAACATAAAAATTCAATTATATTTAATATGATGGTTTAAATTTAGTTAATTACTAACTCCCCCTTTTTTTTACTATATAAATGTATTTCTAAAAAATATTTATCAAAGTATTTATATTTTAATTTGATATATATTGTTTTATATTTAAAATACATTTCAGTGTTGTGCAGATATAATTTAAAACAGTTCCAATATTTTTTAATTCGTTTGTAAATAAAATTATTGTATATTCAAATACTTTTTTTAAAGTGTATGTATTTATATTTGAATCTGTTTTTTTAATTGTTAAACCCTATACTGCCCAAACCAAGATAATAATACCAATGAAGGTTATGTATATAGTTATAATTTTTTTCACTATTTCGATTATTTATAATGAAGAATAATCAGTTTAAATGTTAGTTTACCTCTTAAAAAATAAATAAACTCTTAATAATTGCATGCAATTTTATTCTGAGATTAAAACTCACGCCCGCGTTATCCAGTCTCACCATATTATAGGTTTTATTAATCATAACTTAAAAAAAATACACTGGGCACCATGATCAGGGTTGCCATGTCTCCCCCCATCAGCGGGAAACTCCCGTAATTTTTTTGTTTACACGTAGACATCTCTTTCCCGCAAAACTACCGCAATTGGAAATCTCCCGCAAAATTCTACCGCAATTTTTTTTTTAAAATATTTTAACATTTTTAATATAAAGTAATAATTTTGAAAGACATTAATTGATTATTTTTATATTTTTAAAATAAATTTTAAATATTTTTTATAAAAACATGTCTAGTTTGTAAATTTCTTTCTATCCTGTTTCATTTTTATCCAATAATAAATCAACATCATTTCATTCATATAAGTCAGTACAGGGGAGTTAATCAACATCGATTGCAATACAAAAATATTCTCAAAAATAATAAATAATACAGATGCAACTACATTTGAGGAAATCGTATACATCTATCATGTAGTTCAACATTCACAGAGCTATATCATCACAATGTGGGTCGAATCTTTTTCTCATGATATTTAAAGACTCCAATATAAGTGCAAACTTTATTTGTGGCAGAACAAAAATGAGCACGGCTATCACAAGTATTTTAGTACCTGAATCCTAGAGGTCAATTCTAGACGATTTGAAAGATGGGCATCCATATGCAATTTTAACAGATGCATCTAATAAGGGAAATTTTAAAACATTTCCCTCTATCCTTAGCTATTTCAAGAAGAATATAAACATTTCAAAAAAACTTAAAATTTTTTCCTCGGATAGTGAAAAATTAAACGATGTGACTAGCCACATAATGGTAAATATAGCTGATTCAGGGTCATCAATGATTTGCATGTCAGCATTCTGCGTTGATAATGCATCTGTAAATTTTGGCAAAAACCAAAGTTACCGAATTGAGGCAGCACAATAATGAATTAATATCAATTGGCTGTATATGCCATATACTATATAATTCTTGTAAGAGGAGCTACGAAATTTATCTATACCTATCAGGTGGTTGTCATTAATACCTGCCATCGATAGAATTTTGAAATTGTACAAACCCTTAAAAAAATACTTCTTAAATAAAGATTTTAAAAGCTGTCCTAAAATTTTGAAAAATTTTTTCGAGTATGAAATGGCAAAAGCATATTTGGGATTCGTTTCACATAAAGGAAATCTACTTCATTCAGTTAATATTCAGTTGCAATCAGAATATTCTTTATTAAAAAGTTTCACAAAATCATGCTACAGCTCTGTTCATCTCTACAGTTAAAAATTGATAATAAATTTTATGGCGCTATTGCTAAAAATATTATATTAAAATGTTCAAATAATACTCTAATTAATACATTTTTAAATGAAACAGATATTTTTATTAAGACAATTTTAGATTATTTACAATCAAAATTTGATTTTAATAACTCTATTTACAAATGTATAAATATTATGACCTTGGAACAAAAACCATCAATTGATGGTTTTTATAATTTAATAAATATATTAAAAATACCCAAAGACATTGATTTCTTGTTTGAGGAGATTGTAATTCTCTCTATTTTTTATGATTCACTAAAATACTTAAAGTTAGATGGTCTAAAAACAGAGGAGAAATAGGTAAAATTTTTACGTAATAACGATAAATCCCCATGCTTGGAAAAAATATGCGAGTATGTCTTCTCCTTACCTCATTCTAATGCCTCATCTGAGCGCATTTTCAGCCTGATGAGGACTGCCTGGGAAAAGGAGAGAAATCGGATTGCTTTAACAATATTAGAGGCCGAGCAAATATATAATATGTCATGCCAGGAATTTTATAAATATCTCAATAACGACGGTAAACATTTAGTTCTATTATTTAAATCTCAAATAAAATATATTTAAGTTTTAGCAATGGCGCCATAAAATTTATTGTCAAATTTTAACTGTAAAGATGAACACATCTGCAGCATAATTTTGTGAATCTTTGTTAAGATTCTTCTGATTGCAAATAAACATTAACAGCATGTAGTACATTTCCTACAGTTGAAATCATTCCTAAATATACCTCTGCCATTCATTATTGAAAATGTTGGACAGCTTTTATAATTTTTATTTAAGAAATATTTTTTTAAAGGTTTATAAAATTTTAAAATTCTATCGATGGCAGGTATTAGAAACATATCGCAACCAAAATTGTGCTGACTCAATTCTGTAAATACACTCTGTTTTTACCAAATTCACTGAGACATTATTAGATAGATCAGAAAGCTGACATGCAATTTATAGATAATCTCGAATCTGCTATATTTATTACCATTATATAGTTAGCTATATCTTAAGATTTTGCACTATTTGAGGGGAAAAAATTTAATAGTTTTATTAAACAACCTTAATTTTGTTGAAATAACGGAGGATCAATATTTCCCTTTATAGATGCATTTGTTAGAATTGCATATGTGTTCCCATTTTTCAAATCGTCAAGAATTGACCTCCTGGATTTAGGAACATTGATGATAGCCTTGCTCAATTTTGTTCTACAAGTATAGTTTTCATTTATATTTGAGTCGTTATGGGAAAAAGATTCTACCAACATTGTGATGATAAGTATCTCTATAAATGTTGTACTACAAGATAAGTGATTACAGGCGCGTAACCAATGGGGGGGAAAGGGGGAAATTTCACCCCCCATAGCAAATTTGACTGTTTTTCTAAATATTATTTTAAGATAATAAAAAATTTTACCCCGACCCCCGGACCCCCTCCCCTATGCCCCAACAAAATTTTTCAATATCAAGCAGAGTTTATCCTTACTGCTAGTTGCATTAATAAATTATTTTCCTATAGCTCAATACTATGTAGAAATTTACAAAAACCAAATTTCAATTTGGTTCAAGATATTGATTTGGAGGAAAATGTGGACAGGAAGAATGAATGTAGTTGAATATTTCATAATATTTATATAGACATTGAATTAAATCTTATAAAATATCCAATTTCATTCCATTCTTAGATACTTTTTTATCGCAAATTAAAGTACGGTTTTTAGATAAAAAACAAGTCTTTGGTAATCTTCAAATTTTATTACCAAAAGACCCTTCTTCGTTTTCTGATGCCATTATTGGTATAATTAAATATTTAGCAAAATTTTATTCCTATGATGTTGATACTGAAATCAATTTAATCAGTGAATTCGAATTGTGGTATAAATATTTACTACGTTTATTATTTTACCTGAGCATGCTATTGATGCGCTCAATCGGTATAAGGAGGCTTAATTTATTTTGAAGGTATTCTTGCATGTTTGCCTATTACAACATATACGAATGAAAGGACCTTTTCCAAATTGAGAAGGTTGATAACTTATTTACAAAATACTACTTCTCGGCTAAATGGGTTAGCTATGTTAAATATCCACAGAGATTTATTTCCAACGACAAAGAAAATTCTTGATGAATTGGAAAAATTCCCACGCAAATTAAAAATCGCATTATAATTATAGTATTTAATAAATTTTTTATATAATATTGTATTTAATAAGTTATAAAAACTTGTTCTTTAAAAAATTTTCTAGTCAATATTTTATACTCACTACAATTAGAATTTTCAATAAAAAAAATTTTATATTTATATTATATGAGAATTTAAGCTGAGGCTAGTTTTTAAAGCAAATTTTATAAAAAAAAAATTGACACTAAACTTTATTTCAATTTTATATTTTTTTTAAAAAATTTATCTATAATATACCTAACTTAAAATAAAAATTGGGTTATAACTTTTATTTCTTCTTATATTCATAAGCGCGAATTAGTAATCAGGAGACCCAAAAGAAAGCGACTACTTACGTCAACGCATAGGAATTCAGATTATAAAATCTAATTTTACACGCCATAGGTTCATTCCCCGAGGAGCCGATTAATCTAGATTTTCTTCTTCTTCCCTAAATTATTTAACCCCCCCCCCCCCTTATTCTTCATATAATCATTTGCATTTATTATATTTCTATTATATCTATTATTATACTTTGTATTATGAAGTCCTTGTTTATTAAATTTCTTGAATTTTCTAGAATTATGTTTTAGACAGGATTTTATTTTTATACTATCATTTTGTCAGATTTAATTTGTCTTTATTAATAAATGTTAAATTTAAAAATTAAAAAAAAAATTTCTTAAATAATTAATTTATAAAAGGAACCAAAATTCAAATAAAAATTAAAAATATTAATATAATTATTATTGAATTATGAATAATTTAAAAGAATAGATCAAAGATATGACCCGGCCGAAGGTGAGGAAAAAGCTGGCCAAAGGGGGTTTGGAGGCTAAGCCCCCCAAAAAAATCCCCCTCCCCCTATAGGAAAATCCTGGATACGCCACTGAGTGATTACAATATACGCAACTGTAGTTGCATCTGTATTATTTCTTATTTTTGGAGTACCTTATGTATTTAAACGTGATACGTGATAATTAAATACCTATAATGTTACACACACACACACGGTAGATTTCCAATTTCGGTCGATTTGCGGGACATTCGTATAAATTATGTTTTTAATTGTAAAATTAAAATCGTTTTTTTAATAAAATTTTATCTTGTTTACATTCTTTTATATTTAAAAAAAGATCGTTGGTTTTTTTTAAAAATTAATATATTTTAATAAATCAAGATGTTATTTTACCCCCCCCTTCTCCACCCCCCCCCCCCGAGACCAAGTCACACGTTATCGACTTTGTATTTATAAAAAAAAAATTTAGCAATTTTTATATTTCTGCCGCAATTTTCATATTTCTCCCGCATAATACGAAATTTCTCCCGCAATTGAAAATTTTGACCTGGCAACCCTGACCATGATTATGAATATCAATATTTTTTTAATATAGCATATAATAATAGTTAAAGAATATAATTCTTATTATTTACCATTCTACAATGCTCGAATTCTTTTCCAAACTCTAATTGACATTGATTGGTAGGATCGTACCGTTTACCTAATTCAGTTAAGGAGAAATACTCGTAATGCTCGCGATTAGCAGTGGCATCTTTCAAACAATGAAACGAGCTATGATAAATTTGATTTTCACATTAAAAATATTAATATTTTTGCAGAATTGGCAAGTCAGACAATTGATCAGTCAAATAAGATCAATTTACCTATACCTGACCAGTTAAATATGGTTAAATACTCAGTAATATTTATTTTTGGGATTAAATCTTCACATAGTTATGGTTATACACTTTGATATAATAAAATAACATTTATAAACAGTTTCACTATGGGTCATCTGCCTTAGAAATGAAACCTTACCAAATCTGACCCCTAAAAAAACTATATTAACAAAATTAATGATCCACTTTTTTGCAAAATAATTTTTTTTGACAAATGAATTCCTCATAGTCCTATATTTGCACTATTAAAAATGCGAGAAATACTTTTTTAAAATGCTCTCCTGAAAATTTTTCTAGAATGAATATAGAACATTATAATATTCAGCCGACGAATTATAGTATAGTTTAAATCTAATGAAGAACTGAATCAAAATGAAAACCTCCTACTCAACTTAAGTGACAGTATTTTACTAAGTAAATATTATCACCCTATTTTACTTTTGATTAATCATAACAAACTCTGTATACTATTTAAAAAATAAAAATATGATAAAATTTTTGCAAAGTCGCAAGCAATTTCACAATAGTAAAATCCTTATAATTCATAAGTGTTGAAAACGGGTAGTCCTATTTAATTCACGAATAGGAGAGACTAAAGTCCCCATTAATATAAGTATTTTTTAAAGATTACCACTTATATTACGAAAACTAGGTTTTTTTTAGGATATTTTAAAAAAATTTTATGAATTTTTTAAACCTTATAATTACGTCTTCGATCCAATCTTAGCGAGGCCTTAAAAAAATAATTGGACCGTATAAGCGTATATATAATATATCTTTAAGCGTTGCTAATATAAACTTTAATAATTCATGCATTCCTCGTATACTGCATTCAGACCAGTGAAATTCTCCAAAACTTGCACTCAAAAATGGGGTCATTATGGTGTTGATCGAATAGCAACTATTATCGATGCCGTCATGTCCCAATCCCAATCTATTAGAATAATTAACGCGTTTAAAGATAGGGATGGTAAAATCATGATTTCATTTTTATAAAAAATAGAATTTGACTAAATTTCATATTTTAAAAAAACCGATTAGATGAAATTTCAATTTTTTTTGTTTGTTTTAAATCAAATTTTATAATAAGTTAAAAATAATTTTAATTAATCCAGAGAATAATTATTCCTGAGTCCTGAGACATATTTATTAATAGAACCTACATACATTTTATGACGATATTAAACATCTGTTTTCCTATGAAATTTATGAATAAAAAAAGGAATATTGAAAATGATTAAAACGTATTTTATCATAGATTTAATGTTAAATATTTATATTAATTTTATTAAAGTACACTGATTCTGAGTATATATTTTTTAGTTGACATTTTATAACTAGAATTTGGTTATATAGTGCATCTGAATTAATTAACCATAGCATGTCCTTTAAATTTAAACAATAAAAATAATTTTTATAGTTTATAATATAAAAATAAATTAAGGAATAAGGATTAATACAAACATATAGAATTTTTATTATAATAAAATTTACTTATATGCAAAATATTATAAAAATGAAAATATATTTTCACTATCATCCTTATTCCTTTAGCTAGTAAAAGCCACCTTTAATTAAAGATTATTATAGCTCGTTCAAAGTATGTTTCCATTTTTTCCTTTCCGCGTTATAACTAATATCTAATTGAATACTTTAAAAAATATCTTTGCCTTAATTTTTATAAAAACTGTTTTTAAAAAGCCATTATAACTATACTAAAATATATCAACACTATATATATAATTATAAAATCTTTAATAGATTAGGGTCCATTTTCAAAAAATTCCTCTCCACAGAAACATTATTCCTTACACGTGTGCGATCTCGTGAGCTATAACGATGGCCGAAGAAAATCCGCTATCTTTATTGATCGTGCACTTAAAGGATGAATCGCAAAGACTTGCCAGTGGAGCCAAGCCAGCCGGTCCAAAATCATCTCTCGTTATAAAAATCGCCGCATCGTAAACCGGCCTATGCCCTTTCCTCATAGCGTACACGGAATTTATTTTCATGCACACATCTTGGATACTCTCCCTGGGTCTTGATTGATGGATCAAATATCCCTTTTTTAGTTTTAAAGTTGTTTTTTTTTGTTTTGTGTAATTCAAAAATTTATGTTACATATTTATGTAATTCCCAGGAAAGAATATTCGGAGAGACCATGGTTATGGTGAGCCCCAAAACAAGTGTAAAAGTAAAACTTTACTTGATCTTCTAACAAATAATGTCTCGGCATTGACTTAATTTCCTTATAATAGGATTACATTTCAATAAAAAAAATTTTTTAAGTAATTTTTTTTAAATAAAAAAGATAAAAACTTTCCCAAGTTTTTTTTTCTTTCTTAAAATAAGCTAATATTTTCTATAAAATTAATGGGGTTTTTTTCTCTTGCCCTGTAGAAGATAGTTTGTTTATCATCAAATGTTTATTACTTTAGATTTTCAAATGATTTTTAAAAGTTAATTTTAATGGTTTAAATTTAAATCCTGAAGTTGTTGTAGCCAGAGAATTAGATTATTTCATATCCATTTTTGTCACCAAATATTTATAAAATAAATTAAATTTTAGCCAATATTACATCATCATATTAAAAATAATAGAATAATTTAAATTGCTCTCCTGTAAAATTAGAAAAACTGGAAATGGAATAATTATTCTCATGGGAAGAAGAGTGTAATTATAAAAAATTTATATGTTGTCCAATAAAAAATTTCTTAACCACATAATACCATTTTTTTCAGTGCAATTATTTCTTTATTTGAATGATAGCATATTTTCCATATTTTAGTTTTAAAAAAATTAGCCCTTAGGCCGCATTCTTCGATTTAATTTGTGACCTAATACAGAATTTTATTCACAATAGCAAAGCAGCCTAGCCAACATTTTTTTATTATTTTTTTAAATGATCAATTTTGACATTAGGTGTTGAAATTTTAAAAGTTATTGAATTTAAAAATTGCTATTACGAACAGATATATTTTTGAATTCTTAAAAGAAAAGACGAGCCGCCTAAAAAGGAAACAGCAACATTTATAAATTTGTAGCCTCCCCTCACCCCCTACTGTTAAATTTTCAACATTATTTCGTTCTTTTTTCTTAAATTGAATTTTCATTTCATACCCTTAAAGTTATAGTAGTTGAAAACAATGTTATATGCGAGATGTAATTAATATTGCAACTATAAATGTTATAATTTCAATTTTTTTCTTCAACGTCAAAGTTAAAGAGATTCTTTCTTCCTTATTAAATACCTATAATTTTTGGCTGATTTTTTAGACATTGTTTAAATTTGATATGAAAGTAAATGCGGGGTAACAAAGTATCCAAAGAGAGACTTCTAAATATTTTCTTTAATAGTGAATGAAATTTAAAAGTCTGTAATATCTTGTTTGCGAATTTGAAATGCAAAAAGAAATATTTTATATTTATGCATTTTAATAGGCCATAATCTAAATTTCATAAATTTGCGATATTACAAATAAAACTTTTAATCTATTAAAAAATATCGATTCCTATGTATTCCGCAAATTTAATGAAGCATTTGCTTCGTTTTCATACCCCCGCCGGCACAGGAGCGAATGTTGTTAAACGGGTGGATTTCGCTAATTTTTTAAAACGTCTAAATCAAGATTTAAGCTTAACCTTGTGATTTCTCCAATAGATGTCAAAACCTTTTTGCCATCTATGAGCCAAATATCCAAGCTTGCGTAATATATTTTTGACTAAAATTTTGAGTTAGCCGTTTTTTTTTAAATAGGCTTTGATCTTGAGACAAACCAATTATGTATGGGTGCCAATCCTGCTTTCATTATAAACAATAATGCCGTTTAACAAAACTAGCAGGAGCCACCCATAAACCCAGGCTTATTATAAAACTGACCACCTTTTATTACAAATAAATAAATAAATATATATATAAATATTTTATTTTTCTTATAATTAATTTTTTTATTACCAGGGATTCTTCTAGCAAGAAAATTTCCTTTACAACTACGTTTATCCTGATTATCATACTTTTGTCGTTGAATATTTGATTCACCTGAATTAGAATTAAAATAATTTATTGCGAGGATATAATAATGTATCGACTTTTCCTAAAGTGGCCTATTCTCACGTTGATCCCAACTAGAGCCCTCTGTCCTGTACGGCCTATTTTACAGGTCATAGAAATCAGATCTCGATTGAGTTCCAAGAGAATGTTACCCAATGCAACGATTGGGTTCAATGGGACAGATTCATTTTGGGCTCTAGTCCAGTTTTTATGTCCATAATAAAAAAACTATTTAAAAAATTAAATATTATCATTGATAAATAAAGCAAGGTTTCACCATTTTCATCAAGAATAAGAGGTAGGAATGAACGAAATCTTTTCCGTGAAAGTGTTGAACAGTTAAATCTGCGGCCACAATTACTTCTAACGTTTTATGGGCTAGAGGAGCTCTGAGATCCCGCGATCTTCTTCCCGAAGATCTAGCTTTATTAGAATTAACATGTAAAGAATAGAGTAAAAAATTTTTTTTAAAAATGGGAATATTGAGAAGACTAATTAGGAAGATCTATATTATATTCGGTCGTCTGTTCAGATAAATTTTTTAGGCTGGACCTGGTTTAAAAAAAAATCCTTTTCAAACCTGATCCGGTATTTAAATATTTTTTTCGGGCCCTATCTTGTTTAACGCCAAGCATGGATCGGATTTTTAAAATTTAATCCTTCAACCCTTATTTTAATTAAATTTGCTGTTTTTTTTAAAAAAAAATTTTGAAGGGAAATAGAAAAATATGAGCAGAAAATGAATGTTATAGTGCTATAAACGTTACTTCAAAAAAGAACCACGTTACTTGTTACATCTGAATAAAGGAACACGTTACCGTTACTCGTTACCTTGTGAAAAAAGGACGCGTTACTGGCTATTCAAAAAGTAACGGGTTACTCGTTATTTAAAAAATTAAATATTAAAAAATTTCCCCATATATATATAAATAAAATATGCAAAAAATAATTATCTTTTTATAATAATTTTTTTATATATAATTTATAAATAAAATAATATATTATATGATAAGATATTTTTGTAATAATTTTTTATTTATTTTTTAACAATAATTGATTTTTAAAATTTTGATCAGATAAAAAGAGTGCTTTGTATTAAACAAAGCTTTGACTGTCCTAAATACAAGTACAACTGGTGTAGAGGATGGGAGGATTGTATTATATTAGATAAATAAAAATTTTAATGGGGGATTTTATTAAAAATTAAAGAATAATCTTTATTTTAACATGATCAAAAGATACATTAGAACCTCATCCAATTTTTAAAAATCTTTATTAGAAAATAATCTGTACGTGTGTTGTTTTCAAGTCTGCCTTTTCTTTGTCAAAATCTTTTCTCAAACAAGAAATAAGTTCAAGCTTCCTTCTTATGCTGACATTTAGTTTTACGAGGGCCAATCTGATTTAAATAGCGGGTGAATTGTTGCTGATAACATATATTCAATTGAAATAAAATAAAATACTATCAAAATATAAATTATGAACTATACTTCAACTGTATACCTTTAAATGTCCTACAGAATTGCATTAATAAGTGGTTACAAAATGAAATTATTTAAAGCCATTTTTTAAAATAGTTATAGTGGGAGTAAAATTTCTCAAATGCATTTTTTCTTCGCTCTCTAAAATCGAAAGAGCCGTATGAAGAAGGTTCAATAACCTATAAAATCATATATAGCCATCAATATTCACATTATCTGAAAATCTTTGTAATTTGGATTAATCATAAGATTCGTCAAATCCATTCTCCTTAATAAGACTATATTAATTTCACGGAGTTATAGAAAGAGTTCCAAGGTTAACCAGATATCTTATTTTCCCTTTAATGGCTGCACAGTTTGGAGGATGCCCATGTTTTTCCCATCATGAGGTTAAAATATTTGAATTGGGACACAATTTACATTATAAAAGCTTTGTTGTAAAAAATGTTTCACATTGAATTACTCACCTTCATCTAAAGAAATTGGCATAATATTCTTTATGAAATAAATATAATATTAATAAGAATGGAAATTCACATACATTGATCGATTTAAATATTAATTAGATTAATAATCTTGATTGAAAATTTAACAACGAAAATTCAAAATAAAATGAAGGAATTTTGTAGTTGATGTACATAAAAATTCGGCTTAAATTTTTTATAAAGGTAGCATCGTTAGTAGCGACGTTACTTTTTGACGTTAATTTACAACACTAATGTTAAATAATCTATTATATAATTTTCCACCATTGATATAGGGCAGGCTTGCTAGTATCGGATCATTATTAGGCATTAGTTTTTATTATTATGCCTTGCAAATTTAAAAATTCTAATTTAATATAAATAATTGAAACTTTTTTTAGCGAAATAAGGGACTATTTGTTTTAATAAGTGGGGAATGGAGTTTTATAAATTAATTTTTAATTAATTTAAAATTTTTACACAATTCATTTTTAATTTTTAAATGGAAAATATGCCAGAAATTTATAAAATCCATTCCCCGCTTATTACAATAATTAATCCCTTCTTTCGCTTTTCAAACGAAAATTACATAAAAATCCCCTTTTCTGATTTGCGAACATGTCACATTTTTGGAGAAAAAAAACAATTATTTCTTTTATCGAATAGGGAATAATTTTTGTACGCAATCAAATTTTAACCTTTATTTCGGCGTTTTTTCGTATTTGTAATCGCGTTTTGGTTTGAAATGTGTCTTCTCTTCCTTTTAAACTTATAATTTTCAATGCTCTCATCGCTAGCACTTCGATAACGCCACTTTTCATAAAATTGATTCTCGCAAGCTTTCAGTTTTTTTTCCTTTTCGTATATAATAAGAATAATAAGAATTAGAAAATATTTGATCAGTACAAAAGGTCACAAAATGAAAAAAAACTAATCCCATCCTTCAAAAATTAAATAAATAAAAATCCTTATCTCGTCAGTGAAAATATAATTATAAAAAAAATATCCAATCTTATTTTGGACCAAATCTTTCCTCATTTAATTACAAAATATAAAAAAGCATTCAAAGGTCAAGTTTAAAAAAAATTAATACTCAGACTTTTTTATGCTGCATTCATATTTAGTGAGAATTCGTGGCGAAGTATATAAAAATACAGTATATTCTGCATATTTTGTGGCGAATTCACGCTACTGAGAATGCAGAGTAACTCCTCATTCACAGTTAGAGTAAATTTATAACGGAGAATATAAAAATGGAGCGTATTTTGTATAATTCACCGCGAATTACCGCTTATGAATGAGGGGTAATCTGACGTTTTAATCAATATATATTGAGATATTTATTAACATTTTAAATAAAATTTGGCAGAAAAAGACCCCACCCTTTGAAGGTCGATACCGAGGGAGTAATCTTTGGAGGTTTTCAAAATTATTATCGAGAATATAACAGAAAAAAATCAAAATTTATTTCTTTAAAATGGTTAAATTCTGTGTGGTGGGGGGTGGGGGGTAATTTTATCCCCTTCCTTACCTCCAGAGGCGTCACTGCATATGTTTGATTCAATTGAACAAAAAAAAATTTAATTAAGGCCACATTTATATTAAACGCGTTTTGATCAACCAATAGATATAAATTTATAAATATGAAGTATAATGATGATAACGTTATGATAAAATTTGAAAAACATATGTTGCGATGGGTTGATAAAAAATATGCGAGCCAATTATAAAAATAATAGCGAATTCGATAAAAGTGTATATGATTCTTCTTAAATATTGTATAAATTAATTATCTCTATCTTAAATTAGTTAAAACTGAATCAGCTGTAATAACGCTTGTTAAATGATTGAAGATACGCGTTTACTATAAACGCAGAGTAAGTTACGTTTAGAAAGAGTACATAACATTTATCTAATATTTTAGAGATCCAGAGTTTCCTCGCGGTAAACAGATTGCATTAGTTTTTCTATATATATATATCCTTCTACTTTATGTAATATAAGCATTTTATTTGAATAGAAAATCAAATTTATGAGATTGGTAAATTGATTAATATCTTACAATTTCGGATATCTCTAAAAGGCTCTTGGCCACTAAAATATGTCCTGTCGTATAGTTAAACGATGTAGAACCATTATATATGTGCGAATACTTATCGATGCTTCCGTCGATTAAATTCCATATGTTATCGCAATTAGCTTTTATAAAAAAAAAATTTTTTAAATTCATAATGAATAAATAAAAATAGGCTACTTAGGTTGAAGGGTACAATATTATAACCGTAATCCCCTCCTATTCGAGAAAGCAAATTATTAGAAATTTTAAGGAGCATCTCTCTAAACTTTTCAATTTATCAGGGGGGCTAGGTGCCAACAATATACAAATTTTATATATTTTATTTAAAAAATATCTTGAAGGAACTCTTCGAAATTGAAAGAGCTCTTCAAAATTCTGCCAATAGCCCTTCTTTAGTGACGCCACTCATAATTTCACTATTAAGTAAAATATAAATTATACTTGATATATGAGAGTTCGAATTCATCAGTTGTAGCGAATGTTTTATTGTAACCTATATATTTTTTTTTAAAATTAAACTTGTATTTTTTTTTGAAATTATATCTACCGTTAAAATTGAGCATAAGAAGATAAAGCAGGATTCCTTTGTCATAATGTCCTTTTTAACTCGCAGTCCTTTGATACTGTCCTATATTAAATGTTAAAAAATTAAAAATTAAAACTGATAATATCACCCTATAATCAAATCATTCAGTAAGAAGAAATGGTTTTCGAGAGTCTAACTAAGTTATGATTTTTTTTTAAATATAAAAAATAAATTACTTATATTCCCAAGAAAAAATTTGACTTGAAATTGCCAATTATAAAAAAAGAAAAGTAAAAATAAAACAAATAATCATAAAAAAATTTCGCCAAATTATTCTTATTTTATAATCCAACAAAATATTATTTTATGTATATTTGATTTAGTTTTAAATATACATAAAATAACACTTAAAAATTTATAATTTTTTTGACAATAAATCATATTGAGTGAAGAAAAAAAGATTATTAAGTATAAAATAAATATAATTGCTGCTTTATTAGTTTAGCTTGAGGTAAAAACATACTATAAAAGTATAACAATCGGTCATTAAAAATATTTAATGGGTTTGATTTTATTTTACACTTTATAATTATATCCCCCCCCCGCGACATTAAGGATTAATTTGTTCTCAAGTTTGGAAGGTCAGATTCAGAAAGAATCGTTTTAAGCCTTAGAAAAAGGAATAATCGAAATAATTTATTTATTTTTTGGGGAAGGAGAGGAAGCGTGTTATTAATACCATATATGTATATCGGTAGCACTGATTTAGGAGCGGGGGTGGGGTCAAAAAAATAAATCACATTATATTTTTATTTTTTAAATAATAAAATCCGATTTATAAATAAAAAATAAATTTTATAAAATATCACTTTGAAACCCCTTCTCTAAATACACCAATATATTTTAGTTTAAGATTTTGAAGAGAAAAAAAAATTGTTTTTAGAAATCATACTGTAATCACAATATATATGCTCTTTATAATGCTTAAGCTCTCAACCAAATATTACTATTGTTGGTGTTCACATTCTTTCTAAGCTTCTAAATTAAATAGTCCTGAGCAGTACGATCTTTATAGTACACTACTGATCCAACATTCATGTAAAGCCGGTAGGAAAAAAATAGGGTCTGTCCAATAATCTCTACCATATAATATTTACACCCATCAAAATGTAATTAATTCAATATCGATAAAAATGCAAAATTCTAAAGTAAATAGAATGAATATTAACAGCGAGAGGGTGTGGCAATGTCTTAAATTAATAGATTATCGGGTTGGACCGAGTTAAAAAAGGAAACATTTCTCTAAATAAATTTTTCTCCCATTTTAAAATTAATGAAAAGAAAAATATATTTAATAGTAAATATAGAATTCTTTTAGATTTCATATGTAAGGTATAATATATATCAGAGACCTGCCGAGGTATCATTTGCACGGCACGGCCCGGCCCGGATTTTTCTTTTAAAATTATTTACTGATCCGGTCCGGATTTTTTTAAAATATATTTTATTTATTTTTAATTTTTATAGCTAATCATGGTGATTTAAAATATTTGGTTTTAATATTTTTTTTATAAAATTTTCAGGCCCAGCCCGAGTATTTAAAAAAAAAATTTTAGGTCTGGCCAGGGTATATTTTAAAAAAATTAAAATGGCGTCATTTGTAAAATATAATTTCAAATTTGAAGTAATATCATTTCAAGTCTGTATAATCATTTTAAACTTATTTTGCAAAAAATACTGAAAAAATGTCCTAATACTGAAACGATATTCAACTTACTTGGTAAAATGATAAACATAAACGAAAATTTAAAATAGTTATAATTATTACCTTCTTTTTGAGTCTCGTCTCGTATATATATATAAATTACAAAAAAAACTTAATTATTTAAAATATAAAAAAAATGAAGCTAAATAGAATTAAATTTAAATTTATAAACTATATTTATATATGAATTAGTACAAAAACAATGAAGTCGAGGTGGGAGAAGTCGTAAGATCCTTCAAAGAGTGCATGACATGTCCAATTGAAAAAAAAAATTCCAAAATAATAATTAGTTAATTAATTTTTTTCAATAACTATACAAAACTTAGCTTGTAGGGGAAAATTATTCTTTTTATTAACGAGCTATCCATTCTCTTAAATTAACCGATATTGAAAAAAAAAGGCTAAGCAATCTATAATTATTCAATTCAAAAAAAAATTACTTTTAAATTTTTTAAATCATAATTAAACAAAATAGCCGCTATAAAAGATTTCGTAATCAAAAAGAAGCATATAATATACTATTAAGTCAAAATATAAATAATAAAGCAACTTGATTTTTGAAGAAAAGATGTTCCATTGATTATAATAATCATTTATTTAGAATTTTCTTCCTCCCGTTATCCAAGTGGAATTTTTTTTTTCTTACAAATATACTAACCAGGGGTTGATGATATCCCGAAATTAAATTTGCTATCGTTATAATATATCTCAAAATCGAATTAATTTTGTTCCCATTTTTTTTATAACATTAAATTAGATATAATCTTAAAGCTTGAACAATAATAACGTTTTGGAAGATATTTTATAGTTATATAGGTAGGTAGACAGAAATTATTGAGATTATCATCAAAAAATAAATAAAACGATTCTTAGCCCAAAATATAAACTCGTATTGAATCATATCAGTAGTGTCTTAGGGAGGAAATATTGAACGCCAGCACTTTATCCAAAATTTAGAGAGCTCCCCCAAAATTTAAAAAAATATTGATTTATAATTATTTTTTAGAGTTTGAGCATAGATTAAACCCCGAAAGTTTGAAAAGTCTAGTAACGTCCTTGAATCTGATCATGTTTAAAATTTATTGGTTGAACAGAAATCAGTGATATCTGAAATCTTCGAAATTTCAAACAAAAAACCAATTTTTGCTTGAATAATACTCTATATAGTCAAAGTTATTCAGTACAACTTAAAATAATAGATAAACAGATTTATTTTTTTAAAAAAAAATTTTTTTAATGAAGTTTCTTAATAAAAATAAATACATGCCGCATTCTCTTTCAAAACCGCTTTTAAAAATTAATTAAGAAATTTGAATAAATATAACTGGTTTTGTATTCTTTTTTAATAATCTTTTCCCGTTTTCATTTTACATTCTCTCTCATAGGCGTTGCCAGGATACGTGGGAGGGGGTAGAGAGTATACTATTATGCGGGGTTTTCCCCCATAAATTTTATTGGAGGTTTGTAGGTCCATATATTATAAGCCTATGGCTATGTTAGATTTTGTATAATTTTGGATTTCACTTTTTTTCTAAAAATCTATGAAAGGGGGATTAACCTCCTCACCCCTAGCTAGACCTATGTACTTTCTAAAATTTTAATGAAATATTCATCTATCGTACTCGGGTGGGATCTTCGTGGAGTTTAATTTTTATTTATAGCCAATTTGCATCACCGGCGCAATCGAGGGAGTGGGCCCAGTGTTGCCGAAATATTAGATTATTTTAGGACTGCAAAATTTCATTTTTGATTCGAGTTTTGAAAACGGCAAGAATAAAATTTTAGCCAAAATAATATTATGTAAGATACGAGATTTGGCAAACAGAGGTACATACCTTTTTGCCATCTATAAGCAAAATCTCCAAGCTCACATAATATTATTTTGGCTATAGGGGCGTTTTACAACACTAATTTAATTCATATTTTAAGCTGCATTTAAATAAAAAATTAGAAAAAAAATGGGGGCGGGGGGAAATTAGGATTTAGGAATAAATTTAAATTCTATCCTTATCAGAGACCTTCAGGCCCAGCCCTAAGCCCCGCCAGGGTACACAGGGCCACCCAAGCCGGGCCGTATATTTTAAAACCAAATATTTTAAATTATTTTCTATAAAATTAAAAAATAAACATGATAAATTTTTTTTAAATATGGGCCGAGCCGTGTAAATGGTATCTCTGCAGGTCTCTGCTTTTTATATTAGCTATTATATCCTTTCATTTCTTTTGATATTTTTACAAATGAAAGCTGCAAAAATTTTATAAATTAGAGCAATTCTCAAAATATTTATACAAAAATTCACTCCTATTTCTACCATACAAAACTACAATATTAATGTAAAAAATTCATCGATTTATCCCCCCAAAAATCATAAAAAATTATAAAAACATATGATGAATTTTTTTTTTAAAGATTTAGGCTGATTTTAAAAAAAAACACTCTTTAATAAAAAAATAATAGATTGATCTATTTATATTCCCCCTATAAAAATCAGTTTTATTATTTTAATTAGAAGTTGAACAAACTTTTGAGCACTTAAATATTTAATTATTTTTAAAAAAATAATTTAATTTTCAGAATAAATAAAAATATTATATCTATGATAATTATAAGATAAATATATAGAAATCTCTTGTTCTTTCTTTAAAAAAAATTAAATAATCTTTATGTGTTCTGTTTCACACTTTGGCAATCTTAACGTAAAAAACCAATTTTAAGAGAAATTTAATGGGCTAAAAAGTTTATAATTTTTTAAAAAAATAGCATCCAAATATTCGGGAAAAAGCATCACATGCTCAGGCACTTTTATCATGGGAGTGGAGCTGATATCGTCATTAAAACAATTGAATGAGAGTATAGGTACGGGTTTTTTTTTGCCAATTTAAATTTTCTATTTTAGGGAGGGAAGGGGGTTTGTAGAAGAGATTGATCATTACTCATACTAATGAAAATCTAACAATTAGGATGTCACATTTAATTTAGGCTCAAGTGGATCCATTAGAGCAAATTTTTTGTTTCCTCTCCTTGAATAATTTTGGAGAGAAAAAATAAATTTGACAGGCTAGATGTTACATATAATAATCAGAAACCTGCAGAGCTCGGACATTTTTTTTGAAGAATTTTTTTGGCTCAAACTGGCCTGAGTTTTATATTTTCAGGCTCGACCCGGATTTTTAATAATATTATGTTTATTTTATTTTTATAGTTAATAATGACTATTTAAAATATTTAGTTTTAAGATATATGGCCCGGCCCGAGTATTTTTTTAAAAAACTCGGACCATTGGGATATGGAATCCATAGAGATTCTGAATTAAATCTAAGATGATTTTGTATTATGTACTTTTGAATATTTTTTTAAAATTTACATGAAAAATATATAAAATTGATATAATTAAGAATAGTTGTAAAATTCACGGCAAAAGGGCCTATAATATAGATTTTCTATACATGAT